GCAAGGAATCGAAAGCCATCTCTTCAGGACAGAGACCGGCAGGGACCTCTCGCTGTGGACGCGGAGCATAGTTCAGGGTTGCCACAACGCTGCAGAACTCTCAATGGAAATCACTACCGGTGAGCCAAAGCCATAGGGCCACAGTCGGCAACTATCCTTTGAAATAGGGGTAGGGAACCTACGGCTCCCCAGCAGCCATGACCCCTAGGTGGGAGAAGAGGGCACAATATTGCTTACCTCTGGTCTGTTTGCTGTCCAAAATGGCCAAGGGGTGCTGAAGGTCCCTTTGTCTGCTATATCCAGGAGTGAGCAAAACGAAGGGTTCTCTCACAATGTACAGTGCCTCGGGTTACTGATGCTTCAGGTTACAGACTCCGCTAACCCAGAAATAGTACCTCGGGTTAAGAACTTTGCTTCGGGATGAGAATGAGCTATGGTGGCTCATTTACCAGAAATAATGTATTTAGCATTAACTCTGGAAGTGTATACAGTGGTACCTCGGGTTACATACGCTTCAGGTTACATACGCTTCAGGTTACAGACTCCGCTAACCCAGAAATAGTACCTCGGGTTAAGAACTTTGCTTCAGGATGAGAACAGAAATTGCGCGGCGGCGGTAGTGGGAGACCTCATTAGCTAAAGTGGTACCTCAGGTTAATAACAGTTTCAGGTTAAGAGCGGACCTCCAGAACGAATTAAGTTCTTAACCCGAGGTACCACTGTATGCTGCTATTTGCACTAGGGAGAAGTGTGTTTTGAGAGCCTTTTGCTCTATTCACGCAGAGCTGAATTATATAATCGAGGAGAACCCTCAAGTTCAGGAGTTCTGCTGCAAGCCACAGAGGCTGGGCTCCCAGACCCGCAGTTGCCATAAGGAAGACTACAATACGATACGATAATCTTTATTGTCATTGTCCCATACAACGAAATTGAAAAAATCTACATCAGACATTCAAAAACCAACAAGCCTGCTATCCCAACTATCCCAGCCTGGTTAGCCCCCTAAAAACTCTGATACCCCATAATTGAATACAATATACTCACATAGAGACTACCTTAAAGGTAAAGGGAGCCCTGACCATTAGGTCCAGTCGTGGCCGACTCTGGGGTTGCGGCGCTCATCTCGCTTTATTGGCCAAGGGAGCCGGCATACAGCTTCCAGGTCATGTGGCCAGCATGACTAAGCAGCTTCTGGAGAAGCAGAGCAGCACACGGAAACGCCGTTTACCTTCCCGCCGGAGCGGTACCTATTTATCTACTTGCACTTTGAGGTGCTTTTGAACTGCTAGGTTGGCAGGAGCAGGGACCAAGCAACGGGAGCTCACCCCGTCACGGGGATTCAAACCAACCTTCTGATTGGCAAGTCCTAGGCTCTGTGGTTTAACCCACAGCGCCGCCCGTGTCCCGTAAGAGACTACCTTACACTGTGTTTAAAACCAAAATCGCATTTGGATAGAAACTGTTTCTCAGGCGGCTAATCCTAGTCTTTATAACCCTGTACCTTCTTCCAGAAGGCAGAAGCTGAAAGAGATCATTTCCGGGGTGTGCACTATCCTGTGCTATCTCTGCAGCTTTCTTATGACACCTGGAAGCATACATTTGCTCCAAGGTGGGAAGAGTGCACCCAATTATTCTCTCTGCAGTCTTTACAACCTTGGACAGCGTTGTTTTTCCCCTGACCATGTAGTTCACTGACCAGGTGGTTCCTGGTTTGTGTCCCAGCTATTGTGAGCCAAGGCGCCTGTCACAGAAATCGTGCCTGGCTAGGACCAATTTGCAGGTTCAGAGAGCCTATTAACCCCCCCATGCTTTTAATTATTACTATTATATACAGCTGCAGTTGGTATTACTTCCTGCCTTCCAGGTATCTTCTCAGCTCCTGCTGATGCTCAGCCACGTATGCTGAAATATTAGTGCTACGCTGTTTTCCTGCTTGCAGTCATCGGAGCCTGTTTTCAGTTGTCATGGAGCCAATTAGTTCCCTATCCCCAAGCTTCTCTGCAAGCTAGAACCAAAATATTCAAAAGCCTTCAAATAGGCTTGTGACTCCCCACCCATTAACTATTACCAAATCCTGTGTCTTTTTCCCTTCAGCTTGCACCTACAAAAGCCAGGAATGCCGTCTGACCATTCATTACGAACACGGATTCTCCCTCGCAGCTGAACCCCAAGATGGTGCCTTCCCCAAAACCATTCTACAGTTTCCCTACGAGAAGCTAAAAATGTCCTCGGACGATGGGATTCGGATGCTTTACTTAGACTTTGGAGGAAAGGAAGGAGAAATTGTAAGATTTTTATTTTTGTATTTTTCCCGCGTTGCCGTGAATATAGGTTGTTGTCGTTTGTAGCATCTGATCCTTCGATAAACGTTTTGGTACCGGGTGACAGTGATTGTGCAGCGCTGTGCTGCGAATTAGGTGCTTAAGAATTTGGAAAGTCTTTGAAAAAGCAGGTGTCATGTTACTAGATTCCTAGTAATCAGGAGACAGCTCCTTGCAGGCCTGAAGGTAGATATGCAAGGCTATGTGTACGCTACAGGTTTTTTAAAGATGAAGTTTCTGATCCTGGGCAACACAAATTTTGTAGCAAGAATATCTGCCATTCGTGTAAAATATACAAAAACAAATACGCACAGCTTTCACTTGATTGAAGTATTTATAGGCCTACCGTATAGCAAAGTTATTTAAATCACAGGTTTAATGTGCATTGCCATTGCACAGGGCCAGTGAACAACCTAGAAGGAGAAACGATGGCGCTTGACAGTAAAGTTCCCATTATCATTTCCTGGAAAGTGAATGGGGATAGCTCAGCTAAGGGAATCCCATTTCTAAGCACACACTCATTTTCAGCTTAGGACAATTCATCTCCTCTTTATCCTGTAATTAATGGGCAAATGCTCCCACAAAGGGTAGGAGTCAATGTCCTACTGCCTTACTTTGAAACCAGCTACTGGAGGTGCGCCTAAGGTTAGCTTCTCCCCCACCACCTTGCTCCAACTACTGAAAGATCAGCAAAAACAAGGATCAGCTGCATAGTCAGGAGAGAGAACAGCTACATTTGACATCTCCAGCCGTTGCTTGGCAGAATTGCTTTTTTACAGCCCTATGGACCACCTGTCTGATTTAGTCTGCTGCATAATCTACAACCACGTCACTTTCAAAGTGATGCTTTCATTCTAGTTTTGAGCTTACTGTAAGGATACTGATAACTTTTTTTTCCTTCATACGATCAAAAATAAAATTGTGGGTTGCATCGAAAGATCCCATTTCTAGTTACGGAACCATTCGTTTTGTTAGCAAGGCACCTTTGGCTGCAACCCAGATTTCCTTCTGTATACATCCTTTATTGAGTCATACTTCTTCTCTCTTCTGATTTCAGCAACTGGACCTTCACTCTTGTCCAAAGCCAATTGTGTTCATCATTCATTCATTCCTTTCGGCCAAGATTACAAGACTTGGGTTGGTAGCATAAGCACAGTCTGAAGGAAGAACGGAGAAGCTGCCTGCACAATCTAAATGGCAAGAGATATCTTGGCAACAGCAGAAGCTGCTAGGAATATATATATATATATATATATATATATATATATATATATATAATATTCTGCACAGGAGCAATGCCCACGTCTGGACCAGCTATGAAAACAGAGCACAGAAAGGAGGAAGAGTTGCCAAGATGCTCGAGAGCAGGACATTTGCTTCGACTAACACACTGCAGGGGAAACAAAACTGATTGTTTGTAAATAAAGGAAATAAATAAATAAATAATTGAAGGAGTAAATAGCTTAATACTACAGCGTGGCATTTCCAGTATACATAACTGTGCCCGTAGCAGTGCTAAGAGAGCAGTGGTTTTCAAACTGGGCTCTGAGAAACTGTGGGATGCCTCAGTTAGAAAATCAGCAATGTGAGAACAGCTCCCCTGAAGTCCACCATTTTCCCTGGCGTCGTCCAGCCGCAGTGGGGCAACGGTCAGCTTTAGGGTGCCTCTCTCTGTTTGTGTAGCATGACAACTGCTCCCCACAGATGGGGCTGGCAGTCTTTGTGGACTGATAAAAGTGTGTCCCAAAACATCCCAGAAATCTGCAGTCCATTGTGGGTAAGGCGAATCGGTTGAACACAGATGTGGGCAGGGGTTCTGAGAGTATGCAGTTTGGAAACCACTGATGAGTGAAAATTAGGACTAGGCAGATAGAAGATCTGGTGAAAAGTTGTCAAGATCTTGTGCACCCATGGACTCTGTCTCCGCTGAGCCATCTTTCCGTTTTCAGAAAACTCCACTTTCCTGCCATTAATGCACCAACCAGAGTAGTTTGCTTGTCCAGACAAAGGTGGAAATGGTTTGGAAATCTAGTTCTCTGTGGACATTGCACAAAAGGGCACTATTCCCAGGTGGAGAGGTCAGACTGAGGCAGCGTTGCCAAGCCAGACCAGAGCAGGGGGAAACCTCAGAATTATCCTTTGGTACTGTAGCTTTACAATGGTCACATGTAACATTCGGCTGTAGAAGCCGCTGTGCCCGTTTAGTTAATAAACCCAAGATAACTTTCGTAAAATGGAGTTGCTCAGTTAACAGTAGTAACTTGTGGTGAGAGAAACAGTCTATATGAAATTATGTGATGCATTTCAAATCGTTTTACTCTAAAGACATTGAAGGCAGCGAAGATCCTTCTGGAAGAATTCTAAGATGGGGAGGCTCATTTTGAATTGAGCTTCGGCTAAAGGTCCTTCAGTGGTGATGCTTTTGCTGACAGGCTTCCCATGAGCCAAGGAACAAGGGAAAGGTTCTTTAATTCCTTCCTTCCCAGCAAGAAACTTTGGCAACCCTATATTATTGCCATTTCACTCCCATTTGCTGGCTTCTTGACCCAAGTATAGATCCGAACAGCTGTGGTGTAAGAACACCAGCAGCACTCGGGAGCAACCAATCGCCATGGCAAAGTACTGTTTTATTGGGCTGGAGCAGACCCAGGGAAGCGGGTGGACTTAATTCAGTCATGACTAACTTGTCCATCGATGTCAATGGGTCTCCTCTGAGTATGACTTGGTTGGATACGACCCACAAAGAATCCTGCTTGAATGCAGTCTTCCAAATGCATCAACACTAAAACCCTGTATTGTACACACACACACAGAAAGAGGCAGAAAATGTGATCGGGAGACCCTGAGCTGGTGGCTTTCAGTATAACAATTATCCTTATTATTCATGCTTCCTGGAACACTGCTCATTTTTTCGATGTTGATTCCCTCTGACAGACAAAAGGGAGCTCAGTTGTGTTTCATTTTAATTGTGTTCCCTGGAAGTGGGACACGGCAACTAAATCTCCTTTTAGAGTTATTTACGTACATGGGGGAAAATACATTGTTTTATATACAGAAGATACCAAGCGGGATCCGTATTACGGTGCAGATCTTAACCATGGCTAACGGAGCAAATGTTGCTAAGCATATCATGCACTTAACTTCATCCAGAACTGAGGATTAAGCCAGAGTTTCCTAACCAGGGTTTGAAGCTAATAATAAAACCCTGGTTATAGAGTATATGCTTGGCATTAATAACAGCTATGCCTGGTACTGGTATAATTGTTAATGATTGTAAATGCAGGCAGAGGAGGAAAAGTACTGAAGCTCTTGAGAAGGGAGGGATATGACAATAGCAGTCTTCCAAAAAGAGGTCTAACACACAACTCCTTTCTGTGAATGTAGTATTTCCCTGATCTAGGGCCCCATGTCCCACTCCAGTGCGCACAGAAGACTCTATGGGCTTCCATGTTTCACTTGAATGGACTTAGGAGTGGAATGCACCCAGGGGTGGGTCTCGTTCCTGCATTTAAAGCATAGGAACACCTTTGCAGGTAAGAGATCTCTGTAAGTGGAATAAGGGTTTCCATGTCAGTTGAAGGATGATAGAGGGATATGTGAGGCTGGGCTGAATTTTTTTCCTTTTGTGAAAACTAAAGGAACATGCAAATATACAGATGGAGAGCCATCAATCCATGCACTTGCCAACGTCATGCAAAATACAAGTTCTTCGTTCAATACAAATGAAATTGCAAAGGGAGAGCGTTTGTGGATTTGAATGACAGAAAATAACCCAGAATTACTGTGTATTGTAGGGAAAGTAAATGCATGTGTAAATTATACTGTCCCTAAACACTTTTTAAAAAAATCACTGGAATGTTATAGATATACCTGCATTGTAAATAATCAGAATTTATCTATTAGTTATCGATTAATAAATAACACAGTATGTCATGTAATTTACGGTGCTCAGATTACAATATAAAGAATAAGCGAATAATTTACAAAGAGAAAAAAATGTTATATATTTATAGACAAATTAAATACAGATTTTGGATCGACTCATATTTGGTTGGAGTTGATAGAACGAATTATACGGCGCTACTCAAGATTTGTAAGAATTTAGTTTAAAATATTTATATTTTAGAGGAAAAAATACTATATTTAATAAAAAATTCATTTACTGGAGCTTTTGTGGGGTTATAATTTATATGGCAAGAACAGAATGCTTTGAGAAAGCATTATAGTTACATTCAGTGACGCTAGCTTGATTAACCCCAATGGAATTTCTACAACTGAGTTTTGGCTTGATAGAAGCAATTATTCTAGCTAAGTCTCCTTTTACAATTACAGTGGTGCCTCGCAAGACGAAATTAATTCGTTCCGCAAGTCTCTTCGTCTTGCGAGTTTTTCGTCTTGCGATGCACGGTTTCCCATAGGAATGCATTGAAAATCAATTAATGCGTTCCTAGGGAAACCGCCTACAGACCCGGTCCGGGGACAGTCTGTCCCCGGACCTCTTCTGAAGGCTGGGGGGGGGGGGCAAGGGCTTTTCTTCCCACCCCCAGCATTTTAAAAAACCCCGGGACAGCGGAGGACTTCTCCGCTGTCCGGGCGATCTTAAAATGCTGGCGGGCGGCATTTTAAAATCACAACGGGACATCGGAGGACTTCTCCGCTGTCCGGGGCAATTTAAAAGCCCCTGGGAAGGCAGGCAGGGGACAAAGACTTTGCCCCCGCCAGCCTTCAGAAGAGGTCCTGGACCTCTTCTGAAGGCGGGCGGGGCGAAGTCTTGCTCCCCGCCTTCAAAAAGCCCTCCGGGACAGGGAGGCAGGGGGAGCAAAGACTTCGCCCCCGCCCGCCTTCAGAAGGTCTTCCCTCCCCCGCCCGCGCTCGGAGCACCGGCCCGGGCCGGGCGGCGGCGGCAGGTGTTCCCTCCCCCCGCCCGGCTCGGAGCACCGCTCCGAGCCGGGCGGCGGGGAGGTCTTCCCTCCCCACCGCCCGGCTCGGAGCACCGCTCGGGCCGGGCGGCGGGGAGGTCTTCCTCCCCCGCCCCGGCTTCGGAGCACCGTCCGGCCGGGCGGCGGCGGCAGGTGTTCCCTCCCCCGCCCGGCTCGGAGGAGCCTCCGAAGCCCGGCGGCGGCGGGAGGAGGTGTCCCCGCCCCGCCGCCAGGCTTCGGAGGAGGTCCGAGGACAGTGGGGAAGACGCGCTGCGCTCCCCGCTGTCCCTGAGATTTCCCTATGGGCTGTCGTCTTGTGAAGCAAGCCCATAGGGAAATTCGTTTTGCGAAGCGCCTCCAAAACGGAAAACCCTTTCGTCTAGCGGGTTTTCCGTCTTGCGAGGCGTTCGTCTTGCGGGGTACCACTGTATCTCCCTTGAATCTTCTGAAACTGGTTGAAACTTATTGTGCACATCTTTGCTTTGACTGAGGCATTCTGGTTCATCTTGGTTCATCTATGGGGGTACGCAGTCAGGTCTAGAGGAAGAATATTCCTCCTGGTGGGCTTTTGGTGGGCTTTTGGTTCAACAAAAACCACTGTTCTTGACACTTAATTTGTTATCAAGCGCAAGAGGGTTTTGTCTATCTTGTAAAACTTTTATGGCTAGTTGGTTAACCACAAGGAAGGTACTGACAGAGTTATGCGTCTAGTAAATCAGGCAAACAGGAAAAGAAGATAACACTGTCAACCACTTAGAAACCTGGTTTTTATTTTCTAAATAAAAAAGCTGTACAAGCCGCATATAAAAAAAAAGCATAGAAGATTTGATTGTGTTATTCATACAGTTTGAAATAATTGCGTGTGTGTATATATATATACACACACATACACAGCTATATACACATAAGGCTCAATTCAAAGCCATTTTTTAAATGTCAGAGATCTTTGAGGGTATTACACTGCAGGAATCACTGGTTTAAGGGACTTCCACAATGTAACAAGGCACTCCCACGCTGTCCACTTAATGTGCTGTGCTTGCTCAAAATTGCCATCCTGGAATAGCAATGGTTTTAGCACGTCATTTCTCCTTGCTCTTGTCTAAAACCCATTCAATGACCTGTAAACACATCCCAAGAAATGCACTTAGAATTAAAAATGAACATAAAACAAAGCTTAAGAGGTGTAAAATGATGCAATACAGAAAAGTTGAATCTAATTAATACTGGAGCGGTTCTTTATAATTCAAGAATCTTCAAAAAAAAACATGATAGCCAACAACTATTACCAAACTCTGAATTCGTGAAACAAAGGCAGATATTCTGCTGGGCAAACAAACCATTTTACAGGTCACATTCCACAAATTAATACTAAGGGGAGAATTTGGTCATCTTACAGACTCATCCAGCAGCCCAATGAAGCCACTATTTGAGGCAATTCAATCTAGATAACCCTGAGAACCACTTTGATAACCCAAGCCAAGCCTCAGTACTATTTGTAATATTCTCCAGTACAGAAAACATAATCTGGACACGTAAGAGAGTCTCACCTGTTTAACATTGCTGGTTGCAGCTTTCTTCATTTCATCAAATAGTCCCCTAGATGTTTTCAGATCCTAAATAAGAACCATACTGCATCACAAGCGGAAAACTTAATGGATCGCAGTGTTAGATTTAAGGTTAGCATGAAGGAATAGATGTATTAATATTCTGGAAAACAAAACACTACAGTAACACCAAAATGCATAAACTTTAATGGATGACAGCTGGCCTGTAGTTCATAAAACCTTATGCCATAATAAATGAGTTACTTTTTAAGGTGATACAAGCCTCTTTGATGTTTTTTATCACAAAGAGACTAACACAGCTATCCCACTGGAAATGGCAACAAACGGTAGTAAAAGCTGTACTGAACATCTCCAAATTTTGATATTCCACAGCCAAACAAACTAGTAAAATTAAAATTAAAAAACCCCAATGCTCAGTGTTTTTATTTCTTTTTAATCCCCTGGCTACTGAGTCCTCTTAGCACATTTTTACGTCGTATCTTTGCACTCCTTTCATTTGTCCACATTGCTATTGAACCCAATTTGCTATTTCAACCCCCAGATTTCGTGTGTGAGCATTCCTGAAATTGTTGTGCCAGGTGTGGTGTTGCGATGCTTAATCAAAATCACGTGGGTCACCTATGCAATGAAACGGTAGCATGGGCTAATGGGGCAAGCGGGGCTGAGGACAGTTAAGAGCACAGGTGAAGGAAAATGGCACATTCAACCAATGTGAATTTGATTGCAGCAAGTGCCCAGAAACCGCCACTTTAATAGAATGAAAAAGGCAAGGCACTTTGGCTCATCCCTATCAGAAGTGCATAATACTCTTAATCTCGGGGTCCCTTCCATAGCTGTCAATTTACAGATTTGAAAATTGCAGCCTCGAAAATAAGGGATCAGCAACCAAAATAAGGGATTTTCAGGGCACAGGTATGTTCAACTTCTGAGCCCCTCCAAGCCAAAGGCAGAAAGTCCAGCCAGCAGCCAAATGAAGCCTCAAGCGGTGGTTCCCACAGCACAGCAACCCGGCAAAGGGGATGCAGCAAGGAAAACCACTGTCACCTGTCACCTTTCCGCTGGGAAGTGCTGAGCAAAGGCGAGTCCCCAGGCAACACGGCCGATTTGATCGGCCCAAGGCATGCAAGCTCCACCCCCCAGTCGTTCTTAGACTCCTTATTGGGTGAGCAACACAGCCAAGCAACACAGTTGGAGCCTCCCTCCTCCATGGCCGGCAGAGAGGAAGGGAGAGGAGCTGCTTCCTTTGAAACCCGGGAAATTTAAGGGACAGCAGTGGGACACGGCGCTGGTATATGGGACTTTCCCGCCAAATAAGGGACGGTTTACAGCTATGGTTCCTTTCAACTCTACAATTCTGTGATTCTAAGTCAGTAAAAAGAAGGCCAGTTTGAGGGCACTTTGCAGAATACCATACTTTTCCATGTATAAGACTAGGTTCTTCTCTTTAAAAATAATGCTAAAAAGTGGGGGTCATCTTATACATGGATAGTGCATAGGGTGGACGCTTGATTGGTTGCTGCTGTGGCTGTCAGCCATTATTGGGTGTGTTATTGGTTGTTGCGTCAATGGCTGGTGTTGACGCTGTGGCAATTGGGCGGGTGATTGGCAGATTCTGCCGGCGAGGGGACAGATGAGAGGCAGATTTTTGGATGCGTGTGGGTGAGCGATCTTCGGCATCCATCCCCTGCCCCCAAAAGAAGCTCAACAACTCTGTGCCATCTCCCCCCATTTTTAAAATTTGAGTCCCCAAATGGGGGCGTCTTATACATGGAAAAGTACGGTATATCCCACAGGCCACCCTTCCTTGTCAACATATCAAACCATAACACAATCACGCACTGTTCTGTGCATGCGGAAGCTGGAGAAAAGTACCTTTAGATAATACTTGGATATCTCAAACAGACGCTGGCTGCACGCCGCAAAGCATTTGTGATCTTCAGCAATGCCGTGCTCCTTGAGGGTTTTCACCACCACCTCCTTCAGCATCTTGAAGAGAAGCATTGGCAGTGTATTGCACGTCTGATGCCCAACACCACACTTTCAAATCCACATTTTTTATCGGAGCAAAACCGTGCTACTAACGAAGGGGCCTGGGCACCAGCATTTCTCAGCTCAGCCCTGCTATATAGTCAGTGCCTGCAGCATTTCACAGGTAACACATCTAAGCGAAATTTAGGCTTACGATCCGCTCAAAAGAAAGCTGCAAAGATCAAAGCTGCCTGACGAATATAAACTCTACGTTGCATGTGGACACCTACACACATTTTGCTGCAATCATATCTTTGCAGGCTTAGGTGCCAGACTAAAACATGATAGATGTCCCAGTGAAAGATGTAATTATGACGTGACCCCCTCATGCTGGAGCAAGTAACAAAACTTGTTCCAATTCTTTTTTTATTTGAACAAGCAAACAGATCGCTTGTTTACCTACCTCACAGGAATATGAATAAAATATTCATATTGTCCTTTGAAGATGAAACACTAGCTGCTAGGCATTAAAAAAATAAAAAACCTATCACATACACACACAACATCCTTGTTTGGATTTTTATTTAGTTGTTGTTTTATCCTCCTTTAATGTCTCTTCCCTCCCTTTGACTAATTACTTAAGCTGACAGTTCCCTGTACTGAAACTATTCTCTATCTAGGGATAAAATGGATATTGTCTTCTGCTGCCTAAGTGCATAAACAAGCATTTCCCAGAGCTTAAGAAACTGTGCACTAACTCTGTAATATGAACTATTTATAATGCGGTGCTATTGCCCACCGCTCAGAACAAAACTAAAATACACGTATCCTTGGGGCATGTGCAGAGTACGAGTGGAACAGAGTTTCTTGGCAACAGGAGCAGCATGGGAATTTGAAGAAGAGACTCAAAAGGGTAGCCAAAGAGGATGGCAAGTAATTTGTTGAATTTATGGCTCAAATCTTCGCCCTGCCTTATTCAATCTAGGAACAGCAAAAGCAAAGACAGAACTTCATTTTTAGCTATCCGGAAAAGTTATTTACCCGTGTATGCTTCTGAGATCTAGATTCCCTTGTGGGCTTTGATGTATCTGGCTTTCCCCCACACCTCTGGTTTGCTGAGCTGCTCTTTAGGGCTGCTTTATGCATCCGACTGTAAGACTGTTTCACAGCTACTGAAGGCAGAGAGACTGAAAGCTCCTGGCATTGCCTTGTGACAACTCCTGAATGGCGACTCCCGCTGCTTCCGCTTGCCTGGGACAAGAGAGAATCTGTGCTTTCAGATTTCCGCAACCTAGAAAGAAGAGTTGAGGGAACAAAACAGATGTTAAGATTATTCTGTGTTTTGTGCGCAGCTCAATTTGTCATGAAAACACCTCAAATCGTGTCAGATGCCAGCAATTAGAAACTATCCATCTGAAACAGGAGAGAAAACATAACACATTTCTGCATCTGATCTTTCATCCAATCTGGCAGTGAGTTATCTAAACAGAACCAGTTTGGTGGGGCGTGACCCTCACTTGGCATCTTGCATCACGCAGCCCTATGGAGCTTAAGCAAAAATGCCTTCGGGTCCTGTTTCAACATATTCAAAGCTAACGAAAGGTTATCACAGGAAAAAAAAGGCAGGGAGGGAGGAATTAGCAAAAGAGGATTAAGATTATCTGAACATTATGCCACAGAAATCTCTTCGGAATGAAAAGAGAGCTGAATTTACACACACTCAAAATATCTCACTTTTTTAAAAAAAAGTGTAGCATATCACCACTAGCATAGCTGGGGTTGGGGGTGCACTGGGCGGCCACTTACCACTTGGGGGGCGGCGCCTGCAGCACACCCGAGCCCGAATGCCTGAGCAGCTAGCTACACCACTGCATATTACCTCTTGTTGGGATGAAAGCCGTCCAGGTCCTTTGATCTGCGTCTGGATGCCTCTGTTTGCAGCTCCCTCTGCAAAGATTCCCCATCGGGGACACTCCCAGGCTCTGACAAAACCGCAGGAGATGGCAGAGGACTCAACGCACAGGGCACGGGACAGGACTCCTTTGTGCAGGTGGTCTGCGTTTCGTAACGGATAAGGCGAGTCTGAAGTTCAGCAAACGCCACGTCTCTCTCCAAAGCTCTCCTGTTGTCCAGGCAGTATCTAAAGCGAAACATGAAACAGCTTCAGAAGCCTGAGAGGAGCACTGCAGAAGAACGGAGGTGTTTTCCTAATTAAGGGATAACTTAGTACCCCTTGTTTACGTGTCAGTATGAGAATGTCTGCCCTTATTTGAATTGCTAGTGAACCTCTGAAAAGGTCCTCCTGCAGTCTGCTATGATATGGGGTAAAAACCAACCTCATGGATCAAACCGCCTTCCACCTTAGTTTCAGAGTACCACACCTCAGCCCACAATTCACTGGCATCAAAAAGAATGCTATTTGTATATCCTATGCATGTTTACTCAGAAGTAGGTCCCACTAGGCTCAGTGGAGCTTACTTCCTAGTGAGTGGGTTTTGGATTCCAGCCTAAAAGAAGCCAAATGGTTTACAACTGTTCTCTTGTTCAGCATGTTTCCAGCAATGCTGTTACAAAGTTGTTGTTTTGCTGTGTTATTATGAAATTGTTTTTGTAGTGTTTGTTTGAAATGCACCCCGGTTTCTTCGTTGTAAGCTGCTTTGAGCATGGTGTGTGTGTGTGTGTTCAGCATACAAATAAAATGAAGGAATGGATATTCCATCTATCAGATAATCCCCCGCTTGAACCCGTATCTGCCATGAATGAACTCATTAGATGGCCTTATGCAAGCCTCTGTCTCTTGGCCTCAGTCCTCCCGATCTGTAAAATGGGGGATAGTAATGACAGATCCTGAAGCTGAGGCTCCAATACTTTGGCCACTTCATGAGAAGAGAAGACTCCCTGGAAAAGACCCTGATGTTGGGAAAGATGGAGGGCACAAGGAGAAGGGGACGACAGAGGACAAGATGGTTGGACAGTGTTCTCAAAGCTACCAGCATGAGTTTGACCAAACTTTGGGAGGCAGTGGAAGACAGGAGTGCCTGGCGTGCTCTGGTCCATGGGGTCACGAAGAGTCGGACACGACTAAATGACTAAACTACAACGACTTGCCTTAACAATGATGCTGCAAGGCTTACAAGTAGCTATTCGTAAATGCTTCGCATGCACTATACAAAAGTATTATTAAGTATTATCCCTCAGAGGATTGTTTTAAAGACTCACGCAGATGAGGAGATGGCATGTGTGTGATGACAGCTATTGTGGAGTCCCATACTGAGGCGAGAGAAGGTCCTTCTACAAATATTTGCTGCCAACAGGCATGGATGAATCAAACTCAGAGCACAATGCAATCTCAAATATAGCAATCAATGGAGCACATCCACATATGGATTAAAAGAGTCCTGCTGGTTTAGACAAGTGGCAAGCATTCTGAGTCCAAAAGTGACCGACCAGATACCTCCAAGAAGTGCACAAATAGGACCCAAGGGCAATAACCATTCTCTGATCATTTGTTCTCTCAACAGGGAGGTTCAATTTGGCCATTACGCCTAAAAGCATATACTTTCCACTTTAGCAGATAAGATGGGCGGGATTGGCTTGCCTGACAATTCAATCAACATGGAGGCACATAGCTATTATAATTATCTGAGCACCAGTACATCGCGCTTCCACCAGACTGTCAGGACAAATCAAATCATTTTCTGTTACCAAGATAATATTGTCATACATAGCCTGAAGTCTATTCCCTCCTCTAAAAAGAGAGTTTTTAATCAACGTAAGTAATGAATTCAATTTTGCCACTAGAAACAAGCTCATTATCTGATAAGACAAAAAAACTTCTTGCTTATCCATTTCATGGTATTTTGAGTTTCCTTGTTTGTATTCTGAGTTAAGCTTTGCTGCCCATTCTACAGAGCTGACATATTAATTTATCCTGAGTAATGCTGTCACTTTGCTCACTCTTTTTATGGCAACATCTTCCTCTCCTTCTCTTCTTTCCCCCCCACAATCCAGCTGTGTCTGATCATTCATGACAATGAGAAAATGTTACGCAAATTGGTTTTGATCAGGCGCAGCACCAAAGAAACGTAAAAAAAATAATCAAGAAATTCCAAACTGCCTTTTTTTTTGTACACAGCCCCACTAAAATGTTTGGGTGCTAATAAGCATTCCACAATCTGCTGAAGATGGTATTTGGCTCTCCCACCCCACACCAGCCACAATGCACTTTGCACCTCTGGTTCTCGTCGCTAAATTGTCAATACCACTACCATCATAAAACACTAAGTAGTAAAATTAAATGGATTTCAAAAAGTAATGGAAAAACAGCTGACATTCCTTTCCAAAATACACACACACACACACACACACACACACACAGAGAGAGAGAGAGGCAAACACACAGAGAGAGAAAATGCTACAAGTCCCAGGCACCAAATAATAATAATAATAATAATAATAATAAATTTATACCCCGCCCATCTGGCTGGGTTTCCCCATCCACTCTGGGCAGCTTCCAACAAAATATTAAAAACACAATAAAACCAAACATTAAAAACTTCCCTAAACAGGGCTGCCTTCAGATGTCTTCTAAAAGTCAGATAGTTGTTTATTTCCTTGACATCTGCTGAGAGGGCATTCCACAGGGCGGGTGCCACTACCGAGAAGGCCCTCTGCCTGGTTCCCTGTAGCTTCACTTCTCATAGTGAGGGAACCGCCAGAAGGCCCTCAGTGCTGGACCTCAGTGTCCAGGCTGAACGATGGGGGTGAAGAGGCTCCTTCAGGTATACTGGGTGTAATCCAAAAGGATTACAATCCCTATTGAACTCTGGAACGGATACAGTGCCCTGGGATGAACATCCAAAAGCAAAACATTTGACCAGCAACAGTCAATGCAGCGACGCCCAATTGTTGTCGACTATAGCTCCCACTGGGAATTGTAGTTCACAATTCCTGGAGGGCACCAAGACTGACTACAGTGGTGCCCCGCAAAACGAATGCCTCGCAAGACAAAAAACTCGCTAGACAAAAGGGTTTTGCGTTTTTTGAGCTGCTTTGCAAGACGAATTTCCCTATGGGCTTGCTTCGCAAGACGAAAAACAAAAACGTCTTGCAAGTTTGTTTCCTTTTTCTTAACACCGTTAATACAGTTGCGACTTGACTTCAAGGAGCAACTCATAGAACGCGGTGTGGTAGCCTTTTTTGAGGTTTTTGAAGACTTTGGTGATTTTTGAAGCTTTTCCAAAACTTCTTTTGCAGCCATTTGGTAAGTTAAACTTTTAAAACTTTTTGGGGGGGTTTTGGATTTTGGGTTGGGGTGTTTGGAATTCAAGGACTTGGTGTTGGGGAGGGGTTTGCAAGAATCTGGAAGCTTGTGTGTTTTTTTCTGCATTTTTATGATTTTCTGTGACCATTGGGCCACTCTGCTGTTTTTTAAAAAAATTCTGGATTTGAATTTCTGTGTGGTGGGTGGCTGGGGAACAGTTGAGGAGGGGTTCTTCAGCAAGAAGCAAAGAGTGGAAGAGGAACCTTCTTCGAGTTGTCCCCAGAGTCTTAGAAAATGTACTGTACACTTTGTTGATTTTTAAATGTTTTTCTGTCATGTTTAGAAACTTAATTTATTGTTCCTTCAATTTTGAAATGCTCTTTACAGTATGTGTGACTTTAAAGAGCACTTAATAAACTCTTGTTGTACCAAATTTGGCTTTGTTTGGACTTTTTTTGACCATAGGAACGCATTAATTGAATTTCAATGCATTCCTATGGGATTTCGTGCTTCGCAAGACGAAAAATTCGCTAGACGAAAAAACTCGCGGAACTAATTAATTTCGTCTTGCGAGGCACCACTGTACTCCTGAATCTGAGTTTAGGTCTCATCATGCAAATAAAATAGAGGAGGGCAGGTAACCACCTAATGCCATGGGCTCTGCACAGCTACAGTGCCATGGAAGTCTATTTGGATTTATGGAGGATGTGGTTTGTTGCTTACCCCAAACTGCCTCTTTCATTTGTATTCAGCTACTGAAAGGAGCTTCTGTAAGAAACTAATGCTGCTTCTCAGTATGCACGTTGCGCTTCCCAACCCTTCAAAGTGTTTAACGATCAATGACAACCACCAACTTAGTCCATGAAAGCTTGGGGAAAGTCCTTTGAAGTAGATACTAAACCGTCTGAAGCAGCCTGTTCTACTTAATTCTTCCTCTATTTCATACTTCAATAAGGCAGGCAATCATCACAACAGACCAACTTCTCCAGGACAAAGGGATTAAGGACTAAACTTCACCCATTCGTACTCGGACTTCTCGGGTAAGATGGGCATTTCGCAGGGAGAAGAGCAGAAATACCCTGGCTCTAATAAGACGTTCTTGGAATGTTCCACCGCTGCTACTATGCATTGGGCATTCTTGAGATTTACCTTCATCCTCACAGTGGAAACTAAAACAAGCACAGGGCACTGTGGGATTCCACTTTGGACATTCTTGTGCCATACTGGATACCTAGTGAGCAGTCTGATACATTCAGAGCATTTTCCACTAGTAAGTTAGAGCCATATTCTTCTCCCCCCCCCCTCTAAATTTTTATTGGAATTTTATTTACAACATAACATAAACCCCCCACTCCCAATGCACAAATCCACCCTCATTAAACGTGAGCATAACATACAGTGAGCATAACATACAGTGAGCATAACATACAACAATACAAACAACCAAATAAAAGACTTCCTTTATCCTGTATCTGGCCTCCTTATTTACTTCTTATAAACTGTTTCCTTTATGAATAATTATTAAGATTTTTCTAATTATAACTTAAATATCCGCAAAGTCTCCTGCAGACATTAATTGAAACAAGTCCAGGTATACTGTATATTTTAGGGCACTGTTTTGTGAAGTATTCTCTGCATTTCCCCCATGCTTTTTGAAACTCTTGTCTAGTGTGATCTCTAATTGCCTCTGATAATCTAGCCAGTTCAATATACTCTTAACAGTTTCAGTTAGAGCCATCTTCATGTCAAATAGGGTACACTACACTAGACTCTATGACACCCACTGTGATAAAACTATCCGAGAGCTTTCTCTAGTGTAGAGAAAATGGTCAACCTGCTACTTCTAAAGAAAATGGCGGTTGCTCCGCTGTTATCTGATAGGGGCCCCGTTTCCAAGCATGGAATGTTTCAAAAATGCCAGAAGCCCAGGACAGCTGTGCTTCCCATTGCAGGATCCAGATGTAGCATAAATACACAGCAGCCTCTGCGAGTATGCAGAGCTGCTGTTAGAGAAGATGTGCATGGAGCCTCAGCCCATAACTGGGCTCAATATCCTTTAATGTAGGCATCACAGCATATATTCTCTGTTCCAAGGCCTCCTCCGCTGTCTACCTCCCATCCTGGCATAATAGAACCACAGACTTAATTCATGGGCTGTCAGCAATTTTCCTTATTGCTTTGATTTGAAAGTGAAAAGTTACTGTCATAACATCTTAAGCACCCATTACCATAAAAACGTATAACTATTCAAATCAAAGGCATAACGCTTTCATTCCAGACAATTAATTATTGCAAGATGCTAGCAAATTCAAATGATGCTTCCACTCGCATAATAATTAGACCAAATGTGAAGTGTGTGTTTGTGTGTGTGTGTGTGTACATTGGATATACACTGAGTAAGAGGACCGAGCGAACAGTTCACATCACTCACTTATAAAGGAACTTACTCGAGACCGTGATAGTGGCAGCCAGCAGCCTTTTCAAAGGGCAAGCTTCTGAGTTTTCGAGGAGTTAGCTCTGGCGTCAGAAGGAAAGTATTTTCACTGAACAGGGTGGGGAGGGAGAAAGAACTGATTTTAATTTGCAGCTATGGCTTATTTATAGAATGCAGGATAACTTTTTTACAGGAAGAACAGCAACTGTCTGCCACATTGGCACCATATTATTAAAATTACACTGGCACAGTTAAACCTCAATTCATAGTATGCAACAGGGGTGGGGAACCTACAGCCCATGGCCCAGTTTTGGCCCGTGAGGCCGTTTTCCCCAAAACACACCCACCTTTCAACCGGTGGGTGTCACTTATGCTGTCAGCTAGCGGGCGGGAAGGTGGGGTTCAATTCCGCATTGGTCCTGGGTGCCTGGCTCCCAGCAGGTAACAGGCATGCACAGACAAAGGGGGAGGAGTTAACACCCAATTGGCAGCTGACAAGCCAGGGTTTAATCCTGCTCAGTTTAGCTGTGCGCCCCTGTTCCCAGCAGAAAACAGGCACGCACAACCAAACAAAGAAAGCAACCCCCCCTGCAACTATAGGCTATTTGAGAGAAAGAGACTTCCTCACCACACACCATGCCACCCCACCCAAGCCAATGCTTGGAAAAAAACTTAGAGCTTTCTTGGGCTATGTGTGCCTATTTCCAGCAGGGAACAAGTGTGCACAGACAATGCAGCAGGAAATAATAATAATAATAATAACAACAACAATAATAATAATAATAATAATAATAATTTATTATTTGTACCCCGCCCATCTGGCTGGGTTTCCCCAGCCACTCTGGGCGGCTTCCAACAAAGATTAAAAATACATTAGAATGTCACACATTAAAAACTTCCCTGCCTTCAGATGGCTTCTAAATGTCAGGTAGTTGTTTATCTCTTTGACATCTGATGGGAGGGCGTTCCACAGGGCAGGTGCCACTACCGAGAAGGCCCTCTGCCTGGTTCCCTGTAGCTTTGCTTCTTGCAGTGAGGGAACCGCCAGAAGGCCCTCGGCGCTGGACCTCAGCATCCAGGCTGAATGATGGGGGTGGAGACACTCCTTCAGGTATACAGGACTGAGGCCGTTTAGGGCTTTAAAGGTCAACACCAACACTTTGAATTGTGCTTGGAAACATACTGGGGCCAATGTAGGTCTTTCAAGACCGGTGTTATGTGGTCTCGGCAGCTGCTCCCAGTCACCAGTCTAGCTGCCGCAAAGAAATCAACCAAATAACACTTTTTTGGTAACTCATTGGATTAGTTGTAGTTTCCAGGTCACCTCCAAAGGTAGCCAAGTAGAGCGCATTGTAGTAGTCCAAGCGGGAGATAACTAGAGCATGCACCACTCTGGCGAGACAGTCTGCAGGAAGGTAGGGTCTCAGTCTGTGTACCAGATAAAGCTGGTAGACAGCTGCCCTGGATACAGAATTGACCTGTGCCTCCATGGACAGCTGTGAGTCCAAAATGACTCTCAGGCTGCGCACCTGGTCCTTCAGGGGCAAAGTTACCCCATTCAGGACCAGGGAGTCCTCCACACCTGCGCACCCCTGTCCCCCAAGAACAGTACTTCTGTCTTGCCAGGATTCAACCTGCTGGTCAGCTGACAAACAGCTGGGTGAAATCCTGATCAGTTTGGCTGTGTGCACTTGTTCCCAGCAGAAAGCAGGCAAGCACAGCCTGAAAAATGCCGGCTTCATATTCCCTGCTCCCTTCAGGGGGAGAGGAGAGGAAAAAGCGCTTTGCCAGCCCTGCGCTGAGCACTTCCAAACTGCAATGCCCCTTGCGCTGCAGTTCCCAAGAGCCTGACGGGCAGCGGGCATGTGGAAGCCCGTGCAAGGGATTTTGACAAATGGTTGGGGCAACCCAACTCTCAAAGGACGCCAGGTGATTGACAGGTGAGCAGCCCCACCCACCCATCAAACTTGCGCCCCCCCCCCCCCAACAATCCTGATAAGAAAATGGTCTATGGAGCTGAAAAGATTCCCCACCCCTGTCCCGTTATTGATTTTGCAGGTGTGGTGCACACCTTCAGCAGCGGAGAAATTACTATTAGGCACCTGAAGGAGGTATTAGAAAAAACATCTCACATAGATTCCAAAAGGCAATCCCAGCCTTCAGGATTGCCATCTTAAAGAATGAACTATTCAACAGTGCGTTGTATTCCTAACAAGGCCTTACCTCTTTTGAACGTGTAAAGGCTGCAGATCCCCAATGGGCAGGCCTTCTGGGGTGAAATACTTCAGCAGCTCTTTGGCATCAAGTGATATTGCAGGGCCCTTTTGGCTTTCTTTACGGGCAAGTAATTCAGAAGCCCTGGAGAGGGAAACAAAACAGATGAACAAAAATCACTAACTACACCGATAGCTGATGTTGAATAGGCAGTGCGTTTTATAAAAAAACTGCCAACATTTAAGCCATGTTAATGTTACCTGGCTTTTCGTTTAATTTTTTCAGTGCTTTCCAAGTTCTGCAGGACGTTTCTTTCTGGCCACTTCAAAGGATTTGAATCTTTCAGCTCTAAATGTGAGACGTTGGAGGTGGGGGAAAGGGGGTGAGGAGGAGGAATAAAGTCAAAACAATACCATAACCCACTGCAAAATCTAGATGTGGCATAGAATCTACCAGCTTCCCGTTATACCTCATGGGAGTCCTGTATAACTCAAAAGTCTGCATTTTTCTAAGCGTTTTGTACAGATTCTGCAACGCCTGTGGCAACTACTGCCTACACCATTATAATGAATCCTATTAGCTCTGACTGTACTTTGCAGCATCAACAAAAGCAAACAGCTGGAATGATCAACGATGAGCGTTAGAACATAGCAAGATCAGAAAAGCATCTTAAAATATTAACTTTTGTCTAAAACATGTGCTGTGCATTTCGCTTTATGCATTTTGTACAGTGGTACCTCGGTACAGTGGTACCTGCCAACCTAGTAGTTCGAAAGCACGTCAAAGTGCAAGTAGATAAATAGGTACCACTCCGGCAGGAAGGTAAACGGCATTTCCGTGCACTGCTCTGATTCGCCAGAAGCGGCTTAGTCATGCTGGCCACATGACCCGGAAGCTGTACGCCAGCTCCCTTGGCCAATAAAGCGGGATGAGCACTGCAAACCCGAGTCGTCCGCGACTGGACCTAACGGTCAGGGGTCCCTTTACCTTTACCTCGGGTTACAGACGCTTCAGGTTACAGACGCTTCAGGTTACAGACTCCTCTAATCTAGAAATAGTACCTCGGGTTAAGAACTTTGCTTCAGGGTGAGAACAGAAATCGCGCAGCGGCAGCAAGAGGCCCGTTAGCTAAAGTGGTGCTTCAGGTTAAGAACAGTTTCAGGTTAAGAACGGACCTCTGGAATGAATTAAGTTCTTAACCCGAGCTACCACTGTACTTGAATGTCGATCTTAAGCTCTGCTCAACCGATTGGAATAATGGGATTCAAACAAACAAATAAATCAACCAAACACCACTTTTTTGGTGACTCATTAAAAAGGCACACTTTTTTTTCTTATGACTGGTCTGGAAGACTTGCATTTCACCTCTTTCTTGGAATTAAGCCGCTTGTTTCCCTCTACTCCCCGCTGTGTTTGTGTACTGTGTGTGCTCCATGAGTGTGTGCACATGCTGGCGCCCAGCCCTCAAGAAAGGTGGTGAACCCTCAATGTGGCCTTCAAGGCGAGAGAAGTCAGCCACTGCATCCTATATCTCTGCGTTTCTAGTGCCAGATTAAGGCACACTTGTTCTCCCAGGCTGTTGGAGGAATCTGATTTGATTGGTTAAAGCCTGCTGCTTTAATTCTGCTGGCATTGTACCAGGGTGTTGATGACCATTCCCTTTAACATTTTTGGTGGTTGTTATAGTGGTCGTTTTAACTTTGTAATCCATGTTTTATTGCTTTTAGGCAGTTTTACATGACACAATTGTAAACCACGCTAAGAGCTTGATTTGAAGGAGTGTGGTTCAAAAGTTGGATGAATAATAATATTAAAAAGCCAAGATACAAACAAGCTGCTTTTACTCGCTTCACTCCAGCCAAGCCAAGAAAGCTGCCGTTTACTTCAGCTTCCTGTTACATCTGAAGAGGGAAAATATGATTAGTGGCTTCTAAACAAGCCAGGATATTAAATCAGCTTTAAAAAAAAATTTGAAGTCAATGTTAAATCACATCTTCACATTCTGGCTTGCTTAGTTCTCCAGTTTTTGCTGCTCTCTAGCTTGTTTCGCTGCTCTCGCCAAGGGAGGAGCACGCTCACTGATGTTCTTAAGGGAAAGAATGTCATGATTGATAGGTACAGTCGTACCCTGGTTTTCGGACAGCTTAGTTCTTGAATGTTTTGGCTCCTGCAAACCTGGGAGTGATTGTTCCAGTTTGTGAACGTTCTTTAGGAACCTGGACGTCGAACGGGGCTTCCGCAGCTTCCGATTGGCTGCAGGAGCTTCCTGTAGCCAATCAGAAGCCACACTTTGGTTTCCGAACGTTTTGGAAGTCGAACGGACTTCCGTTCGACTTTGAAGCTACGACTGTAGACATATTGAGGATGATGATGATGATTTATTACCTGCCCTTCACCCTAAGGTCCCAGGGTGGATCGCAACACTGAAACACAATATTAAAAACAGTTTAAAACAACTGACAGTCACAGAAATCAGGCGGGTCCTAAAATATACACCTCAAGTATCAAAAGCCAGCATTTTCCCAAGTGTTAATAACTATGCAACCAAATTATGCCTACCATAAGCTGTACCCTGAACTTTGGCTTTGACAGGTGCTACAGGGCGATTTAGCTGGCTGGTGCTCCACAACTCCAAATAACGTTCTCTGGTACATGTCAGCAAGGTTTTCAGTTCGTCGCTTGAAACCACCGGGAGCTGCCTGGCAGATTCCTGCCTTTCTGCAACAGAGAACACAAAAGCTCAGCTTTTCTTCTTCTTTGGTTACTGACATGGTACTCTCAACGTGAGGTATATAGTGATGTTAATCAATAACAATTTACTAAAGTAACAACATCACCTCTGACCGAATGTTGCTGCCAAGAAAAGAAAGAAAAGCAATCTGGAGGCAAATGTGAATCACCTTTACAAAAAGCTACCTAGGAAAAAAATATGCATTTGTTCCAGTAATCTCTTCTCATTTGCAACCAATAACAACAATAAATGTTTGTCGTTTCTAGCAGACAATTAATAATGCACTTTTCTCCAAGGTATTCTTTTAATTAAATAAAGTCTTCATGATTCACTGAACTAGATTAAGACAAGCAGTGATTCCGGTGCAGCATGGAAATCAGAATGAACCAGTCAAGAACGAATTGTCAAGCAATATGGATAGAATTCCCATCTCTCGGTTGTCACAAACCTCAACAGTATAATCTACATAACATGCAAACCGTTCACTAATTCAGCAAATGAGGCATATTAATTCATGAATTTTGTGTATACTTCCAATAGTCGCCACAGGAAGTTTGGGAAGGAGTAGTGGGAAGTGTTGTTCTTTTTTAACCCAGCCATTTGCCAACGCCTAGCTATTTGCTCTGGGACGCAGGTGGCGCTGTGGGTTAAACCACAGAGCCTAGGACTTGCTGATCAGAAGGTCGGCAGTTCGAATCCCTGTGACAGGGTGAGCTTCCGTTGCTTGGTCCCTGCTCCTGCCAACCTAGCAGTTCGAAAGCTCCTCAAAGTGCAAGTAGATAAATAGGTACCACTCCAGCGGGAAGGTAAATGGCGTTTCCGTGCGCTGCTCTGGTTCACCAGAAGCGGCTTAGTCATGCTGGCCACATGACCCGGAAGCCACATGACCCGGAAGCCACATGACCCGGAAGCTGTACGCCGGCTCCCTCGGCCAATAAAGCGAGATGAGTGCCGCAACCCCAGAGTTGGCCATGACTGGACCTAATGGTCAGGGGTCCCTTTACCTTTAGCTATCTATCAATTCACCAAAGCATGCGGGAAACATAGCTGGTGGCTATAGTCTCACCTTGCTTCTGCTGTTCCTGTAGTTGAAGGCTATGGGACAGCTCCCCACATATGCTTAAAAAAGAGGTTGCAGGGGGTGCTCCTTTTTCCAAGGCCTCACCTGGAGCTTTTGTCAAATGGGTACCAAAAACAAAATATCCTCCCTTAGCGCTTAGCTTGTTGTTCAGAAGAAAATGGAAGGTGCTTGTAGTCAGCCGAAGTAAGATTCAGGCAGCATTTTTTATTTATTTGGAAATACCCACATTGATCTTAGTGGGGTTCATTGGAACATACTCCTAAGTAAGGCTGTATAGGATTGCAGCCTTAAAGCCAATCTTAATGAGGTTCACACAGATTGAGAAGAAAGCCAATGGTCCCAATGGGATTGAATTACAAGTGCAGCTGTACAGAGGCATTTATTTCCTTGACTGGAATCAATCCATGAGGTAGGGAGAAGAATGGCAGCTCTGCCTCCCCTAGTGTTCCCCCTCCCAGGAGCTAAGTGAGAATCTAAAGTGAGCCTGTTCTGCTCATTTACACTCCTCTCACTGTGTAGAGCACTGGGTTCATGACTAGCCCTGTTTTCTATTTGTTGCTTGCTAAATGTTTTTATTTAATCTTCGTATTACGTTAGCTCCAATAAGGAAGTGATTATTTCAACAATATACAACAAACCACTTATCCTGGTGTTCCTACAGACTACTTGTGCCCTGTTGAAACGACAAAATCTCTACTGGGTATTTGGTTTTCGTTTTGAACTTTCATCGCACCCTCCGATTCATCTATCTGCCCTGCAAGCAGGCAAAGACTCCCCTGCCCTCAAAAAAACAAAACAGAATATGTGATTTGAAGTAATTCGGGGATGACGGGACCCATTATCCTAAGCCTGGTTTGAGTTACCTGATGTGCAGTTGTAATTTTTCTTAATGACAACCCTTTTAAACAATATTTGAACTTACGAGCTTCTCCAGGGCTTATAAATGTAAATAGTGTCAAATTAAACTCCAAATTAAGATAAATGTGGTTTATATCAGTTCTCTCTGTTACTCACTCCGGCAGTGATTCAAAGCCAATGCTTGGGCACGAGCCAATTTCTTCTCTCTCTGTAAAATCTGTTCTCCGCAGAAATGTGGGAGAGATCTGATGAATTCTTCAAACAAACCTGTGTTGATAGGGAAGGGCAGGGAGATGAGAGGTGTTCTTAAAAAATGCTGATCAAATTAGAATCTTAGAATCACATGAGAATCATAGAATTGTGGAGTTGGAAGGGACCCCCAGGGTCATCTAGTCCAACCCCCTGCAATGCAGGAATCTCACCTAAAGCATCGTGGGCAGATAACCACCAAACCTTTGCTTTAAAAACCTCCAAGGAAGAAGAGTTCACAAACTCCCGAGGGAGTCCCTTCCACTGTCAAACAGCTCTGACTGTCAGAAAGTTCTTCCTGATGTTTAGCCACAATCTCTTTTCTTGTAGCTTATCGATTGGTACGGGTCCTAGGCCCCAGAGCAGGAGAAAACAAGCTTGTTCCATATTCCATGTGGTAGCCCTTGAGATATTTGAAGGTGGCTATTGTATCTCCTCCCAGTCTCCTCTTTAGTAGGCTAAGAATTACAGTGGTACCTCGGGTTACAGGTGATTCAGGTTACAGACTCCGCTAACCCAGAAATAGTACCTCGGGTTAAGAACTTTGCTTCAGGATGAGAAAAGAAATCGCGCAGCGGGGGTGCGGCAGGGGGCCCTATTAGCTAAAGTGGTACCTCAGGTTAAGAACGGTTTCAGGTTAAGAATGGACCTCTGGAATGAATTAAGTTCGCAACCAGAGGTACCACTGTAGTAGTATTGAAATAGTCCCTCTTAAGCTTTAAAGGCTTACCAAAGTGCTGGTTTGGCATTAGGCGAATACAATGGTACCTCGGGTTACAAACGCTTCAGGTTACAGACTCCGCTAACCCAGAAGTAGTACCTCAGGTTAAGAACTTTGCCCCAGGATGAGAACAGAAATCACGCAGCGGCGGGAGGCCCCATTAGCTAAAGTGGTACCTCAAGTTAAGAACAGTTTCACATTAAGAAGGGACCTCCAGAACGAATTAAGTACTTAACCCGAGGTACCACTGTATATTGAATTATGAAATCTAACAATGCGACTGACAATGCTTAACGAGATGCCTAATAAGTACTACTATTAACATTCAATGATGTATTTCTATATTCAGACTGATCCCTTTCTATACCTGAAAAAAAAAGTCCCCCGTCCCCCCAAATTGGGAATAAATATGAATGGGATGCTTATTAGCAGCTTTTCAAAACTATTAAGATTGGCCACCCTTGTCCACATGCTGTTTGATCCATCAACAAACACGGGAAAAGTCACCATTGTCCTGTCCAGCTCTAGCAAACCCCCTGCAGTGTTCTAATTCTGAGACATATTTTGCTGGGAAAAGCAATAAAAGAAAACAACTAACCCCATCTTTGACAACCTGGTGCCTTCTGTTTGTTTTGGACCACAACTCCCACCAGGAGGGCTGCAGACTGGCAAAAGCTGCTCTAACCCGTGCAACTGTAATGCGTAGCAGTGTGTATAATAGCTATTCCAAGATTTGTCTCATCAAAGTCAGTGAGAAAACACTCAGGAGAACAAGCCTGTACACAGATCTCATTCCCCGACTGAAAGAACTAATAGGCAAGCTCACAGGCTTGATTAGTTCTTAGACGTTAGAATTGGTTAAAATGATTAATATCCTTATTATCTTGGATCTAAGACTCCAAACACTGAATATATTAGAGCTCTGTTTTTAAAAAGAAATTGGTGCAGTCCACATCTTGTTCTACTTGGAAGGAAAGTAATGCGCCATAATACTTACATGCTTCACTTTCTCCTGTCTTTGTGGTAAATTTTCCGGTTGTTTTTGCAAGAGTGAGTGATCCATTGATCTGACTGGCTGAATAGATCAATGTTGCTTTGCAACCTCCACGGCCGTTGCCTTGTACCAAGAAATAATAGTTGCACGTTTCTCCTTTCAGTTCAACTTCTGGAACTAATTAGAACACAAGAAGTTGTGCAAGTAAAGGCTTCAGACCTTACTAAAGTAAACAGTAATTTGTTCAATAAACACATACAGAAAATCTAGAATAAATATTACTAAGTTATAGATTTAGGATAGCCAGGGTTCCTCTAATAAGAGAAGTAAATACATTTGAACTTTCATTAATTAAAACACACACACACACAATTTCTTCATAAATTTAAAGAAAACCTGATAAATTATTCAGATTAATATATTTAGGCTGCAATGTTATATCCGCTGGCTAGGAAGCAAGCCCACTGAATACACTGGGGATTACTCCTGAGTAAACACATATAAGGTTATGTTATTAGGTCATCCTAGTATGTGAGCTCTTATTTGTATACTTAAGGAAATAGAAGCATTTCTTTTTTTATACTGCTTTAAAAAAAGCTTCAAAAGAGGTATTATTTTTATGCAAGTTTCACATACAATTAATAAAGATCTACCAAGAGTTTCAAGAGAAAAAAGATCAATTGGGGCAGGGATGAAAAAAGTGGGCCAGCAGGACAGGGAAAGAGTGCAAATGTAGTAAAAAAAAAGACAACTTACCATTAATGAGTCTGGGTTTCTGGGCTATATATTCTTTCCATTTTTTTGAGCTCAGCTGCACAGGTAAAGGAACCAACATGCTGCTTACTCTGCAAGGCAATAAAAATAAGGCTCCTACCTGCAGAAAAAGCATATGTACACTTTTCCATTACCAAATAAACATCATAGGAGAAAGATTTTTAAAGGGCCAGGTAGTATTATGACTGATCTTTCAAGGACAGTTGAAACGATGACAAAAGAACGCTGCTCTACCTCGAAAATGAGGGGGGGAAACCCCATGGCTTCTCTAGTCACAAAAGGGCAACTTCGCTAATCCCTTCCTCCTGCATTGCGGGGGTCATGCAAACAGGTCACTTGTGTGAACATTTATCTGCACATGTTAAGATGGCTGCCATAATGCCTTAGATGTTCTGAATCAAGTGAACGCAACAACATCCAGACCAATAAATCTGCTTGATTCTTTTTTCCCCTTTTTAAAAAATATATCTTTAGTAATTTAAAACAAACACATTTATGAAAAACAGACGTACATACAAGTAAACAAACGTACAATCAAACAAATAACAGAAAAATCAAACAAACCACCACACTATAAGATATAAGAAGACTGATATAATTATCATCATATATACTCCTGGTATTGAGCACAATTATAAAATTTATAGAAAAGAAATTTAAAACCGACTTCCAATTAACCTCACTGTACTTTGTCTATCCATTACTTATACTGCACAGTTACATATTTCTTATATCATTTCTTTTTACCTCCCTACAAACTTATATGTATACAATACAGAGGCCAACCAAAACAAAAAGTATATAAGGATTGGAGAATATTTAGAAAACTATGGAATAAAAGGAAACATCTTGGCAGAATTAGACTGATCCCAGTGTTGTATAAATCTGCTTGATTCTTGTTGCAAACTGCAGCCTCACTTTAGGGCACATATTACCCTGTATTTTGGATATGGAAGATACTGAACTTTTATGCCCATTTCTCTTTATTCCATGCATTTACAACCCTAGGCATATGGCTCGTAATTTAGAAACGATGTGCATTTCCAGTAAAAACACTAAACTACTGTTGAGTATTATTTGATGCGGGTGGCGCTGTGGGTTAAACCACAGAGCCTAGGACTTGCCGATCAGAAGGTCGGCGGTTCGAATCCCCGTGATGGGGTGAGCTCCCGTTGCTCGGTCTCTGCTCCTGCCAACCTAGCAGTTCGAAAGCACGTCAAAGTGGACCTAATGTTCAGGGGTCCCTTTACCTTACTGTTGAGTATTATTTGAGTGATCCTAAAGGAGCCATGGGCTCATGCACTCTCTCTCTCGCCTCTGCTATAGCTGTGAGAAGTGGGGAAGCTTTCACTTTCACTTTAGCAACCCGTTCTAACCGAATTCATGGAAACCATGGTTAAAATACGGTTCGTTTAACCATGCCAAGGTCAAACCATGGTTTGTGAGCTTTGGCTTGCTGGCAATAGTTTAGAGTTACATTCATTAAATCAATGCTTCTCAACCTTGAGTGGCAAAGCTGTTGTTGGACTACAACTCCCATTATCTCTGTCTACTGGTACTGCTAGCTAGGGATCATGGGTTCTGTAGTCCAGCTGAAGACCAAAGGTTGAGAAACACTGCATTAAATATATAATTTGTACTTAGAAGGTTTGTGAATAGTCCTCAGATACTACTGTGCTACAAAGCAAAGCACTTGCTATCTTTCCAAGAAACTCTCTACCCCAAATGGAAACTATGCTTATTTGTATTTAAGCTAATGTGCTCATTACTCATATTTACCCGAGAAATAAGGTGACACACCAGAGACCAATGTACATATAAAACTTAACATTATACTTGATTTTCCAAAGAGACCAGTGCTTTTTTTATTTAAAAAAATGTTTAGGGGTACTCTTATTTTCCTACTCATATTGAAATACTGCCCCCCAATGAGGCCAAACTTAGATGCACAAAATGTTTAGGAGTATGCGTCCCCCCAGAAAAAAGCACTGCAAGAGACAAGATACCTTTCCACGCAGAGAAGAAATCTGATTCCAAAATAGCAGAGATTTCTCCTCCACATCAGTTCTTGCCAAGCTCCTACACAGAGAGTTAAAGAACCATTTTGTCAGGTGCTGGTGTGGTTGCTCAAGAGCAAACAGGCAAGACTCCGACCTGTCTTTTTCAGGCTTTATTATCTGTACAAACTATTTACAGTGCAGAGCGTTGCAAGTCCATGTCTGCTCAGTCGCTAGCAGAATCTGGGAGTGGGTGGTCCTTATACCTTCCCCCAGCATAACAGCCGTGTGACCTCCCCTCTCTGCGCCAAAGACTACTGCACAGAATGGGCGCTGGCAAAGAGGGACTTGCCTCCCCTCCGGTTTGCTCAGGCTCGGTGTTGAGGCTCTCCCTAGCATCTTCTGATCCCAGCACCCCCTCCCCACTGGAGGTGGGGCTTCCCTCCTCGCCAGAGGAAGAACTGCTTCGCACGATCTTCGGAGGCTCCCTGTACCACACCTGCCCTTCCACCTCTCGCCTGAGCTGATAGCAGTTCCCTGACACATTTCTTCACAGAATCACAGAATTGGAAGGGACCAACGAGGGTCATCTACTCCAACTCCCTGCAATGCCCAACATGTGGTTCGCACCCACCACCCTGAGATACAAGGGTCTCATGCTCTACATCAGTGGTGCCCAAACTTTTTTTAAAGAGGGACAGATTTGAGGAAGTAAAGGGCCGTGGGGGCCAACCAAAGTTGTTAACCTTTTTTTAGGATTTTACACCAGGAAATAAACCGCCACAGGGCCCGAATTAAACCGACCGGCGGGCCGGATTAGACCCCCCAAAACAGACTTTGGACGTGCCTGCTCTGCATGCACTCAAAGCATCTAAATCGCGCAAAATGGGTCTGGTAACAAAAGGATACAGCTCAAACTGAAGACCCGACACTAAAGATGAAGGCAGATGTGACAGCATCACTATCTGTACAAATTTCAATGCAGGGCAATAATAATGGAAAACCTAAGAAGAAATTAAGTTGAAAGGGTTATTAGGCAAACACATATACCACCAATACCTCTAAATGAGATGATTCTATATGTTTATGGCAAGAATATTTTTTAAACAAACAGCACATAGAGGTTTCTGTACTTCCTTTTCTCTTGCACAGTCAAAAAGCCCCCATAGTTAAAATACCCTCTGAAACGGCCAAGTCACAAGGTAATGGAAAGGAAAATCAACCATGATGAGCACAACCTAGGCTCAACTGAATTCCTTGACCAAAAATATTTTTTTTAATCCCCAACAGCAGCCACGCTTTAAACACATGTTGCTACATTTACTTGCATTTCTCTTCCCTAATTTTCATGTGATTAGGTAAGTGTGATCTTTCCCCCCTTTTTAGCACAGAGAACCTGCAGCCAGATTTTCAAATATTCTCTTTCATTTTTGCCTGTGAATGTTTTCCAGTCTCCTTAAAACAAATCTTCAATTTTACCGCATGCCTATTGCCTAGATTTAGCCACTATTGATTCCTAAAGAGGAGAAGTGCCGTTTCAAAGACACGTAAAACACAGGCTTTACCTCCGACAAACAAGCATTAGTATTCTGCCTACGTCCAGTTTCATCGGCAGTAAAGTAAGAATTTAAAGCCAAGGTGCCGAGCTGCCTTCCTGATGCAGTGCCTTTTATACAGAAGTCTGGAAAAGTAATTTCAGATCCAAACTGAAGAAAACAAAAAAGAAAAATGTAAGTGCAAAAAAGTCTATAGTAGGAGTTGCATTTGTTTCTTTTTAAATTAGTCAAAAACACTTAAGGTGAAAAAAGAAAACACAACGAATGGAATTAAAAACAATGCATTACTAGATTTTTTGATTTTTTTAAAAAAACACTTTCAAAAGCTTTTTCCTTGCTTGTGTGCTCAGATAAGCTGGTCCCACCTACATCCCCTGCCCTTCTTTCTGGGGAAGGAAGTGGATAGCAGAGAGTCCAGATTTGAATGCTGAATAATAGTAGTAGTAGTAGTGATGATAATAATAATAATAATAATAATAATAATAATAATAATAATAATAATAAATTATTTCTACCCCACCCATCTGGCTGGGTTTCCCCAGCCACTCTGGGCGACTTTCAACAGAACATTAAAAACAGAATAAAACTTCAAGCATTAAAAACCTCCCTAAACAGGGCTGCCTTCAGATGTCTTCTAAAAGTCAGATAGTTGTTTATTTCCTTGACATCTGCTGGGAGGGCGTTCCACAGGGCGGGCGCCACTACCAAGAAGGCCCTCTGCCTGGTTCTCTGTAACCTCACTTCTCGCAGTGAGGGAACCGCCAGAAGGTCTTCGGCGCTGGACCTAATGCTTCTTTAAATGCACAAGTATTATTCCTCACCCCAACTCAAAATCTCCTGCTGTGGTAAGAAGAGAGGAAGGCATGTGCACAACAGGAAGTGGGAGACCTGCTTCCTTTGTGTGCCTCATGCCTCTTTACTGTTTAGATGCTTTTCTATCGCCTTCACTTCTCTGTCCCTCTGTGTTGGCATCTTCACCATCCAAGGTGGATATACAGTAGTACCTTGGACCCCAAATGCCCTGGAACTTGGACGTTTTGGCTGCCGGACACTGCAGTGATTGTTCCGGTGTGCAAACATTCTTTTGGAACCCAAACGTCCGACGGGGCTTCTGATTGGCTGCAGGGGCTTCCTGCAGCCAATCAGAAGTCGCAATGTGGTTTTCGAACGTTTTGGAAGCTGAACGGACTTCCGGAACGGATTCCGTCCGACTTCCAAGGTACGACTGTACATGTGGATTTGGGATCTGCACACTGCGCTTGTAGTGACTGATGGTGCTTAAATGAGGCTTCTCTGGCAGGGAACTTGAAGCATGCCATCGTCGGATAGCCCTATTATCTTCCTTTGTCGTATCTGGCACCGGGCTTTGTGGGCTCTGCCAGTGAAGCAATTTGACAACTGGGGTGGGGGGACATTTTCTGGGTTTGCAGCTCATCTGAACGATCAAGGACATCCAGAGTTAGCATGCTTGGGTTGCTATCTCAAATCTGCAAGCTCTGCCCACCCAAACCAGAATACCAGGCTGTTTCAGCCACACGCACCTTGATCACTATGCTTAAAGCAACACAGTTTTTCTCTGATTCACTAAATTCAATCAAGAGCTTTGAAGCCTTTCCGTGTACGAACTTAGCATGCATTTTTCATTAGTTTGATACAGGTTGAGTCAACATGCACCCACAGAGGGTTTCACACCAATACCTTTCGCTCCCATATCTGAATCTTTCCTCTCCACAAGTCTCTGGAATCAATGCTGTTTTTTAGATTCTCGGGAGCCACAATATCTGCAGAAAGATAGCATGCGATTTTCTGCCAACTGTTGCAGAAAGAAAACATGAGTGAGTTGTGCGTTCTTTACTCAAGTCTTTAAATCTTTACAACTTCAGTGTTTGAGACAACGGTACAACACCAGCTATCAGCCCAGTACTGATTTATCTTTTGTAAAAGTAATATATCTTAGTAGTTGCGGGCATTATCTATATGCCTTCATTTAACCAAAGTCACTCATTGATCTTATAATTCAAATTCAGTGGTCTCACAAGTCTCCCTTAGCATTCAGGTGTCTAGCTCAAGACTTCCTAACCCCCTAGGAAATCAAAAGGCAGGTTGATGGGCATAACAAGTTCACTTTGACACCTGAGAACACGATTCATTATTGCCAGAAAAACTTCAAACCCCGTATACAATTTCAACATAAATCAGGGCAGAGAAGAAATCTACCAGAAAGATACAATGCAAAGCTTTAGTCAACATTTTGCAGGTGTGGTGCTCTTGTTTCCTCTTTAAGTGCAAACTTACATTTTGTTTATAAGGGTGCCTGCCAAAATATTACAATATATGAATTGAGACGTTAAAATATTTTTACATAAAGTGACACAAACACTAAAATTAGTTCTCTCGTTTAAATGGCACTACTCACATTTTGCTTTCACTTGCTACAATAGTTATTTTTGCTCCATGCCATTCTCTCAGGTGTTTCAAGGCACCAATGGCAGGTAAGCAATCTTTTAATCTAGGGGCATCTCTTTCTGAAGAATGCAATATGACATCAACCATTGTTCTTCCTGTAGAAGCAATTTCAATAGATAAAACACACATGTACAGCAAAACCCCTCACTATTAAGCACAAGATAGGGTAAAGCTGTTTTATCCCCCAAAAGCTATTATCAAGCAGTTTGTCAAAATTTATAGGCTTGTTTGCAGCATTTCTCAAACATCTGGTTGCAGAACACTCAAATTTAGCAAGATGCTTTAAGAGACGCAATCTAACTTAGACATCACACCTTCACTGCTATTCTCCATCTTCTACAGATAACCCCAGAAAAAGCTGCATTTGAGCTTCTTGATATCTTTGCAGTTCCAATTTTCCTTCCACTGTATATCAATCTTCTTACTTCATGACCCTCCCTTTCATTCCTCTAACACAGATCTGTAAATATGCCCTGGAAGGCACAGATAACTCTGTGATATAAAAATGGCTAAATAAATGCTGTCCAGCTCTGTTTGCAGCAAGCATCATCATCTTCCAAGTCCATTTGCAAGTCTATCACAGTAGCCACAGATAAAGTGTTGACTTCTTTCCATTTTGATTCCTGATCACCTTTAAGTTTTTTTAAAAAACTAAATTTTGCCATACTGTATTTCTAGCAAACTGCTTTGCTGCAGAAACCTATTGCCATTTTGCTCCCAGACTATGAATGCTGGAAATACATAAGCGGAAGCACAACACCAGCTGGTGACAGCATCAAACTTTCCAGTAATGCAAAACTACTTGCCAAATACGAGAGGATTATATACAGGAGAGACAACATGCATGCTTACTTGAATAAGGACCGCCATACGAAAAAAATTGGAATAGATCTGTTATACCCCAAATGCATTTAAAAAAAAGATATTTCAGGGGAAAAGATTTGATTATTAAAAAAAGATTACCAGGAGCAGGAAGCTTATCTGCTAACAGATGTATATTCTCTGCAGACTCTTCATAGAGACTGAAACACAAACATTGAAAATAAATAAACTATCATCTTTCAAGAATAAAAATGATTTAAAATATTCCAAGCATTATGCAATCCACATATTTGAATTGCAAAGTATCAACATGTTTTCAGTGTGTGAAACAGACAAGTAGGCTCGCTTCTTATTTGCTGTCTGGTACCAATGGAATGATGTCTGGTACCAATGGAAGTGAGAGCTGGACCATAAGGAAGGCTGATCGCCGAAGAATTGATGCTTTTGAATTATGGTGCTGGAGGAGACTCTTGAGAGTCCCATGGGTTAGGGAGCCCATAAAGATCCTATGAAAACATCCATGCAAGGATGATTTAAATCAGGAGTCAGCAAACTTTTTCAGCAGGGGGCCGGTCCACTGTCCCTCAGACCTTGTGGGGGGCCAGACTATATTTTGAGGGGGGGAAATGGACGAATTCCTATGCCCCACAAATAACCCAGAGATGCATTTTAAATAAAAGCACACATTCTACTCATCTAAAAACACCAGGCAGGCCCCACAAATAACCCAGAGATGCATTTTAAATAAAAGCACACATTCTACTCATGTAAAATCACCAGGCAGGCCCCACAAATAACCCAGAGATGCATTTTAAATAAAAGCACACATTCTACTCATCTAAAAACACCAGGCAGGCCCCACAAATAACCCAGAGATGCATTTTAAATTTTAAATAAAAGGACACATTCTACTCATGTAAAAACACGCTGATTCCCAGACTGTCTGCGGGCCAGATTTAGAAGGCAATTGGGCCGGATGTGGCCCCTGAGCCTTAGTTTGCCTACCCATGATTTAAATTTTATGTTTTTAAAAAAATATTCACTGCTTGTTAGAGCAGTCATATGCCAAGTCAAACTCTAAAAATGTCCCTCTAGCAAGTCATTTACTAACACTGTTTTGCTACTTATAACACAATCCTCTGTACGTTTATTCAGAACAAACCCAACTGAGTTCAGTTGGGTTTATTCATAAGTATGTATGTGTAGAATTTCAGGCTAAAGAGATGAAGCAATTTCTGTTTGACGTGTTTCAGTGATCAACACACTGGCTCCCCCTTGTGCTGGCATTCAGAGTTTTCTGCCATGCACCATTTATATCTGAAATAATAATGAAAAAATAATATCTGAAATAAATAATGTTTTAACATTCAACTAGTCAAAACCTCTCCAAGAAACTGCCAGGCTTACAAGGCCAAGACCTAATCAAAACTGCTGTTGTATGCTGCCTCATAACAGCCTAACATAATCATGTTTTCACAGTCCACGAATGCATTTCACGTGTTCTGACAACCGAAGAAGCTAGCCAAGTTCTCAAAAGGTAAGCCCTCTTTATAACTGCTTCAGTATCACAATTGCGTTGTAAAACTGGCGTGCCTGTATTGTCTCACTGCTTATGCTTCCTGAGAATTATCTTGAGGGACTCATCTGGCTGAAAATAAAGTTATAAAACACACACAGGCCTTCTGACCTCAGCCTAGCTATTTCACTGTTCTCACTCAGCTAACAGCATCCTAAGACAAGCTATCTTGCCCTTGTTCTCCCCTGGTATGTATCCCAGCTTCATTTTTGTGCAGTGGCAATAAAACTACTTCCCCTCACCTTTGCATTGCCTCCTGCCTATGATGCTGTGCTCCACTGCAGACTCTCCAGGTGAATTACAGTGGTGCCTCGCAAGACGAAATTAATCCGTTCTGCGAGTCTCTTCGTCTTGCGGTTTTTTCGTCTTGCGAAGCACGGCTATTAGCGGCTTAGCGGCTATTAGCGGCTTAGCGGCTTTAAGAAAAAGGAAACAAACTCGCAAGAACTCGCAAGACGTTTCCTCTTGCGAAGCAAGCCCATAGGGAAATTCGTCTTGCAGAACGACTCAAAAAACGCAAAACCCTTTCGTCTAGCGAGTTTTTCGTCTTGCGAGTTTTTCGTCTTGCGGGGCACCACTGTATGTGCAAGCCTACTAAAGTCAATGATTCCCACGGTTTTCTGGTTTGCAGCCTAGGTTTTCTGGTTCTTAAACTGTACTATTTGGGTGTATTATAAAATATTGAATCAGCTTACTCAATCAGGGATAGGGATTCCCGGCTATTACTGTCATCGTCCTCCAAACTTTGAAAACCGCCAAGACACGCTTCAATATTTCTTTGAACAGAGATTTTGCTTTCTTCCGCCTCCAGGTCAAAATTGATGTCCTCCCAGTCACAACTGCAAAACTATCCAATCAAAAGGAAATTTCGTAAGGGTCGGCCAAGTTATATTAACATTGTAGATAATGATGCAACTTGTACTAACTCACCTGAGAAAACCCACATATTGACTGAATTGCAAAATACCATCCCTTCACACCTGGAGTCCCAACAAGTGAACAAGCTAAAGGAAGGAAGGAAAAGAAAGAAAGAAAGAAAGAAAGAAAGAAAGAAAGAAAGAAAGAAAGAAAGAAAGAAAAGGTATTAGTAGCTAGTATCCAAACCCCATTTCCATCTTCAGAGATGTTTAATGGACTGCAAAGGCTGAGTCAAGAACTGCAAGATGCTTTGTCAAAAAATATACACTAAGTAACAAAATGCAAAATATTACTGTAAACAATTGTCTTTTTGTTGCATTCTTAACTATCCTCTCTTTTCTCCCCATCACCCCAGTTCTTGCATGAAAAAGGTTTGCGAGTTGCTGCTGTTTTTCATTGTTTTCTAGTGGCCATATACAGTTAACTAAATCTGTGAGGCCCTCAATAAATGACTGCTGTGATTTTATAAATTACAGTAACTGACATCTCAAGCACAGACCTGAAAACATTTAAAATTTATAGAAATTTTTCTGTTTTCAACAGTGGCAAGTCAGATGCTTCTGGGAGGTTCACAAGCAACACGGGTTGGACCTACCCATCCCCTGCGAGTCCCCAATGACTGAAAACATGGCATATGCTAATATTTGCTGTTTCACTTACCTGGGAAATCTTCAACTTTTGTGTTTAGTGAGGTACTGCAGTTTGTTTCTAATAAGTTATAAATACTTTCAGCAGTCAAACCTGCAAAATACAAATTTTATTTTATGTGCAAGAAGCATCATAGGAACACAAGAATCCACATTCCATCCTTATTAAGCATTCCTTAAATTTACAGTAGCATGCATGCCAAAATATATCTAGTATATCGCTATGAACCAGGATGACAATAAGCAAATGAGGTTCACATGCGTACACATAAATGAAATCTGCAATAAACATGACATTCTTTGCAATAAACCAAGAAGGTCCACATGCATACACATGAATTAAACCAGCAATAAACACACGAGGTTCACACATAAATGTGAATGATACTGCAACAAGCAAACAAGGCTCATATGCCAACATGCGAGGGCAACAATAAGCAAATGAGGTTCACATGCGTACACGTTTATTAAATTTGCAATAAACACACGAAGTTTACACACATACACGTGAATGAAACTTGCAATTAGCCAATGAGGTTCACATGCATACACATGAATTAAACCGGCAATAAGCAAATGAGATTCACACTGTGCACCTGAATTGAACCAGCAATAAACAATAGGTTCACACTGTACACGGGAAATAAATCTGCAAAAAACACACAAAGTTCACACACGTGCACATGAATGATACTGCAATAAGCAAATGAGGTTCACATGCCAACATGGGAGGGAGACAAGAAGCAAACGAGGTCCACATGTGTACACGTGAATGAAACCTGCAAGAAACACACGACATTCACACGTGTACACGTGAATGAAACCTGCAAGAAAGACGCGACATTCACACGTGTACACGTGAATGAAACTTTCAATAAACACACATTCACACATGTACACGTGAATTAAACCTGTGATTACACACACGGCGTTCACACATGCACACGTGAATTAAACCCGCAATAAACACACGACATTCACATGCATACACGTGGATTAAACCTGTGATTACACACACGGCGTTCACACGCGTACACGTGAACGAAACCTGCAAGAAAGACGCGACATTCACACGCGCACACGTGAACAAAACCTGGCATAAGCCAGCGAGGTTCCCGCGGGAAGAAAGCGCGCACCTGGGCGGCCCTCGGCTCCGGCCTCCCCTCGCCGGCCTCGCCAGCTCACGAAGAGGAGGTGGCGGTCCATCAGGGCCCCGTCGCCGGGCGCCCGCTTCCCGCCTCCGCCTCTCCCTCGGCGCCGCTTCCGCTTCCCGAGGAGGAGCCACAGGCCTCGGCCGCCGCACGCCGCCCTCCTTCCGCTGGCGGCCGGCAAGAGAGGCCCTTTGGACGGCGAGGCCTCAGCCTCCGGGAGCCGCCATGGCCAGCTTCACCAAGGCCGCGCAGGTACCAAGAGGGAGCCCCGGCCTTCCCCTCGGGCTGCTGGATCCCGGGGCCGGGCTGGCTGCGCGCCTTAATCCGGAGTGAATCCGCATTCTTTAAGGGGGGGAGGGGGTTGCCCTTAATGTATTGCAAAAGGTCTGGAGGGACTCGGCGCGCTGCAAATGTGTCTTCCGTTTTAAATCGGGCAGCTGGGGCGTAAAGGGATCTGTAACCGTTGCTGAAATGTGTTGATGTTGTAGTTAAGAATAAAGTCACATGGTTATTATTATTGCTATTCACTGAATTGTTATATTGTACCACCCTTCCTCCTGAGATTACAGCGTTAATAATGATGATGAGGATGCTTAGAGCAGAATAGGCGATGCAAAATATATCCCATATTGGAACGCAAGGTTTTTATTTGGTACCAGATATGTCAGATAATCCATGAACGTTACCAAATAAACTCATATATATTTAGTGGGAACGTGTGATTGCTCGGTTGTATAAATCGCAAGTCCAAGCTCTATAGGTAAAACCATGTTCTGCCTCCAGCATTGAGGTCGGGGTGTCATATAACAGTGTCTCCCCATTTCCTTCTGGGTGTAAAAATGCAATGCTTATTGGTTTCCTTCTCTTTACGTAAAAGTAGGCTTTCAGGGGCACCTCCTTGCGTAGACTCCGCAGAAAAGTGACCAGGAAAGGACAAGGGACTTGTTCCTTCTCTTGCCAAGATGGTTATGTGCTGCCCTCCACTGTCGGAGGCAGTATGCTGGGGAGTCACAAGTTGGGTCCTGCTTGCGGACTTCCTGTAGGCTGGGCGTTGTGACCCTCCAGATTTTTTTGCTGGACTACAACTACCATGACCATTGACTATGCTGGCTGGGATGTTGAATTATGCGGGATCCGCAAAAATCTGGAGAGCCACAGCTTTAAAGGGAAATTACCTCTGAGTCTTGTTATGCACATTTGCATGTGGCAACTGGTGTGTGACACACACACACACACACCCCCGCTTAACCCATTAATTGAGGGTTATGTTAGGAACTCTAATTATGGCATATACCACATGCATTAATGTGCTACAGAACTTCATTTTTATTATAATGTTGTTCCTTACATTTTGAATTTGTTCTGAATGTCAACTTCTGAATGACTTTTTAAAATATGGCTTCAGCCTGATGCATGCTTACTTTGAACTGATTCCCACTGACTATAAGCGGACTTACTCCCAAGTAGGTGTGTGCGGTCTATGCAGAGTTAGGTACACTTAAGCCAATTATTTTCAGTTATGTTGGTGCACCTATACTGCATAGGATTGAGGTAAAAAAAAAACAAACCTGGAGAAATTATGGCATGGATGCCACTGTTGGCTTCCAACTACAGTGTTGGAATCTCTCATTGTTGACCATCTTCTGTGTCCCAGGGCAGCAAAAATGTCTCTTTAGGCACGTTGGTGTTACATTTTATTTTAATGCAACCGGTCCTAATTGACAAACCACAGTTCTTAATGTCATATGGATCAAGGAATGTGTGCTGTGGATGGCTCACTGAGATGAGCACATATATTTTTGTTTACTAGGAATAATAATATTTCTATATGTTAACCACGACCCATTATTCCTTTAAAGCAATGGGCCACATTTGCTCGAGCCTGGTATCTTATAGATGCGAAGATGCAACCGCCAGGAAAAATTGCAGCCATCACTGCCATCAGACTTCAGGGGAAGCATAAGCCTGTGTACCATGCACTAAGTGAGTTCTGCTTGGGAGTCAAATGTTTGCTATATCAGCACTGATTTGTTTTTATTGTTTAAAGCAGGGGGTCAACAATCTTTTTGGGCCAATGAACACATTTTCAGGCTGGAGGAATTGTGGGCACCACAAACACTGTCACCTGTTCTGTTGGATACAATAGAATTCTTTCAAGCCTAATTTCAGAGGGAGGGCAAAGAGTGGACTCTGAGGGCATCAGAGGGGGTCTAGTGATCCAGTGGGCACCACATTGACAAACCCCAGTTTAAAGCTGGCATGGAATGAATTGAGTTTTGCATTACCCTTTTGTTGTTGTTGAACTGGAGTCCTCTCAGTTAGCAGTCTACATGTAAATTTTCAAAATAAGTACATTGCATGACATCTCCTTACTATTAAAGGTAAAGGGACCCCTGACCATTAGGTCCAGTCGTGGCCGACTCTGGGGTTGCAGCACTCATCTCGCTTTATTGGCCGAGGGAGCCGGCGTACAGCTTCCAGGTCATGTGGGCCAGCATGACTAAGCCGCTTCTGGCAAACCAGAGCAGCGCACGGAAACGCCGTTTACCTTCCCACTGGAGCGGTACCTATTTATCTACTTGCACTTTGACATGCTTTTGAACTGCTAGGTGGGCAGGAGCAGGGACTGAGCAACGGGAGCTCACCCCATCATGGGGATTCAAACCGCCGACCTTCTGATCGGCAAGCCCTAGGCTCTGTGGTTTAACCCACAGCACCACCCGCGTCCCCTCCTTACTATTAAGGCATAATTAATCTGTGTTGAATGATCCCGGGTATGCCTTCTTTCTTAAATACTTTCCTGAATCTTATGAAGGCCCATCTAATTCAGCATGCTTTGCAAGAATCCCAGCCATTTATCTGTGAAATACACTCATTTTGATATAGGATAACCAGTTGCTTCTGATCAGAATATATTTTGCATGTAGTAGATTTAAGAATAGATGCAGAGCAAATGCAGAATTACTCTCATGTTCTCTTCTTTAAAAAAAGTTGACATGCTGCTGCTGCTGCTACTGAAACCTAAACCAAATGCACGCTTCACAAATTGAGTAGCTTGCTGACTGCACATTGCACACCCCTCTGTAGCTAATGAGGGCATGATTTATAAGGAGCTTTGCCAGTACAGTGGTACCTCCGTTTACAGTGGTACCCCGCAAGACGAACGCCTCGCAAGACGGAAAACCCGCTAGACGAAAGGGTTTTCCGTTTTGGAGGCGCTTCGCAAACGCAATTTCCTATGGGCTTGCTTCGCAAGACGACAGCCCATAGGGAAATCTCAGGGACAGCGGGGAAGCGCAGCGCGTCTTCCCCACTGTCCTCGGACCTCCTCCGAAGCCTGGCGGCGGGGCGGGGACACCTCCTCCCGCCGCCGCCGGGCTTCGGAAGGCTCCTCCGAAGCCGGGCGGGGCGAGGGAACACCTGCCGCCGCCGCCCGGCTCGGAACGGTGCTCCGGGCCGGGCGGGGGAGGGAACACCTGCCGCCGCCGCCCGGCTCGGAACGGTGCTCCGAGCCGGGCGGGGAGGGAACACCTCCGCCGCCGCCCGGCTTCGGAACGGTGCTCCGAAGCCGGGCGGGGGGGAGGGAAGACCTCCCGCCGCCGCCCGGCTTCGGAACGGTGCTCCGAAGCCGGGCGGGGGGGAGGGAAGACCTTCTGAAGGCGGGCGGGGGGCGAAAGTCTTTGCTCCCCCCTGCCTGCCTGTCCCGGAGGGCTTTTGAAGGCGGGGAGCAAGACTCGCCCCCGCCCGCCTTCAGAAGAGGTCCAGGACCTCTTCTGAAGGCTGGCGGGGGCAAAGTCTTTGTCCCCCTGCCTGCCTTCCCAGGGGCTTTAAATTGCCCCGGACAGCGGAGAAGTCCTCCGCTGTCCCGGGTGATTTTAAATGCCGCCCGCCAGCATTTTAAGATCGCCGGACAGCGGAGAAGTCCTCCGCTGTCCCGGGGTTTTAAAATGCTGGGGGTGGGAAGAAAAGCCCTTGCCCCCCCCCAGCCTTCAGAAGAGGTCCGGGGACAGACTGTCCCCGGACCTGGTCTGAAGGCGGTTTCCCTAGGAACGCATTAATTGATTTTCAATGCATTCCTATGGGAAACCGTGCATCGCAAGACGAAAAACTCGCAAGACGAAGAGACTTGCGGAACGAATTAATTTCGTCTTGCGAGGCACCACTGTACGAACTTAATTTGTTTTGGAGGTCCATTCTTAAGCCGAAAGCATTCTTAAACCAAGGCGCGCTTTCCCTAATGAGGCCTCCCGCCGCTGGTGCTTTTCCATCGTTCGGCTTCCGGGGCAAAGTTTGCTAGCCAGAACACCTATTTCCAGTTTTGTGGAGTGAATGCGTTGCCCGAATTCTTAGATCGAGGTACCACTGTAATGGATGCCATGAAAACTAATGCTTTTGATGCGTGTTACCTCAACATTGCACAGGATCATAAATAGTTCCTTGATATGGGTTCAGTTCGCACATAATGCTAAGCCAAATCATGCTTAGCATGAGCACACAAGTTTGCAGGCTCCTGAAGAGGAGGTAATCACTATTGTGCTCCTCCTCAGGTCCTGTTGCTGCTGCTGCACTGCTGTGAACTAAGCTATGGCTTGACTTAGTGTCTTGCCCTTGTTTACAGTTTATGGTTTGTCCGGAGGAAATTGTGCTATACACCTGGAGTAGTTTGGTGGCTGATGATCCTGTTAACTGAAAACCTTTTTCTTTTCTTTTTTAGGTGACCTTGGAGATCATGTTGTCATAATAAACACAAGGCACATTGCTTTTTCCGGCAACAAATGGGAGCAGAAGGTGTATTCATCACATACTGGGTAAGCTTTCAACATCTTAAGGATTAAAAACATGGAACAAATCAGTACTGTTGGTAAAATACGGATATACTGTAAATGGCTTTGAATGTTGTTACTGATAGAAAGTCGGAAAAGAGAAGCTTTGTATTTTTAGCATAAGGTATGCTAATATTTATTGGAAATGCTTGTGCAACTCCCATAGTAAAGGGAGGGTTTTTTTTAGCAAATAGCCCAGTGACAGGGTGGTCTATATTTTTGCTCACTACAGCAAATGTGCTGCCATCCTTTAGCAACCATTCTAAGTCTGAACCTTCCTTCTAACCTTGGAGTTGCAGAAGGGGATGGAGACAATTGCCTCTCCAGCTCCAAAGCGCAGAAGCAGGCAAGGGGATGTTTGGCCTCTCCAGCATGCCCCGCCTTCCTTTCCAGCTCCAAACGTGGAGCTCTCATAACATAACATACAAATTATTAATATTATTCTTATCTGCCCTTCACCAGCAAGTCCCAGGACAGCATACAGTCATTTAAAATTCAATATGGAAAACAAAATTTAAAAATTCCTTCCAGTAGCACCTTAGAGACCAACTAAGTTTGTTATTGGTATGAGCTTTCGTGTGCACTGAAGAAGTGTGCATGCGCACCAAAGCTCATACCAATAACAAACGTAGTTGGTCTCTAAGGTGCTACTGGAAGGATTTTTTTTTATTTTCTTTTGACTACGGCAGACCAACACGGCTACCTACCTGTAACTAGAAATATGGAAAACAGTTAACACAAATCAGTCACGTGAACATGGCTGGTTCTGAAAATATCAATGAAACGACGAGATGATATGAATCAACATCAGTAAAATACTTATAAAACCATAAACAATGCAATTCACTAGCGAGCGAGCTTACACTGAGCATATGCATGTTTTTATTTGCAAGATGGCAATCTTTGCTATCGTTCTCTTATTTAGATACGCTTCTGAATTTCCTTGTCATTTTGTATTATAGATACCCTGGTGGCTTCAAACAGGTGACGGCAGCTCAGCTTCATCTAAGGGACCCAACCGCAGTAAGTGAGCACGTTCTCTCGTCCTGCCTCTCTAAATGACTTCCCTTTGCAATGTTCTGCCTTCATTTCAAGTGGACCATATTGCAGGCAGAGTGCCACAGTGGCATGTGCTCTCATCTCGGGGCTAAAGGTAAAGGTGAAGGGACCCCTCACCATTAGGTCCAGTCGTGGCCGACTCTGGTGTTGCGGCACTCATCTCGCTTTATTGGCCAAGGGAGCCGGCGTACAGCTTCCGGGTCATGTGGCCAGCATGACTAAGCTGCTTCTGGTGAACCAGATCAGCACACAGAAACACCGTTTACCTTCCCACCGGAGCGGTACCTATTTATCTACTTTGAGGTGCTTTTGAACTGCTAGGTTGGCAGGAGCAGTGACCGAGCAATGGGAGCTCACCCCGTCACGGGGATTTGAACCGTCGACCATACTGATCGGCAAGTCCTAGGCTCTGTGGTTTAACCCACAGCGCCTCATTTGCCTCCCACATGAAGCAGTGGCCAGGTCCTAGCATTGAGAGCCTTCCCATGCAATCATTAAGAGACTGTCACATCTTTGCAGTTGAAGGGGCTTGCTGCATGAGATTAGAATGATAAAACGGTGGTGTCTCTCCTGGACATAACAGTTGGTGGGTAACCATGCACACCATGATCAGCTCTCTTTTTTTGCAGGGGTGGGGAGTGACATTATGAGGCTAGATTATATGGGACTAAGAGGGTGGTTAATTACATTGCAGGCACTATACAGCAAGTGCCCACAGTGCAATGCAATTCAAAATGCCATGTGTCCTGGTCCTCATTTTACAGCTCTCAGTCTCTACACCAAACTTCTTATCATCAACATTTCATCATTTTTAATTGTATACCGCCTTTCTATCATACAATACTCAAGGCGGTTTACAAGCTGAAGAAACAAAAAATGTACGTCTTATAACAATCTAATGCAATACAAAAATGTGATAATAAAACATAACTTTAAAATAGGCAGTCTGCATCAAAAAAGTAACATTCAACAATCATATAGAATAGTATAAAACAATAATATCAACATATAAAAGTTAAATAGAAATCCACTCAACAGTTACAATAATATCTAAACTATAATCAATAAAACAACAGCAAGCCACAGTACATAAAACAATACAATACACATTGAGAAGCAGAGGGTAGAGCAAGGCAGGTGGAAGGAGGCCTTGCCTGATGGAGTCTCTCCCCTCACCTTAACTTTCTGTTCTCTCCCATGTGGCCGCTCTCGACGTTTCTGTACCGCCAAAATTCATTTCCAAGCTTTCTGCCATGCTGTTCCCTGTGGCTGAATAGCTTCTCTATCTCTTGTCAAACTGCCTTCCCTCCTCTTGTTATTCAGATTCTGTGGCGATAGCCAAATTATTTTGAAGAGAAATTTCATAGTCATCTTAATAAATAATAAAAAACCTTAAATCCGGCTTTTTAAATCCTTGATATTTATCACACTTGTTAGGGGCCATGTTTTGTCCATGTTCTTTGGGGTACTTGGTGTATTGAGTCTGAGTGATTTGTGTAGGGTTTACTCCTGAGCCTTCCCCCCCCCCTCCCATGGATATTCCGCATGGTAGTGGAGGTTTAGAATCAGAGTTTTCTTCTCCCAGATGAGCTAACTGGTAGTTGTCGTACTTTTCCGTCTGTAAGACGCCCCCATGGATAAGATGCCCCCTATTTTTGGGGACTCAAAATTCAGAAAATGGGGGGACATTACACAGGGTTGTTGAGCTTTTTTGGGGGGTGTTGCTGTAAATCGCTCACCCGCACGCGTCACAAAATCCGCCTCCCGTCTGTCCCCTCGCCGGCAGAAGCTGCCGATCACCCGCCCAATTGCTGCAGCGTCAGCCAGTCAGCACCACCCATCGATACAGCAACCAATCACATGCACAATAGCCACTAACAGATGCAGCAGCAACCAATCAAACGTCCACCCTATTCACTACCCATGTATAAAAAGGTAAAGGTAAAGGGACCCCGACCATTAGGTCGAGTTGTGGCCGACTCTGGGGTTGCAATGCTCATCTTGCTTTATTGGCCGAGGGAGCCGGCGTACAGCTTCCGGGTCATGTGGCCAGCATGACTAAGCTGCTTCTGGTGAACCAGAGCAGCGCACGGAAACGCCATATACCTTCCCGCCAGAGCAGTACCTATTTATCTACTTGCACTTGATGTGCTTTGGAACTGCTAGGTTGGCAGGAGCAGGGACCGAGCAACAGGAGCTCACCCCGTTATGGGGATTCGAACCGCTGACCTTCCGATCAGCAAGTCCTAGGCTCTATGGTTTAACCCACAGCGCCACCCGCGTCCCATGTAGAAGACGACCCCAATTTTTTAGCATGATTTTTCAAGAAAAAAATATAGTCTTATATATGGAAAGGTATGGTAAGTCATGTTGCAGCAGCAGCAGTAGTAGTAATAATGATGCAGTTTAAAATAAAAGTTTTCAGAAACTGACTTGGTGCTTACAGATGAATGATAGATTCTTTGACTGAATCAGCCTTTCGTGACAAATGGGTTTTCAGTTTTATTTTTTGTGTCAGTTGCACGTGTTGGCCAGTGAACACTTGAGGGCAGCATAACTTAACATGCCTCAATGTTAGACACGGAAAAACTGTGCTGCTGCCATTTGCTCTGGATTATGCGCTGGCAGTGCAGTTGTTAAAACCCACCTTAGATCATGTCAGGACCCAAGCGATGTAATAGACCAGGGATGTCCAACTTCCAAGAAAATGCGATCTGCTCCCAGATAAAAAAACTAGCAGTGATCTACCCATGGGGGGACGGACCTAAGATGTTGACCTTTTTTTTTAAGGGGAGCAAGCCAAAGTCGTTGACCTTTTTTTAGGAGAAACAGCAAATACTTCTGCCTATTTTTTTGGGGGGGGGGAGCACCATCTTCCGTTCTTGAAATCGCGCGCAAATACAGGAAAGAGTATTCTTTTCCCGCAGAGGAAAATGAGCCTGCGATCGACCAATATCAACCAGAGGTTGACCTGTCAAATCGCGGTTGACCGGTTAGACATCCCTGTGATAGACTATCCCAGTTAATAACTTTTCAGCAGACTTGCCTAGACTAACAGAGGAACAAGTGGAGAAAAACCTTGTTCCAAAAAAATCATTAAAAGGTCTGCTTTTAATATCAAATGGGCTCTGGTTTTGTCTTCCTAAGGGAGCTGGGCATGTTTAGCCTGGAGAAGAGGAGGTTAAGGGGTGATATGATAGCCATGTTCAAATATATAAAAGGATGTCACATAGAGGAGGGAGAAAGGTTGTTTTCTGCTGCTCCAGAGAAGCGGACACGGAGCAATGGATCCAAACTACAAGAAAGAAGATTCCACCTAAACATTAGGAAGAACTTCCTGACAGTAAGAGCTGTTTGACGGTGGAATTTGCTGCCAAGGAGTGTGGTGGAGTCTCCTTCTTTGGAGGTCTTTAAGCAGAGGCTTGACAACCATATGTCAGGAGTGCTCTGATGGTGTTTCCTGCTCGGCAGGGGGTTGGACTCGATGGCCCTTGTGGTCTCTTCCAACTCTATGATTCTATGATTCTATGATTCCTCTATCCCAATATTCAGAGCTGAGTACAGTGGTACCTCAGGTTAATCTGTTCTAGAGGTCCGTTATTAACCTGAAACTGTACTTAACCTGAAACACCACTTTAGCTAATGGGGCCTCCCGCTGCCGCCGCGCCACCAGAGCACAATTTCTGTTCTCATCCTGAAGCAAAGTTCTTAACCTAAGGTAATATTTCTGGGTTAGCGGAGTCTGTAATCTGAAGCGTCTGTAACCCGAGGTACCACTGTACATTGATTAGCAGAGCGTTTTGGAGAAAGAGAGCTCAGAGCAAATAGAAAGGAAGAGCGAGATCAGCTGGGGGACTAGTAAAAGAAAATGAAGCAGGGAGATGGATGTGAAAGGGGCTTTGGAGAAAAGGACATTGGGTGGTGGGGCACACTGCATACTGCAGTTGCCTAAAAGTGCAGAATGTAGCATCAGTTTTGAAAGTAAAATTTGGAATAAATTGTGTAAGGATCAGAGCTGTAATCAGCTGTGTTGTTTAAGAAGTTTGTCTTGTCTCGGAAAGAGCTCCATTCATTTGGGAATGAATGTGCACTTATTTCAGTTGTTCTCCCATAAAAATTGCTTATCTTCATGTATTTGGAAGAAGGTATTGTGGGGGAAAGATGCAAACTTCTATTCCACCATGCAATAATTGCAATTCCCTTCTTGAAAAAAACACAGCTGCACAACTCTACTTAAGAATTCAAATTGTTTTGTAGAAGAAATCCAGAAATAAGGCAGTTGGAACTAAGGTCTATCAAATTTGGCATGCAAGTCCATTTAGCATAAAACTATAGTTTTTACAAGTGGAAAAGTAGCCTAAACCTCTATAACGTGTCTCCCCCCCCCCCTTGCAATTCTATGTATTTCAGAGAAACTGTGCCTATATTATACTCCTTGCGATATACATTTTTTTTCTTTTAATTTCTCTTCTCTAAGATAAATCTCTTCTGCTTATGTAAGACAACCTCTCTGCCTAAATGTGCACCCATTTCGTTATTCTTTCCCTATAGTTCTTCTGGGAAGGTGAGGTTTCCCAGTCTGAGACTAACTTTTAACTACAAAACCTATGACTCAGAAGGGCAGTAGCATAGTGGAAGTCTACACTTTGCACGCAGAAAGACTCCAGTTCCATCTATGGCATTTCTAGGTAGGGCTGGAAAAGACTGGCAGTGATTCTCAAAGGTTTCAATCAATGAAGATACTGAACTTAGATAGACTAGGGGGTCCAGTTTGGTTTAAGGCACCTTCTTTTTCATTCCTTGCACTTCATTTTACTGTATTTTTTCGTGTATAACACGACCCCATGTATTGTTGTTGTTTAGTCGTTTAGTCGTGTCCGACTCTTCGTGACTCCATGAACCAGAGCACGCCAGGCACTCCTGTCTTCCACTGCCTCCCGCAGTTTGGTCAAACTCATGCTGGTAGCTTCGAGAACACTGTCCAACCATCTTGTCCTCTGTCGTCCCCTTCTCCATGTGCCCTCAATCTTTCCCAACATCAGCGACTATTCCAGGGAGTCTTCTCTTCTCATGAGGTGGCCAAAGTATTGGAGCCTCAGCTTCAGGATCTGTCCTTCCAGTGAGCACTCAGGGCTGATTTCCTTCAGAATGGATAGGTTTGATCTTCTTGCAGTCCGTGGGACTCTCAAGAGTCTCCTCCAGCACCATAATTCAAAAGCATCAATTCTTTGGCGCTCAGCCTTCTTTATGGTCCAGCTTTCACTTCCATACATCACTACTGGGAAAACCATAGCTTTTACTATACAGACCCCATGTATAAGACCCCTATTTTTGGGAGCCCTCAACAGTTGTTGAGCTTCTTTTGTAAGTTCTCTGAGCTGTTGAGCAGCTTTTTGATGATCCCCTGCTCTGGCTGACAGAACTGGTGCAGTAATACACTGCATACTGGCACAAACCAAATACTCTTCCTAAGCCGGGAAGAGCGGGTAAGCAGCCTCCTCTCCGACATTTCCCTGCTACCGCCGCAGCACCGGCCCTCATTTACTTAGCACATTAACCCGTGTATAAGACGACCCTCAATTTATCACAAAAAAAATCAGAAAAAAGGTCGTCTTATACAGTACATGGAAAAATATGGTATTTAGGGCTGATGCAGGCAGCTTTTTGGTTCTAATGCTTCCATTAGTCAATTAGCAAACCAGCTCTCACCAGCATATTTAAAAGAAGAATGGCACTTTATCCAAAGACTTCCATCAATAACTGGGTTTTCTTTTCACCTTTTTTTGCTGATACCATACACTATCTCTCTTAACAGATCACTTTTCCAGTGGTTTTTTGTGTGCTGGAATCAGCATTATTCAATTTTTGAACCAGATTTTTCTTCTTAAATTTGCTTCATTATACCAATGTCTTCTCAAATAATAATGAGTCGGCCAGATTTTCTTGGAAAGTTTAGTTACTTCTTCCAGATCTCTGCCTTTCCAACTATTATATGGGTGTATTTATATATACACATTTTTAAATTATATATATATTATATATTTTCTTCACAGCTGTCTGTTTGGCAGTTTTATTAGTTCCTTACTAGAGAGCTTGTCCAAACTTTTCAGGAACTGCTTAATGTTAGCATTTTGCTTTTTCCCCCCTGTTGAGTTTTTATATTATATTTTAGAAGAGGGATAAGCAACTAGCAGCCCAAGGACTCGATGTCCTGTCAAGGGGGTTCCCCATCTGATAGTCCCTGATTTCAAGGAGTTGGACTTCCTCACCCCATAATGCTTCTCAGCTGCTAATTCCTATGTACAGGCCAAGACACATGTAAATAGAAATGCAAAACTGAAGAACCACAGAACTACTTTTTTGAAAAATGTGAACCAAATGAAATCAAGAGTTGGTTGACTCAGCTAGTGTCCGCTTTGTCCTGACAATGCCCCACACCATAATTTGGAAAACTGAGAAAGGGTTCTGCCCCTTGCTCCTTTTGCATGTGGTTTACTGTCTACCATGATGTCTGAATTCAGAAATTATGTTTAGTGCTAGTCTTCCAAACCTGGGTCAGTGACAAACTATGCAGAAAGTGACAAACTCTGCATGGGTTGAGAAAGGGATGCATACGCCCACATCTCATTTGTGACTTAAATCTTTCCCTGCTTTGGTTAATGCATCTAACTCCTGTTCACAAGTTGTGTCACGATCCAGCAGAGAGGACGTTCTACTTAAAGAGGTGGCAATTTGTTGCTAAAGAACATGATAACAAGAATTAAATAAAGATGAAATAGATGTTGCCTTATGAACTAATGTTGCTATTCTGTTGTTATTGGGACTGACAGTGAGTCCTTAGGATATAAGCAACTGAAAAGTCTCTCTTCCCACATTTTCCTCCCGCTATAAGTGGGAGTTCATAAATCTCTGGTGGTGGTTTTTCTGTGTTTTATTGATGGGAGTATATTTAGTAGCTGCATTATATTTTTCATTTTTGCTTGCAAGCCAACCTGGGAACACACTGGTGATGAGTGAGGGGTATGCATTTCTAAAATAAATATGACCCTCCAGTCCAAACCATGTCCTCAAGAGGGCCCAACTGCATGTTATGTGAGAAAACTCTGTGATTGAATCTCCTAGCGTATTTGAGGGTGGCTGAGCTTGGAACAGGAGACTGGAATGAACCCATGTCCCAAGAGCAGCTATAAACTGTAGAGGGGGAAACATGAGGGCAAAATACAGGGGTGCAATTTGAGAATAATAATAATAATAATAATAATAATTTATTATTTATACCCCGCCCATCTGGCTGGGCTTCCCCAGCCGCTCTGGGCGGCTTCCAAAAGAATATTAAAATACTGTGATACATCAAACATTAAAAGCTTCCCTAAACAGGGCTGCCTTCAGATGTCTTCTAAAGGTCTGGTAGTTGTTGTTCTCTTTGACATCTGGTGGGAGGGCGTTCCACAGGGAGGGCGCCACTACCGAGAAGGCCCTCTGCCTGGTTCCCTGTAGCTTTGCTTCTCACAATGAGGGAACCGCCAGAAGGCCCTCGGTGCTGGACCTCAGTGTCCGGGTAGAACGATGGGGGTGGAGACGCTCCTTCAGGTATACTGGGCTGAGGCCGTTTAGGGCTTTAAAGGTCAGCACCAACACTTTTAATTGTGCTCGGAAACGTACTGGGGGCCAATGTACGTCTTTCAAGACCGGTGTTATATGGTCTCGGCGGTCGCTCCCAGTTACCAGTCTGGCTGCTGCATTCTGGATTAGTTGTAGTTTCCGGGTCACCTTCAAAGGTAGCCCCACGTAGAGCGCATTGCAGTAGTATTGGGGATCGTTGCAGTACAGGGCGAGGATTGAATCTCTTTTCCCCGATTCAAAGTAGCACCCCAGGGGCCTTCTGTGAACAAAAGAAAAATACCTTGAATCTCCCTTAATTTAGCCAAGGTGGGTTTTTTAAGCCAACTGTAATATGAGGTGCAATTGTGTAAAACCACTTTGCCGGCATATGTGGAAACGTATAGAGCTCTCTCCGTTGTATTTGAAAGAGGAGCACGTGACGACTTGAAGCTTGGAAGTGAAAGTTTCTGGCTTTTGACTTGTGGCTTTTATGGTCCTTCCAGATTGCATTACTCTTACTGGCTTTGTAAACTGTCTGTTGAAAACTAACATTTATGGCATCTTTTGTGGCTTTTATTCAGGATTTAATGCACACACAAAAAAAGCACCTGAAAAATATAGTAGTTTCTACTGTAAACAAATCCTAGACGTAAAACTATTGAAACTGCCCTGACGAGAAAGAAATTCCAGATGCAAAACGACACAGCAGTTCTTATTATAATGCACTCCAAGAGTTCTTAACTCCAAATCTGAAGGCAGGTTTATGTTTAAAAAAATATAAAAAATAGACGTTTTAAAACAAAATGGGCAAAATATTTTTCAGTGTGTTATGCACACAGGGGCTGAAGGATCTCAAGGACCTCAATTCTGGGGTGTTCATTAGAAAAGCTGGGGAACTAAACCATGTTCAGAGTGGGAACACCAGCAATTAATATAGGTTTCTTATGGTTCTCATATGCACTTACTGGAAACAGTAATTTTTGAGTAAAAAGGAAGAGGATTGTGTTGTTCAAGAGATCTGACAAGTATAATAGAACTTGCACTCGTCATGAGTTTTTCTGCATATCTGATTATTGGGAATTGAAGTTTAACATTGATATGCCCTGCAAAAATAAATAAATTGAAGCAAAGGATCTTCTCTTTCTCCCTCTCCCTCCAGAGGGACATGTGTAACTATCATTTAGTTGTGTTCTCACTCTTCCTCCACTCCCAGATTTCCCTTTCATTGAGTTTTCCAATTACCGTATTTTTTGCTCTATAAGACTCACTTTTTCCCTCCTAAAAAGTAAGGGGAAATGTGTGTGCGTCTTATGGAGCGAATGCAGGCTGCACAGCTATCCCAGAAGCCAGAACAGCAAGAGGGATTGCTGCTTTCACTGCGCAGCGATCCCTCTTGCTGTTCTGGCTTCTGAGATTCAGAATATTTTTTTTCTTGTTTTCCTCCTCCAAAAACTAGGTGCGTCTTGTGGTCTGGTGCGTCTTATAGAGCGAAAAATACGGTACTTTTGTTGACCGTATTCCAGAACTGTGTAGTGACTATTAACTGCAGAGGAAGTTATTTTAGATTAGTTCCTATATTAAATACCTTACACAGGATATTAAATTACACATATATCAGCATTTTACAATGACTAATGTCTGTTCTGATTTCCACAATTCCAATTACTTGTTGGTTATTTTTTTTATCACTTTATTTCGCACTCTTCAACCTAAGCTGCAGACACATATCTTGATCATGTAAGCTGATCTTAAATTGCTGATTGAATTTTTTTTTTTAAAGTACACCCTTTGACAGATTGGCACGGTACAACCACAGTTCTAGAATTAGAAGTCCTCTGTTCTGAGGTTTGCTTTTATATAACAGTTTCCCTTTGAGTAAAGTCTGTATCGCTTTCCAGTTTTTATGCAAAGGAGCATATAGGCATACTCAGATCTTTAGGGTAAAGTTTTTAAGGTGTGATGTTTTACTGTGGTTTTATGATTTGCTGGAAGTCTCCCAGAGCTGGCACAACCCAGTCAGATGCAGTGTTCAGAATTAGCCAGGCACCAGGTGCATTTTGCACCTGGCTTTTGCACCTGGCTTTTGACCGCTTGAGTCCAAGTGAAGATGCCTGGGTACCAGAATGGGACTGACATCTCCACCATCTGGAGATGCATGCCTGGGGATCATTGGATCTGGACTAATACCGCATCCTGTAGAATTCTATCAGTTATTTTTTATCTGCACAACTGGAATGAATTTCTGGAACCAAAATGCTTTTTTTCTGTGCAGGAGCTGTCGCCATTAAGAAAAAGAGGTCGGAATAGGCCAATATCTGTGTGAACTGTCGCTGGATCAAGTGACTTTTCTCCTTTAAGTTCTCAAAGTTCTCAATCTAGCTCAAGGTTATGATCTGAACTAGCCAGATGTTTAATGGAAAATCAATCGCAGTCGGCCCACCATTTGAAAAATATGACTTTACAGCTGTCTTGCCCCCAAATGGCAACTAGACATTCCATTTAGAGCCTTTAGCCTTGGTTTAAGGAGCCATTTGGCCCCTAGCTTAAATACTGTATCTGAGTCTCTTAACTCTGGTCAGATGCCCGGCATGATGTTGTTGTTGTTGTTGTTGTTGTTGTTGTTGTTGTTAGCACTCAGCTGTTGTTCCTTTGTATAGATGAATATTGGCCCATAGATCTTATTCACCTTTGCTATTAATGGGCCTGTTCATCTTGAGCAAATCGCTAAGCAAATAATTTTCATAGGCTTCAATGCCCGCAGTTAAAGACAAAGCTACACAGTACCTTAAAACTGGGAGGTGTGTCCTGCATTCCCCACCTGTCACTGCCCTTCTTTAATATCTAGTTAAATTTGTTTTGTGTCCTATTAATTATTATTATTTATTCATTTGACATCCCACTCTTCCTCCCCCAAAATAACTTGAACTATATATGTTCAACTCCATATAATGATAATAGGATACAAGGTGAGATGAACTAGACATTACTGTGTTTTGTGTGATTTGTGGTGCTGTCTAACCTCAATAAGAGGGAATAAGCACAATTGAGTTCAGTGGGAGCTACCTCAGAATAGACATGATTAGAATTGCAGACCTTCTGCCATTCTTCAGGTAGGCAAAGTTGCCTTTCTAGAAACAGAGATCAAAACTTGAAATTATTCTAAAATGATCTTACATTTTAAAAAAGAAGCCAGGTATATTTTGCTCACATGTAATACTTTAAAAATATTATTCAGATAAAGGAGGCACAACATATTATATTTTGGAAGGGAATTTATGAGTGTGTAGCTACATGGGGTGCAGGCTCTGTTTTTAAAACTGAAACCAAATACACTTGTACATTTGGAAAGAATTATTTGGATAAATGTATCTGTCGTTCACCTCTAAATATTTACAGTGTAGTCAGCATTTACTTATAATGGACAAATGGGGATAGTCAGAAACAGCCATTGACTGTCCAATCCTTAGTGTGTTGTGCCAACAGGACTGGAAGAGAGAGAGAAGAATTGAAAGTGCTTTGTAGCTCAGAATAGTTAAGGCCATTGTTAGAAACTGGGATGCAAAAGCTAGGAGCATCACTGCTCCTGGGACTTGAATTGTAGGCGCAAAAACAGAATGTCTAGTCACCACTTTTTAAAATTATATAGGGATTTCCTTTTTAAAGACACTGCAGGTTTTCTGTATTTAAAAAACAGACTTTGGCACACATTTAATCCAGGCATGTTTCATAACATGAAGGAAATAATAGTTTAGCAGGGATTTTTAACGCAGCTATGTGAGTGTCATAGCTACCTGGCAAGAGCGATGGGGGGAATCCCATAATGAAGGCTCTGTCATTTCCGATAGTAAACATTCCCTTCAGGAATATTTGTGGAAGAGAGCCTGCTAGGGGAGGTGCAAGAGATTCATTGCAAACAGTGATGAGGTGGGCTGGGGAAGATGATACAACAGGAAGCTCAAAGGACTGATTCTTCCTCTTTGAAGGCAGAGTCACTTCCGCCCTACAGAGGAGGTGGGGTTGCGGGCTTCACAGCCCCACCACACACGCAGCGGCTGGAGCCCAGCCCCTGCATGATTGGGGAGATTCCCGGCCGCATCACCCCCTGGCTGGCCAATCGGCTGGCTCTGAGGGCATGACCTGCCCTATTTAAGGCAGGACGCAGCCGGGGATCTCCCTCTTTGCCGCCCGCCAGCTGTTCCTGCTTTTTCCACCCTCCCGCCCTTTAAGGTTTTCGTTCCTTGACCTTGCTATGGACCTTGGTTGGTCGCCATTGAGGGGCCTGGTAGGAATTTTTCCACTTGGCAAATTGGCACCAGCCACTTGGTTTTCGCCTACCTCGTAGCAAATCGTCACAACTTCCTTGGTATTGGCGGTTAGGCATTGGTATAGTTCTGTAGATGGAAGACGGGAGGTAGCGCCATCACCTGCCCCACATATTAAAGGGTAGTCCAATAAAGGATTCCGGGGGGTGTGGCCCTGTCCGAAGCCTGGGGAGGGGAGGTCCTAAGGCACGCCCCCCAATTGGTGACCCCGGGGGAGTTCCTAGTTGATGTGCATCAGCAGGACTCCCCCTTCTGGTGGTTAACCCTTCCCAGACTTCAAGCGGACGGGCTGGAGTCGGATATAGTCGGTTAGGACCAATGCCTAAGCCAATACCGCTCATCACCTGTAACCAATAAAGTTGTGGCCTTTTTTAGCCCATTAATCTTAATAATTGTGTCATGTGTCATTATTTCCACCGGGTTGGGGGGGGGGACTTGCCACACAACCTGAAATTCCCAGCCACATTATAAAGGGACGAAGAAGGAAGCATTGACACACAAGCATTGCTGTCTATGACTTCTTCAAAGGGTGCAAAATCACAAACAAAAGTGTTGTTGTTTTTTTAAAAAAGGTAGGTGCAGACAGAGCCTTGAGAAAACATTTTGTAGGTGTAGCTAGGGGTTCAAGTCAGGCCAATTAAGAAAGGTGGGTGTTTAAAACTTTATCTTTTTATTTAAAATGAAAGATAAAATAAAATCCTCTTATTTAATTCTGTATTAGCTGGCTGAAGATTTCTGAGACCTTGAGATACCCAATGTTATGTGTTTTCTTTTGCAGATTGTAAAACTGGCTACGTATGGCATGCTCCCCAAAAACCTTCTCAGAAGAACTATGATGCAAAGGCTGCATATCTTTGCAGATGATGTAAGTTAGTTGCCAGTATTGTTTCTTGTGTACCAATCTCGACTGTACCCATGCAAATTCTAACCTACATTTTCAGTCCATGTACAGTGGTACAGTGGTGCCTCGCAAGACGAAATTAATCCGTTCCGCGAGTCTCTTCGTCTTGCGGTTTTTTCGTCTTGCGAAGCATGGCTATTAGCGGCTTAGCGGCTATTAGCGGCTTAGCGGCTATTAGCGGCTTAGCAGCTTTAAGAAAAAGGAAACAAACTCACAAGAACTCGCAAGACGTTTCATCTTGCGAAGCAAGCCCATAGGGAAATTCGTCTTGCGGAACGACTCAAAAAACGGAAAACTCTTTCGTCTAGCGAGTTTTTCGTCTTGCGAGGCATTCGTCTTGCGGGGCACCACTGTACCTTGGTTCTCAAAATTAATCCATTCCGGAAGTCCGTTCCAAAACCAAAGCTTTCCAAAAACCAAGGCACACTTTCCCATAGAAAGTAACGCAAAATGGATTAATCTCTTCCAGGCTTTTAAAAACAACCTCTAAAACAGCAATTTAACATGAATTAATAACAAATGACATCCCCATAAATAAGAAAAGGATATTCTTATACGCATCTGCTGCTGCAAGAGTTCTTATAGCAAAGAACTGGAAGGGAGACAAAATAACCACAATAATAGATTAGCAAATCATACTTATTGGATTTGTTGAATTGGCCAAAATGACGGCAGCTATCAGAGGTCACAAAAATCAAAATTTAATAAAAGAATGGAGTTGCATGAATGAATATATGAAAAAACACTGCTCCGGCACAGAAATATTGATATGTAAAGAACAAAGTTTGTAAGGGGGAAAGGTTACAAATGCAAGTAAAATCAGAATATTTGTCAAATACAATATAACAACACAACTGTAAAGATAAGTTATAGAATTAAGGTCAAGCAATGATGAAAGGAAGTCAGATTTGAACTCACATTTCGAGTTATGTCGAACCAATGGTGATGGGGGGTGTGTGAGTTGGTGGGATGCTTTGTGTTACTAACATGTACATGTGTGTAAACCTTTCTTTCTGTTATGTTATAGAGATAAAAACTTCAATAAAAATTAATTTAATTTATTATTATTTTTTTAAAAGGAGTGGGCAACCTGTAGACTTTCAGGTGTTGTTGGGTTATGTCTTTCATCATCCCTGACCATCACAGATGCTGGGAACTGGAGCCCCACAGTACCTGGGTTGCCTACTCAGAAAGGAATTGATGTAATTGATGGCCGGTGGCCTTTTGTGTTTCCCTCTTCCTCAGGTTATCCCCGAAGAAATACGCAAGAATCTTGTAGAGCTGCTTCCGCAGCCCCGCAAAGTGCCCAAGAGGTTTGACGAATATACGCAAGAGGAAATTGATGCTTTCCCAAGGCTCTGGAATCCGTAAGTGTCTAAAAGTCCTTGCACGGGGCTTTTATAACCGCACGTGATGGATTAGCTTTTAAAGAATGCATTCGCCTCTAAGCGGCTGGAGAAATGTTTTTAAAATGCCTTTGAAGCAAAGATGAAGACGGCTGCGCCATATAGATTTGTCCCTTCAGTTTTTGGATTACTTTGAGAGTAGATTTTGTTCTTATTTTGTGAGAGAGAGAGTGTGTGCATTTCCTTTTAAAATAATAGAAATCAAGGCACGCCTGTTTTTGGTCCTCTAGGAAAATGTTTTCAGAATAGTTTTATAAACGCGATGGTCTAACCTATAAAATATAGTATCCTGCTTCACGTGGAATACTTTACACACAGGTATTTGTAAGGCTTTGGGTGGATTAAGTTGCAGCCTTGAAAGCAGTCCATAATATGTGTCTTAGGCTTTATTTACAAAGAGAAGAAAGCAGGAAGCTGAGGAGATATTCCTTTACCAAACCAGAATGCAATCTTGAAACCAATACTTGCGTCAAGTATTAAGGGTGTTTTGTGAAGGACTCTAGAGCCAAATCTAGCATGCAGAGCAGACCTTCCGAGTTCAATATCTACCTGCTAGAATATTGCCTTTTCGGTGGCATTTGAGGTGATGCTACCCAAGCAGAGCTTGTTTTTAAGTGCAGGGTAGATGCCTCTTTTCTTCCCACAACCATCTTTCCTGCCATAGAAGTTTTACCGTCACTGTGTCTGTAAAAATATGCCTGTGCAATTGTAATCAGCAGTGGTCTGTATGAGCTCTATGTACAGTGGTGCCCCGCAAGACGAATGCCTCGCAAGATGGAAAACTCGCTAGACGAAAGAGTTTTCCGTTTTGGAGGTGCTTCGCAAAACGAATCTCCTATGGGCTTGCTTCGCAAGACGAAAATGTCTTGCGAGTTCCTGTGGGGGTTTTTTCCCTCCCCCCCCTTTTTCTAAGCCGCTAAGCCGCTTATCCGCTAAGCCGCTAAACGCCGCTAAAAGCCGCTAATAGCGCTAATCCGCTAATCCGTCAATGGGCTTGCTTCGCAAGACGAAAAACCGCTAGACGAAGAGACTCACAGAACGGATTCTTTTCGTCTTGCGAGGCACCACTGTATTCTGCGTGGTGCTACCTTTATGAATGACAATCCGGGAAGCAACTGGGCCTGGATCCCCGCCTTTGACCACCTCAGAAATCTGCTAGTAAAAGACCCACTGCTGAGATATCAATGTACAGTAATGATGCAGGAGTAAAATGTATTGCAAAACATTTGATGAGCTTCCTGGAACATTATATGATTACACTGGTATGTCGTGTTACGTACTTAATCCGTTCCGGAGGTCTGTTCGTAGCATGAGGTGCGCTTTCACTAATGGCGCCTCCCATTGCTGCTGCGCTGCCAGAGTGTGACTTCGGCCAGTGTGGTGTTGTGGTTAAGAGCGGTAGTCTCGTAATCTGGTGAACCGGGTTCGCTTCCCCGCTCCTCCACATGCAGCTGCTGGGTGACCTTGGGCTAGTCACACTTCTCTGAAGTCTCTCAGCCCCACTCACCTCACAGAGTGTTTGTTGTGGGGGAGGAAGGGAAAGGAGAATGTTAGCCGCTTTGAGACTCCTTCCGGTAGTGATAAGGCGGGATATCAAATCCAAACTCTTCTTCTTCTTCTACCGCTCACATCCTCAAAGGTCGCTACAAGGGGCATCTACTTCCGGGTTAGTGGAGTGCGTAACCCGAAACATTTGTAAGGGGGATGGTACGTAATACGAGGTACCACTGTAGTAGCAAGACCCATACATCAGAGTTCTAAATAAGAATTCCATACTGACCTTACTTTCACTTCAGATTCTCTGCATGTGATATAAGAGTGATGGGAGAACATAAGAAATCAATACTCTGCCTCCACAATTGGAAGCAGTTATGCTTCTGAATACCAGTTTGCTGGAAACCACAGGAAGGGAGAGTGCTCTTGTTCTCAAATCCTGCTTACTGGTCTTCCACAGGCTCTTCATAGGTTCTTACGTTACAAAATATGGCAGGGACGGAGCCTCCCTTTCACTGCAGTGCTTTGAAATAATTCTGCCTTACCTAAAGAAAGTTATTTTGCTCACTGAATGAGTCTTCACCTTCATTAACTGTTGAGCCTTGGACTTCTTTTTTAAAAAAGATAGTTGGGCATTGTGGTTGTAGGAAGAAAGGAAAAGTTAAAAACATATTCCTCCTCCGTGGGTCTTCTGCTGGTTCCCTCACTGCAAGAAGCCAAGTTACAGGGAACCGGGCAGAGGGCCTTCTCCATAGTGGCGCCCTCCCTGTGGAACAGCCTCCCTTCAGTTGTCAAGGAGATAAAGAATTGCACAACTTTTAGAAGACATCTGACGGCAGCCCTGTATCGGGAAGTTTTTAATGCTGGATGTTTTGCTATGTTTTTATATATGCTATAAGCCGCCCAGAGTGGCGGAAACCCAGTCACATGGGCAGGTTATAAGTAATAAAATTATTACTATTTTATTTATTCAGTATATTATATGGGCTTAATTTCTTTTATTTAGGGAGGAGATAAAAAGTGTTTTGGAAACTTAGTGTGCTCCTACCTCTTTCTCAATCCTGCTATGCTCTTATAATGAGCAGAATTTGAAATGTACTGCTGTTTACAAGTACTGTACGGTATTTCCATCTTATTGTGGCATATGCAGAATTATTCCATCCTGTAATTACGTAGGACAGAGAGAATCAGAAAGACAGAGACCACCCGAAAGAGAATTCTCAAGAGCTGGAGCTGGTCTCCTATGAGCTTAATTATTTAAAGCCATTCTCCTTCCAAATGGGACTTTACAGTCTGCTAACTTTGGAATAACGACGAGTCAAGGAAAAAGTTCCAGGAGAGTCCAGGTGTCTGACCCTTTCCCCTCTGTGAAACATTTCACCCTTCTAATATTATCTGGTGTAGTGTATGAACTTAGAGTGCGAGCCAAGACATCTCAGAATTTCGCCACAACTACAAACTCCCTTAGCTGCTTGTATCTCGCCTTCTGCGGTCCACTATGTCAGAACAGTGATACTGAATGGCCATGTAGCCCTCTTTGGTTTATAACATAGGAAGGAAGCTTGTATTTGAAGTACTTTGAACATCTGTTAAAAAAACAACCCCAATATATAAATGCTGAATATATATCCTTATGTCTGCACCCAGTGTCTGGAACAATGGAAAGCATGCAGATTTCCATAAACTAACTACATTTTGCATACTTTCATCTGGCTATATTACTGGTTGTTTCAAAATCCAGATACCTTGGTGAGCACTATAATAGCTAAAAGGCAAGGAATTAAGAGTCTACCAGAATTGATGCTGCTGGTTCCTTCACCATTGGTTCCTGGCTGTCCTTTGCCTCTTTCTCCTGTCTTTCCTCCTTGATTGCCTAAAAGGTTTGTTTCTAGATTGTTGCCCACAGAGGATGAGAAACAGATAACGGGTGTTGTGGAGACAGTTTGGTGGTTACTGTGCATGACATACGTGTATCTCACCAGTGTTAGAAACTCAGATATTTACGCTAGGGGCCAAATGGCTACTTAAACCAAGGCTATAGTCTCTAAATAGAATGTCCAGTTGCCATTTTGGGGCAAGACGGCTCTAAAGTCTTATTTTTCAAATGATGGGCCAACTGTGATTTATTCTCAGTTAAACATCTGGCTAGTTCATATCACAACCTTGAGCTAGGTTGAGAACTTTGAGAACTTAAAGAAGAAAAGTCACTTGATCCAGGGACAGTCCACATAGATATTGGCTTATTCCGACCTTTTTTTCTTAATGGCAACAGCTCTTGCTCAGGCTGTACAGAAAAAGCATTCTGGTTCCAGAAATTCATTCCAGCTGTGCAGATAAAATATAACAGAGAGAATTCTACAGGATGGGGTATTAGTCCAGATCCAAGGATCCCCAGGCATCCACCTCCAGATCTTCACTTAGTTGCAAGTGGTCAAAAGCCAGGTGCAAAATGTGCCTGGTGCCTGGCTAATTTCAAACACTGGTATCTGCCTCTTGACCACTGGATGCCCTGTCCTGGCCCCCTTTGGTATCTGAGCAGTCAAGAGGTCTTGGCTTAGCGTTTCCCTTCAGAATAGAGATGGGGAGAAATATGAAGTTTATCTTGTTTCTGCAGAAGTGTGCAGAAGTGACTGTTACAACTGTTAGAATTCCTGCTCCATGATTGCAGTCATGGGATTTTTGTCTATCACATGGCGGTGTATATTTTGACTCCACAAAGTGGGAAGTGACGGAGACAGGATATTTGTGTTGCTGTGTTTCATGAAGTGGGACTATTGTCCCTTTTTTTTCCTCTTTGCTGTCTGATGCTAGAGAGAGACGGAGCCATGTTGCAGTGCTCCATGTGTGTTTATATGTAAATTAAGTAGATTAGCCCAAATGCTGAGTTGCTGAGGTCTGTCACGCAATGCTGTGCAAACCCTGTGGATCCCTAAGTGTGCCGGTGTCGGTTGGCATCGGTTGCTGTGATGTTCGGGCTAAAGAAAGCTTTTGAAGCTCCCGAGCGATTGACCAGGAGGGAGAGAACATGCCAGTCGGGCATGTGTCTCTGCCAGGGTCCTACTCGAGTGTAGGACAAGCTCCTGACAACAACACTATTAGGCTTGATTCTCCTTCAGCTTCCCCCTCCCCACTCAAGAAATATTTAAGCATCTTGCTTAGCCCAAAAGAGGAAGTAAGAGAGGGGGTCAGAAAGCTTTTCTTCCCACTGCTGAGAAAAGGGGAAAGCACTTGACCCCTCGTTGCGTAAGAACAAGGAAGCAATCAAAGCACTGCATACTTGGGGATTAAGAGGCAGCAAGAATCTTTGGTGCAGAAAGGAGAGTTGTGAAAAAAATATAGTTGGGGGGGGAATGGAAATGGGTTGGGAGATGCCATAAGACTCCAGCCAAATTGATATTGATGCTTCTCCTCATATGGAAGCCAGGAGATGTTTTCATAAAAATCCTGCTAATGTTAGACCTTTGCAGTTTTATGCTGTGAAATTGGAGTCTGTTACCACCACAATTAAGAAGGTTACAGGAAGCCAGTGGTTTTAACGCAGAGAAATGCCATGTGGAATTAAGCAGGGAAATGGTACTTAACGGCACAGCTTATAATTAGTAAAATGTGCGTGAAAAGTGTCTGCCTTCAGTTGTGAATATTAGGCACCGTTTTAACTGGAAAATTACAGGCCCCTTTCACTCCAGCTGCCTGAGAGAGACTGAGCATAAAATAACTTGCCCCAGGGAATCATGCACAGCTAAAAATACTTCTGTGGAAGTGCCCACTTACCTGCTCTTTTTTGTTTCTTCAGAGGAAAGATGAGCTGAGCGTGGCAGTATTTCCCAGCTTCTCTATAGCAAAAGTTCTACAAAATTATTTCGGCTTTTGTTTCTCAGGGGTGGGAGCGCAACTTTAGCTGGGTCGCAGCTTAATGAGTGTCTTCATTTGCTGTGCATGCCAAATGAGTAGCCTCCTTTGCAGCTTTGAAGCGTGATCATCCCAACAGCCTTGTAGCAATCCTCAGCTCTGCGGTTGGGAGGAAAACGGGTTGTTTGGCAGCTGCATGGCCAAATCACCCAGAGCAGGTTGCTGCCCACCAGAAGCACCCTGAACGTCTCCCCTTCTTCCCCCCGCCCCCTCCAAGCAACAGCAGACGAAACTGGCGTGCTCTTTCCCTAGGACCCATGTACCTATGGGACCACCTCTCCTGGTAAGTCCTGCATAGGACCTCAAGGTCCACAAATGACAACACTTTGGAGGTCCCAAGTCACAAGGTGGTTAGGTTGGTCTCAACTAGGGCCACGGCCTTTTCAGTACTGGCCCCGACTTGGTGTAACGCTCTGTCACAAGAGACTAGGGCCCTGCGGGACTTGACATCTTTCCGCAGGGCCTGCAAGACAGAGCTGTTCCACCTGGCCTTTGGTTTGGACTCAGTCTGACCCTTATGTTTCCCTCCCCTTATGGTTTTGATCTATGGGCTACTTTTAAAATGAGGCTGCATTTTAAATTGCATTTTAACCTATATTTTAAATTGTTTTGTTGTGTTCCCCCCCCCATTATGTTTTTATTTTGCTGGTGTTCTCCGCCCTGAGCCCAGCTCTGGCCGGGGAGGGTGGGGTATAAATAAAATTTATTTTATTATTATTAGGGACGCGGGTGGCGCTGTGGGTTAAACCACAGAGCCTAGGACTTGCCGATCAGAAGGTTGGCGGTTCGAATCCCCGCGATGGGGTGAGCTCCCGTTGCTCAATCCCTGCTCCTGCCAACCTAGCAGTTCGAAAGCACATCAAAGTGCAAGTAGATAAATAGGTACCGCTCCTGCGGGAAGGCAAACGGCATTTCTGTGCGCTGCTCAGTAAAGCGAGATAAGCGCCGCAACCCCAGAGTCGTCCGTGACTGGACCTAATGATCAGGGGTCCCTTTACCTTTATTATTATTATTAATTCCTCCCCACAGTAAATAGAGGCAGATTTTATTTGGCTGCTGCTCAAATGAGGTGCTCTGAGCTGCTCTGCCAAACATCAACAAAAGCCAACATGCTTCCCAGCTCTTTTTTTTACAGGTAGGGTGGGTTGGGGTGTGAGAGTCTGTAACTGACTGATATTGGGCAGTGATGTTGCTTCTGCCAAGCCATGAAGGAACCTGAAGACCATAAATTTTGGCTTGGCTAGCAAAGCCACATTTTTTGTATTCTGTTTTACTTGAGGTGCTTTGAACTGTGCAACTGTTCGCTATTTTGAAGTGTAAAATAAGTTTTACGTGACCAACTTTTTCCTCTGTTGAGCTATCCTTTCATTCTGTCCAGGCTGAATGTTCACCAGACGGCATTAGCAAGATGCTTTTTTACCCATTTTCAATTTTGGTTGCTTTCAGTCATGAATGCAAGTGTGAGACAGGAAGCTGAAATAAAAGCTATTGAATTTCACTCTGCTTCTTCTGGAAACTGTTATGTGGCAGGTTAAATCAAACCGTTCCTACTTGGGTTTGAGCAGAACCTAAGCAGCAAATTTTATAACCAGCCTACTAAGCCTGAACCCAAATTGATTTGAGTCCCCAGTTCAAAATCTGCTTAATCCTTGAGTACCCCATGAATGCCACAGTTAATTACCTTCTCAACAAATCTTGCACTAAGTACAAATTGCAGCGAGAAATATTGAGCTCTGGGTTAACATGCCTGAGTCATAACTATATTTTCCAGTGGAGGGAACAAAAGCAAAAACCAAGCACTCTAGGGGGATAGAAAATAACTAAGTACTTTGCTGCAAGCAGCCTAAACCTAAACAGAGGTTATTTCTCCCTTGGGGGGAAATTGGGATCTATGATGTGGGCTTGTCTCCGCCCATCTCACCACCGGCAGGAAGTCTTGAAAAAATATATTTGAGGGATACTTCGGGTGAGAGACCCTTGTTCCATTTCCTGCCTTTGCCACTGGTAGGAGGTCTCTTGCCTGCTCTGGGCAAAAGAAGAAGGTGGGAGAGCCATATTGGAAGGGATTTTTCTTTCCTTTGTTCTTCCTTTGTCTTCCTTTCTTGGAGCCACTTTTTCAGCTCCCTTTGGGCCTACAGCCCTTTGGAAGCCTCTGGACTTAGGAGGAAAGCCTAGGAAAGGGTCAGGGGGAAAACCCAGCGGAAAGGAGGAAACTTTCTTTTCTAAGAGATGAAGCTTCCTCTGGATTCCTTGGTAGTGGCACCCGCCCTGTGGAACGCCCTCCCACCAGATGTCAATGAGAAAAATAACTACCAAACTTTTAGAAGACATCTGAAGGCAGCCCTGTTTAGGGAAGCTTTTAATGTTCGATACATTACTGTATTTTAATATTGTGTTGGAAGCCACCCAGAGTGGCTGGGGAAACCCAGCCAGATGGGCGGAGTATAAATAAATAATAATTATTATTATTTATTCCTCAGTGGAATCTGGGATCCCAGGCCGCCTGCGGAATTCCCTTGAATTTAACAGTAGCCCAAGCCGAGGAGGTTTCAGGCAAACTGCAAATGCTTGATCCAGCAGCTCCAGCACTTCAGGAAGTTGGGCTGGGAAGTTGGACGAGTGGATTGCCTGTCTAGGACAGACTTTGGACCTCCCCATGGCCTCCACAGTCTCCCCACCCTGCTTGCTACAGACCTATCAGGCTATTGTACGCTGAATCTCGGAGGGTTGCCCAGAGGGGTATGAGACTTTTGCCCGAAGATCCAGGGGCCTCCTATCTTTCCATCCCAGCTTTTCTGGCCTTTTCAGCCCATTATGAAGGTTATTTCCATTTTCCCTTTCTCCTGTGCTAGTTAAAGGGGCCACTAGGAACCTTTCCTTTCATGCAGTGATCAGGGGGGCATGTTCCTGAAATATACTCGGAGCCAAGAGTGGATTTCATTCTCTTTATTCAGCTGATAGTGGTGAGGAGGAATGGAAGTTCCCCCAGAATGCCTGCTTTATATACATTATTTACACAATGGGCCACACGTGATTGGCTAATTCACCTGTAGGCCAATCTGGTTGCGGGGTCACGTTCACCTGGAGCTGGATTGGGTGGCTCCTGTGGACCAATCAGACTGCTGCATTCTGAATCCTATTGTTCTAGGACCAATCAGACTGCTGCCTTTTGGATCCTATTAAACTCAGTACATAACAGTACTGTGTTCCCCTCCTATTCCTTAGTTGCTATTGCAGTTACTTGCTTAAGCATGAGTTGAGCTGAAGCAGGGTGGATAAAAATCAGTGATTAAAAAAAATAAATCAGATTTTTTTTATTTAAATCAGATTTTTTTTATTTAAATCAGATTTTTTTTTTATTTAAATGAATTTTAAAATAAAATGCTTTTGGAGGAAAAATCTTTCTAAAGATAGTTTTCTATTTAAGTTATATTATAGTCCAAAGGCTATTCATCAGGAAATAAGGATTTGTTTTAAGTTTTGTATGTGTGTTAAAACTCAGTCTAAGTTTGTTTTTGTTTGTTTGTTTGTTTAAAAAAAGCTTAACCACATCAGTTAACAAACATGGATACATATGCTATATAAATCCAAACACTCAATAATGTTATTGCTTTAGTTAAATAAATTGCTTAAATTGTTATTAAGGAAATGATTATTTTTCTCCGTCCAATAAAGTACAGCAGAAAAGTTGTCCCAATATAAACAGTTAACTTCTTAAACCTAACAATCATTTCATAATTATCTGTCTTATGTATTTCTAATAGTATAACCAAGTCAGTAATTTTTGATATAACTGTAAAAACTACTCTGAAAATTTATTTTTCCAAAAATGAAACCTTCATCTGGTTGTAAATATTAAGATTATACCGGAAAGACTGAGTCTTTTTGTTAAAAAAAAAAAAAAAGACTTAAATCAAGTCTTACTGACTAGTGATTTAGATCAAGTCTTACTGACTAGTGATTTAAATCGTGATTTAAATCAAATCCACCCTGCCCTGAAGTATCCTCAAAGTTTTGTTTTTTAAAAAATTCCTGCCAGTGGTGAGATGGGCAGAAACAACCCAGTTCTCCGTATAGAGAAGGAACTTATCACGGTTAAGTACCAACGTTCGCTTTTCCCCCGGGGAAGCATTGCACAGGTAATCAGGTACTTCTAAAGAGGGGCTCTCATTCCCTTGGAGTCCTCAAATTTGCCCAGTGGCCAGATGCCAGAGTGTTGCTCTAATATGAAGGCTCAAAATAAAATTTTAAGAATCCGAAAGGTCAGCAAATCCACATATAAGCCTTTTTGGCTGTTTAAACTTAATCCCATGATTTCTTTATCCATGTAATGCACCCCTCTTTAAGTCTTCCACTGCCTTTCTCTCTAACCTTTCCCCCAGGTTAAAATTCCAGTTTGCAAGGATGTCTTTGTTCCTGTCAGATGAAGTGCATAAGCACTACCTAGTGAACCATGAGAGGCACATCAAAATAGTAAAATATTTACATTCTCTTGTGGATAAACAGATACAGAAGGAACTGAAGCAGGAATATTGCTTGGTAAAAAATAAGGAATGCATTGATTTCCCGCGCGCGCCCCCAGTATATTCTTGAAAACTTTGCTCTCTTAATGTTGTTATCATAATATATGCAATAATAATAATAATAATAATAATAATTTATTTATATCCTGCAGTCCCCACCCGAAGCCGGGCACAGAGCGGCTAACAACAGTAAAAATAACACAGTTTACATAAAATTACAATCAATTATTTGAAATACATACTAAAATCAATTCAGAATCAAATTAATGGCAACCCTGCCTTTTCCCCTGATGGGGCTCAATATACACAGGACCTGTTCAAGTCTGGTTCTAATCTGGCCTGTGACTATAGAACAGTACTGCCATTTTGGCTCTGTCTCCTAAAGGGAGCTGGGACACGGGTGACGTTCTGGGTTAAACCACAGAGCCTAGAACTTGCCGATCAGAAGGTCGGAGGTTCGAATCCCCGCGACGGGGTGAGCTCCCGTTGCTCAGTCCCTGCTCCTGCCAACCTAGCAGTTCGAAAGGACATCAAAGTGCAAGTAGATAAATAGGTACCGCTCCTGCGGGAAGGTAAATGGCGTTTCTGTGCGCTGCTCTGGTTCGCCAGAAGCGGCTTAGTCATGCTGGCCACATGACCCGGAAGCTGTACGCCGGCTCCCTCGGCCAATAAAGAGAGATGAGCGCCGCAACCCCAGAGTCAGTCATGACTGGACCTAATGGTCAGGGGCCCCTTTACCTTTACCTTTATGGTTTGGCTTAGTGTGATATGTGACTGATTACATTGACTGAAATAAATTGGTATATACATTCCCGCCCCCCTCTCTATATATACAGATAAAATAGAACATTAAAGAACCTGTTGAAAACATATTTTGTTAAGCAAGCCTGAAAGAGAAGTAGTGACACGTTATTACAGGGCAGCCTTGCTGTCATCAACTAATAATAACTCCACATTCTTGTGAGCATGGCTTTCTCCTTGATGGTTTTTAATTTCTCGACTGCAGCTAGAACAAAGACTGGTCTAAAGCAAAGCAAATGGCTTGATTCGATCTCAAGTTCTTGAAGGAGATGGAATTTCTTTTCTCCTTGTCATCCAGAACCGCCAGGGCCAGTGCAGCTTTGAAGGGGGCATTTGGGGAGCAGACTGTGTGTTCCCTCCATTCCATACTCAATTCTGTTTGCAGAAAAATGTAAACCAGCGACGGCACAAAGATCTTGATTCTTCAAGTCCCTAATTCTTCAGGTCCCTTTTCACCCTAATAAGACCAGAAGCTCAAAGATGCATACAGTGGTACCTCTGGTTGCAAACGGGATCCGTTTTGGAGGCCTCTTCACAACATGAATAGAACGTAGCGGCGCATCTGTGCACACGTGGTTTGCGATTCGCCACTTCTGCGCATGCACGTGACATTATTTTGCGCATCTGCGTCTGCCATGCACGAGCAGCGAAACCCGGAAGTAACCCTTTCCGGTACTTCCGGGTCGCCGCGGAACGCAACCTGAAAAAAAGTATCCTGAAGCAAACGTAACATGAGGCATGACTGTACTAGACATTTCAGCGTTGGTTGGCCATTTTGAATCATGCAGATTTTTGTCTCTTTCTGTTCCTTTCAAAAACCTCTATTTTTGCACTCTGCTTAGCCTCCCCCACTTTCTTGGCCTTCTTCCTCCTCTTCCTCCTCCTCCTCTTCCTCCTCTTCCTCTTCTGCAATCACTCGTAGCCGAGTAAGATTGTCTTCCATAAACACGGTTTTAACTATGAGTCCATAAATGACTGGAGGCCAATTCTGGATAGCATAGATGAGAGGGATCTCTTTCAGGGTGAAGACTCTGTGCACCGTTCTTTGGCTCCCTTCCCTCTTGCGTCTCCTCTCCCTTCCAGTTTTGGCTGTCCTCCTGCTGTACTAGAACTGGGCAGGAGTCATATGTAGCTCAAAAGCCTAGTATTCTTTAACCACCCAGTCTTCAGACTTCAGCAGATTTTTCTGCAGAAATTGCCCAACCACTATTTTCAGTGCAGAATTGGTAGAGAGAGTGCATTGTTATTGTTTGTTTGTTTGGCAAGACTGGCATTGCCCTCAGGAGCCAGCCATGGATTGTAAAACACTTGGAAGTTACAGTGGTGCCCCGCAAGACAAATGCCTCGCAAGACGAAAAACTCGCTAGACGAAAGGGTTTTGCGTTTTTTGAGTCATTCCGCAAGACGAATTTCCCTATGGGCTTGCTTCGCAAGACAGAACGTCTTGCGAGTTCTTGCGAGTTTGTTTCCTTTTTCTTAAAGCCTCTAAGCCGTTAATAGCCGCTAAGCCGTTAATAGCCGCTAATAGCCGCGCTTCGCAAGACGAAAAAACCGCAAGACGAAGAGACTCGCGGAACGGATTAATTTCGTCTTGCGAGGCACCACTGTAATTCTGCAAGAAATCCGCATGAATGGAAGTGGGAGCAGCCCTGTGAGTAAAACGGTTGCACAACTCTGCAGAGACTTTCTGAGTGTCTGTCTTGATTCCATGTCTGGGAAAGTTTTCCCAGCCATTCACCCAAACCGGAGTTCAGACTCATTAGTGCCCTTTTCAACTTCGTGTTTGTCCTGTTACTTAATCTCTTCGTGTCAGATTTGTTGGTGTACACCGCTAATAGATTAGCTGCAAGGCACTGACCTCATGCAGTGCTTCAGAAAAGTCAGGTTTGTCCACAGCAAGGAGGTGATGAATACCTGCCACTCACTCCATGGATGGGAGTCATTTTTCTCACTTGACAAGGAGAGGGGGTTACCTGCAGGCAAATAGAAAAAATGCCATTTTGAAGGCTTCAAAGTCGTCATGCCAGGTGCATATTGCTGGCTTAGTAAGCAACTTCTGCTGACAAATCTTGGTATTTCTGTATTTGTGGGGTAATGTTTCATAGACTTAAAGACAGCTAAGAAAGCTGTGATAGTCTTCCAAGTACGTGTTAGAAGTGAAGGGGAAATTGGTTGTGCTAATTTTGACATAACGTTGAATATGTTCCTTGATGTTGCAATGTAATGGAGCTTTGAATGAAATAATCTGAAAAACATTTGTAAAGATTCCATTACTGTGGTACCTCAGGTTACAAACGCTTCAGGTTACAGACTCCGCTAACCTGGAAGTAGTACCTCGGGTTAAGAACTTTACTTCAGGATGAGAATCACGCGGCGGCGGCGGCGGGAAACCCCACTAGCTAAAGTGGTGCTTCAGGTTAAGAACAGTTTCAGGTTAAGAACGGACCTCCGGAATGAATTAAGTTCGTAACCAGAGGTACCACTGTACTTTTTGAAATCTGGACACCTTCTGTGTCACTATAATCCAGAGAGAAGGAATAACTCGCATTTAGCCAAGTAACATGTTGGCTTATCTCTCTGTTGGATCTCCCATGCCATTTGGATAAAGACCTATGCATTGATTTTCCCCGCACTTGTATTTTCATAATTAGGATGGAGAAGAGGGTTTCGCCCTCCTTCTCAACTTCCATGATAGCTAATGTGAAAATCTTTTGGCATTCTTTAAAACTAGCTTTGCATCCTTGCTCTCTTGGGCGTTCTTCCTGCCTTTATACAACACAGTTCCAGTTTTTATCAGCCTTGCTGCTTATTCGCATTGAAATAATGTGGGGATACGCCTTGTCATTAAAGGCTGCAGAGTCTAATTATGTTTACTATGCTGTTAAAAATAAAATAGGCTGCTACTCCCACCATACAGCTTCAGCCAAACCCCAGCTTTTGGTCTGCAGAGCATTGCTAGGCAAAAAAAGGATCACCTTAACTGGAATGCGCTGCCTGCGGTTTTGCTAAGGAGCAAACTCCACAGTGACTCTATTGAGATTGGGCTAAAAACTACCACGGTTTGCTGTCACTTATTTCAGCAGTTTCATCAGCAAATTTTCTAGCACACGTATTTTTTGTACCCACTGAAAATACCTTTTAACAAGGCTCTGGGGGTGTTAAATAGCATCGTACATGGGACGGGAAGACAGTATTTAGTTTGGGAAGTTTTTCCCTCTTTAAAATAGTGGCTGTTGAACATACAAAACTGCCTTAAAGCGAGTCAGTCTATTGCTTCATCTAAGCCAGTATTATCTACACTATGTGGCTGTTCATGGTTTTGGAGAATGTTCTTTCTTGGCCTTAAGATCATTTTTAAACTACACTAGTGGCCAAAATTGTGGGAACCTTTAGGGGAAAGTGTATTTCTGAGGTTTGATGGCTCATAGCACCACTTTCTTTTGGAGTAATACCATACAATTATATATCAATGGAAAGATAATTTAATGAAGACTGTAATGCAATATCTTTTATGCAGAAGAAATCCATAACAGAAGCAGTACCTGACGCAGGTCTCTAGATCAGTCCATTGGGCTACTTTTTCAAAGATGCAAGTTATTAATACTAGATGTGTTAAATTAATTGCGATCACATCATGTGGTTCTTTCAGTTACAGCTTTCAGTTATGGGCACAGTAGGGTGGTGAGGAACTGGTAAAACAGACTGGCCCTCATCACAACCCACTTTTTATCCTCTCATGAAGACAGAGGCTTTCACAGGCCCTATAAGGCATCCATTTATTCATAAATTCTCTAAACCAGTTTCTCCCCCTCCCATTTGCCCAGATTTCTAACCCACGGCTTCCAGTTGTCAAAGGTCATGTACTTTCTTCGGTTACACTGTGCTGATTTGTTCCAAGTGCAGAAGAATTTTTATACAAGACGAATGCCTCGCAAGACGGAAAACGCGCTAGACGAAAGGGTTTTCCGTTTTTGAGTTGCTTCGCAGGACGAATTTCCCTATGGGCTTGCTTCGCAAGACGAAAATGTCTTGCGAGTCTTGAGATTTTTTTTCCGCTCCCCCCCCCTTTTTCTAAGCCGCTAAGCCGCGAATAGCCTTTTAGCAGCTAAGCCGCTAAGCCGATAAGCCTTTAATAGCCGCTAAACCGCTAATAGCGCTAAGCCGCTAATAGGGTTGCTTCGCAAGACGAAAAAACCGCTAGACGAAGACACTCGCGGAACGGATTAATTTCGTCTTGCGAGGCACCACTGTATTTTGTTAAGGGAAACTCAGAGAGTGAAAGAGGAATGCCCCAGGTTTCATACGGCCATTGCTCATAGGGATATCGATTAACGCTCTTAAGGGCTTTCTTGGGATTGAAGATGTTGTGTTTCGTGGAGACCTCTGCTGCCAGAAGCAGTCTTCTTTGGGTCTGGCCTGCATTCGTGCCTAAAACTCTTTGGAAAGGCCAAAAAAATACCAGCAGCTTTTGAAAACCTAGCAGGGTTTCAGAGAAAGAGATTGATCAGAGGAAGAGATTGATCGTACCTTGGGTTAAGAACTTAATTCGTTCCGGAGGTCCGCTCTTAACCTGAAACTGTTCTTAACCTGAAGCACAACTTTAGCTAATGGGGCACCACTGCTGCACGATTTCTATTCTCATCCTGAAGCAAAGTTCTTAACCTGAGGTACTATTTCTGGGTTAGGGGAGTCTGTAACCTGAAGCGTCTGTAACCCGAGGTACCACTGTATTTAGAGCAGCAGCTGCTTCTCAAGTCAGTGTTCAGATACCTGGTGTTGACTCTGAAACGCTGCAGAATAGCCTTGTCTGTTCCCAGTCCCAGGTAACGAAACAGCATAGTAATGTTCCAATTGGCACTTGTCTTTTACGGCTGCCAGCTCATGACTCCACTGCAAGAGCAGAAGCAGAGAATGGGAGGAAGGGAGGGAGTGAAGCAACTCAGTAATGTTGACCAGTGGACTCCCATGCATCACTTGGGAGAAGGGTAAAGAACTTAATTAAATATGTGTAGATGTAGCAGCGCCTGGTGAGCATCTACATCATAGTCAGTCTATGTCTAACTATTATAAACACTTTTTAATAACTGCCATATTTGGGGGGGGAGGGTTAAATAGCAGGGCCTGGCCTGCAGATCATTGGAGAGCTTGTGTGGTATACTGATTTGAGCTGATGCATACAGCCTTGTTTCATTTTTATCAGCTGAGCAATGTGGTTGCCAATTTCTGCATTTCCCATCTGCTCAGCAGAACCCGGAGCTCTCCTGGGTCATGGGAACTGGGAGGCTCCCTCCCTTGTTGGATTTGCGAAACGAGATGATCTGATGGCGCTTTCCAGTTTTCATATCCAACATACTATGCAGTTCTCGGCCTGTATGTTCACGCTGTCTCATTTATCTCTGCTGATGGCTTGTTTATTTCCCATGAGTGGTGGTCAACTAAGTTTTGCTCACGAGTAGGTTTCTTGAAATTGATGGACCTAACGAGTCATATTCATTCTTCTCAGTTGGTCTATTCTGAGAAAAACGCAAGTTGAATACAGTACACTCTCGGGTTATGTTACTCTCGAGTAACGTAAACTTCGGGTTACAAAAGCAGCAGACTCAAAATTATTTTTCCACAGTATTTCATTTCAGGTTATTGCGTCCCAAAGCATCTTTAGCTGCAGGCAGAGAGAGAGAGAGAGAGAGAGAGAGAGTGTGTGTGTTTGGTTTTGAGTGGGATGGGACCAGGACTACAGTTCACTTTGCTAGTTTCCTTTAGATGAGCAGAAATAAGTTACAGGAAACTCCATAAATGACCACCTCCTAATTTTTCTGCTTATTCTTTGGTACATTTTTTCACATATATTTTTTCCATGCACTGTTATTTTAGCTGCCAATATATCAAGGGCGAGGAACCTGTAGTCCTGTCTGAATGGCCACAGGTTCCCAACCTGTAATAAGAGTAATATTACCACCGTAATAATAGTTTATGATCTATTTATTTTTTCTTCTTTGTTTTATTTGACAAGCTGTCCTAGCATATTTATTCATCCCTGCTTCTTTTTTATTTGCAGACCTAAAGATTTTCGACCGGCGTAGCAGGAAGAGTGTGAAAGAATGGGAACAGGAGCCTACATGCTTCGTCTTCTAGAAGATAAAAGCCATCCAGCATTTCACAGTTTAGTTAATTGCATAAAGCTTTAATTGTCTGCTCTAAAGCAAACTTGATTTTTTTTCAGGTTTAGGGCAGTATTACTTCATTTGTTTATGCTTGGTAATCCCCTTTTTCTTCCGTGGACGGGGGAACGGGGCTGACAATAAAAAATACTTTTCTGAAATTAACTGCAGTATCTACTTCTTTTTATACAGTGTTCTGGCCTTTGGGTGAACTTGTTTTGTGGCACGCGTAACTGTATAATACGTAAAGCATTTGAGCAAGTGTGCTGGCTGTTAGATTGTCGTATTCCTGCTGAAGCCTGCAGTTAGCCAATGATCTCACACTTAAGTTTAGGTGTCCCGCTCTAGCAAAGACTTTTGTACACACATCCCCTTACTGGAGCGGGAACTGGGCATGCAGAACAGGATTGATAGACAGCTAGGACTGTCATTAGAGACAGTGCCGTGCTTCCTTCTGCCGAAAAGGAGAGTGAGGTTAAACTTGGATTCAGGGTCCCTTGTCTCACCTATAAAGTAGATTACCAGTGTACAAGTTAACATCACCAACCATTTATTGGGTAGCTAGCTGTAGTTGGAATTTGTTTTGTTTGCTGCACTTTCTCCATAGGCCCCTAGAGCAGCATGCATGCAGGCAATTAAAGCAGAAACAATAAAAATGCATGCAATTAAAGTACAAACAAAAATAAAAACCACAGCAATCCAGCTCCGTACACCACAATACAGTAACCAGTTACCATATTTTTCGGTCTATAAAATGCACCCAACCATAAGACGCACCTAGTTTTTAGAGGAGGGAAACAAGAAATAAAATCCCCATCTCTGCGCAGCGTCTCTCCAGCGAAGCAGGAGGAGAAACGGAAGGGGCTTTGTTTCTCTTCCCGCTTTGCTGAAGAGGCGCTGCGCAGAGATGGAGAGCTGTGCAACGCCATTCGCTCCATAAGACGCGCACACATTTCCCCTTTGTAAGAGGATAAAAGTGCATCTTATGTGGCGAAAAATACGGTACATAGAAGCAAGGAGACTAGAGAAGGAACACAGCAGCATTCTGATGCCCCACAAAAGAGAATGGTTTTCGACTTCCGGGTTAGCGCCATCGCCGAATGGCGGACTCCCTCCGAGCTCCGGAGGGAGTCTGCTCGGCAGGGGCTGGGTCCTACCGCGCCGGCGACGCGGGGACCCTTAAAAACCACGGGCACGGAGTCCGTGGACATGGGTGACTCGGCTTGCACCATTAGCGCCCTCCCGACTCGTGAAGGAGCCTTTAAAGGCTTCGGATCGGAGTGCCGGGAGTGGCGTGGTGCTTGAGTCCACTGCTTTCCCTGCCGAGCGCAGCCGCATGCCATTCGGCGGAGAGCGCTGACTTCTTCTATTGAAAATTTGGACTATTAACAACAACCCGTGAGTAATTGGGAAACCGGGTTCAAAATTTTGGATTTGGCACGAGCGGGCGATTTAAAAGGAAGTCAATCCCCCTATTGTAAACATTCCAAAACAAGGACTGGGTAACCAAGGTCCAAAGGGAAGTATGTCTTTGATAAAAATCATTAATTTCACGATGGGAAATTATAAGAAATGTGCTGGAGGAGAAGAGTGGAGGGTGAGAAGAAAAATGCAACCCCCCCCCTGGGAACCGGGGCGATTCGTGGAGCTTGGTGAAGAGAGACGGAGACTTTGACAGCTGTCAAAGTGGCTGTCAAAGCTGGAGAATATAAAGAGGACTTTACGAGGACCTTGCTGGTTAATTTTGTTACAATTTGCTATAATATGGATATAAACTGTTGGAAAATAAGCAACAATTTGACTTTTGGATTAGAGGATACAAAGTTATTACAATCCCCCTAGAGGGGTTTCGGGATACTACAAGAACGGTCGTAAGTGGAAAAATACCCTGGGATTCGCACAGGATTTGTTATCTTCTGGGAAAGCTGCAAAACTGAAAGAGTATTTTGTCTACAGAGGAAGACAATGGAATTTTTATTGAAGAAAGAAAGGGACTGGACGTAAGTTTTTGTTCCTGAATAACAAACCTCTGCAGAGACACTAGATTTCTGAATTAGAAAGTTTTAGCAGCTGAACAGGACAAGAAACCTGAGAAAGTGAGGAATAAGAAGAATAAAGGACTGATTACGACACGGAAAGAACAACGGGAGGAGTGGTAAAGATCAAAGGAAATTAAAGGCCTTTGTTAGATTGGACATTTGAAGTCAAATATTATTTAAATTAATAAACTAAAGAAAACCGGCAAGATGGAATCGGGGAGAAATCTGGTCATGAAATGAGACTTCCAAGCTGATAATGTATAGACTGATGGACATGGGGAATTCAAACCGGGGAAGGGGGGGGGGGAGATTTGAAATCCAAAGGCTGTGTAAGTGTTTGTGTTATTTTTCTATATCTCTTATTTTGTATTTCTTTGCATAACTTACGCCTGTTATTTTACTTTGATCGGACGTGTTTAAAAAAAGGGAATTTGTGGAAGGAACTGGGGTGGATCTTGGGGAAAATCTTTTTCTTTTTCTGTTAATGATGTGGGACGGTGGTAAGATTTGTACAATTCAATCTGGATAGTGGGTTAAACAAATTAAGCTTTAAATTGGGAGTGAGAGCTTGTAGAACCAAATTAAGGAAAGGGAAATACAATTGGGGGAGGGGGAGTCCCAGAAAGTAGGGAATGAAAGTAAGGTTTTTAAATATCTTTTTTCTTTTGTCTTTTTTCTTTGTATTTTTATATTTTTGGAAACTTTAATAAATATGATTTAAAAAAAAAAAAAAAAAGAGAATGGTTTTCGCCATCCACTGAACGACCAAAGTGTAGTGACAAGTAGATAACAAACACTCAGCACACTGCTGTTGGGTGCATAGCTCTGGATTAGCACCAGTGTAGTTAACTCAGGGTGTGGCACTGTTCTTGAGGTCCGCTGGGCTGAAAACCCTTGAAATGCCACTCTGCTGATGGTGAGAGTTTTTCAGCGGTGAAATGAGAGGTCTACTTTCGGACCCCTCCTCCAGCATATTGGAACAGTTCCAGGAGACTCTTGACAGCAAAATTCCAGCCATGGGATGCAAGGTGTGTCTTGGCAGCATATGGAATGATCACACCTAGACTGAATCTGAACTTCTTGTTCGGCAGGAATCTTTTGAGAGGACAAGATCTGGTGTAAGTAATTTCCCTCCCATTGACTTCCAACAGATGGGAGCGGTACAATGATTGCTTCTCTGGCCATGCTATTAATGTGTCTCTCTTGAGGTGGGGATGTTTGGACCGCTGGTAGACTGGGAGCAATGCTCAGCACTGTTGAGATTCCCAGATTGCTCAGTCTATTGAAGAATGTATTTTGAACTGCTTCGGCAAAACACAGCCTCTTTTCCTAAACTACAGTGTAGGTGTTTGAGTTAGGCCCTCTCAGTCGTTCCTCCTGTGTTAAATGTTTCTGAGTTGCTCTGACTTCTTAGAACATCTGGCAAAATCGGCAACTCTCCTAAGATTAAAAAGTGACTGGGTTTTGGAAGAAATCTTGAAGCTACACATCTGCCTCTTGCTTCTTTTGGCACATGCATAAAATGATAAATAAAAATGTTCTAAAATCTGCAAAATGGGCATTCTTACTGAACTGTTTTCAGAGGGCATGAGGTTTTCTCCTTTCCTGGGTGCAACACAGTTTTCCTATGATTTGTCCAATTATTTGAACAAATTGAATATAGTTATCAAGGCTACAGGTATGATTTAGTTCTGACACAACAAAAAGTCAACCCCAGTGGCCATAACAAATGTTTTGGCAATTGTTCCTGTTTTATGACATGCAGTTAGGTCTTAACACTGTTGGCTGGAGTTAAAGAAGCCAAGTTACGAGTGATAAATTTTGGTCAAGGGGAAAGAACGTGCGAGATTAATATGCGGTGTGAACTTCATACAGCCTGCATAGCACAGCCGTCATAAAAAATTATAGCTCACTGTTCATTATGATCATTCTCACGCAAAAGCTGTGACTTGGGCACGCTGCCCTCCTGGCGAACTACGGTCAGTTTCTCTCTGAGCATTTTCCCAAGTCTACTCAGTTGTCCACTTAACTCTGCTCTACCGCTTCTTGAAAATCTTTGATCCAAGCTGGTCAAACAGAGGAATGTGTTACTTTCCACAGATAGTGAGGAGGAATTAAAGAACCTTTTAATGAGGGTGAAAGAAGAGTGCGCAAAATATGGTCTGAAGCTCAACATCAAAAAAACGAAGATCATGGCCACTGGGCCCATCACCTCCTGGCAAATAGAAAGGGAAGAAATGGAGGCAGTGAGAGATTTTACTTTCTTGGGCTCCATGATCACTGCAGATGGTGACAGCAGTCACGAAATTGAAAGACGCCTGCTTCTTGGGAGAAAAGCAATGACAAACCTAAACAGCATCTTAAAAAGCAGAGACATCACCTTGTCGACAAAGGTCCGTATAGTTAAAGCTATGGTTTTCCCAGTAGTGATGTATGGAAGTAAGAGCTGGACCATAAAGAAGGCTGATCGCTGAAGAATTGATGCTTTTGAATTATGGTGCTGCAGGAGACTCTTGAGAGTCCTATGGACTGCAAGAAGATCAAACCTCTCCATTCTGAAGGAAATCAGCCCTGAGTGCTCACTGGAAGGACAGATCCTAAAGCTGAGGCTCCAATACTTTGGCCACCTCATGAGAAGAGAAGACTCTCTGGAAAAGACCCTGATGTTGGGAAAGATGGAGGGCACAAGGAGAAGGAGACGACAGAGGACGAGATGGTTGGACAGTGTTCTCGAAGCTACCAGCATGAGTTTGACCAAACTGCGGGAGGCAGTGGAAGACAGGAGTGCTCTGGTCCATGGGGGTCACAAAGAGTCGGACACGACTAAACAACAACAAATACATAGTTCCTGCTTACGGAATGCAATGCATTCCCTGGAAATCATTAGGCGAGCGTTTGCGTAACAAATCCGTGATTCCCATTGATACCTGTGGGAATATTTCTAATCTCTGCTTTGTCCAACCTCCCTCCCTCCCTGCATGGTCTCTGCCTGAAAATGACGGATGCCAAACAGCAAAGCACAAGCATGTAAGGAAATGGGCAAACTGGCTGTTCGGATATCTGAATGTGCAGAGTATTACAGCAAGGTTTGGGCATAATCCTATACAGTATTTTATTTTACTTTCTTTGTCTTTCTGAGTTCTCCCTCTGCTTGCTCTTAGATAGTGAGCCATACTTGGTGATGAAGTTTTTCAGAGAAAGTTCTGGCCCTCTCCTATTGTCAATCCTGCATAACTGTTTATGCAAATATTTACATTGCAGGCCATTTAGCAAATTGGCCTTGCACTGTGCGTAATCCTGCATAGCATATGAAATACTAGGAGCCGTTCCCTCTCACGTTTAATTTTGGGAACAATTCCAAAAGGTTCTAGCATATCCTTGGGCCAGTCAGCGATTTACACTGCTTTCAGATTGCTTGTTAATACTGTATGCTTAGCTAATAGACCAGATATTCATCTAAGGTAAATCTTAATCACTGCAAAAAAACAAAAACCCCACCAGCTGCAATATTAGGTCATGATTTTTGTGGGGTGCTGGGTTAAAACATACTGTCAAAATCTTGGACAGGATATTATGGAGTATGTAATTTTAGGAACCTTACCGGAGCAACAAAAATCAGCATCAAGGAACATAATGTGGACCAATATGTGTGTCTACTGAGGCAATTTGGGCGCAGTGCATCTTTGGCCGGGTGTGTGTGCATACCAATTCAAGCCAATATACAGGGATTCTATTTCATTTTGGGTACAAAATTGATCTTTAGCCTACAAACTGTAAGATGTCTTCATTAAGAGGCAGCACTGATTTATTACCACCTCTGGTGCATTGTTTTCCAGACTTTGCCATCTGGTGCAGTGTTTTTCCCTCCGAAACTGAAACCGGAGCCACACTTAATTCCCTTTCTCTATTCATATTTGATCCAGATTAACTGAGTTTCACTTCGTTTCATTCCATTGTAGAACTGCAGCGTTGGAAGGGACCCAGAGGGTCATCCAATCCAACCTCCTGCAACGCAGGAATCGGCTAAACCAACCTTAGCTGGGAGCCAACCAATATATCTGCTTAATTTGCCTAATCAGTTTCCAGAGCAACGGGGAGGACTCCTGGCAACTGTAGGATAGTGCACTTAACTAGTCCCTGTTAGCATCCTACTGTTCCATTTGCCATAGTCCTTACTGATGGGTGGATCCTAATTTGGGCCAATGGAGACGTTTCTAGGGTAGCTCTCCCTGTGCTTATCAGATGCCGTGCAAGCTGTTGCTATGGCATCTTGGTACCTTCTTACTCCCACTTGATGATGCATGTATGCTGGTCTAGAGGAGGCAAATCAATACCAAATAGGTTCTCCTCACTCTCCCCACCCCTGACTCCAACGCTTCTGACAGCCGTAGAGTGCTGGTTGCCCAACATGGTGGCTTACTTTTCACGGCACATCTCAAGCCCTCTTGCAGCATCTTAGTTTGGGAAACACAGACATGGACTTATTTCAGAAGCTGGCACTCATCAGACCTCAGAAGACAATGGGGTGAAGTCAAACCATTGGAGAGATACAATGCTGTAGAGACCAATGTAGGCGAGACATGTTTTGTTGCAGCTAAGGCAGATGAAGGTCTCCAGTTGTGCTGATCCAGGTGTACCATGGTGTTTCGTCTGTCTGCGCTCCTCCTGGCCGTCATTCCTCTGCCGGTCACTGCTGCAGATGCACAACATGGCTGCCTCCAGGCACTGCCGTCATTGATGTTGCTAGCCTTCACGTCTCGTTTGCAGACATCTTTGTAGCACAGAGTTGGTCTGCCAACAGGCCTTGTACCCGAAGCCAACTCCCTGCAGAGCACATCCTTGGAGATCTTGCCATCTTCCTTTCAGTGTAGGTGACCAAGGCAGCACAGATGAAACAAGAATGTGAACATGCTGGGAATGTGGACTTGGGAAAGCACATCTTTGTCCCTGCTACTTGCACTGGAAATAAAAGTTCCTATCGGAACAAATGGAAGCTTTGGCACCAATGCAAACAGCATGTGCTTGAGGCCTGATGATCTGGATCAGAACTCTAAGGTAAAGATAAAGGGTAGGTAAAGGTAAGGTAAAGGGACCCCTGACCATTAGGTCCAGTCGTGGCCGACTCTGGGGTTGCGCGCTCATTTCGCTTTATTGGCCGAGGGAGCCAGCGTACAGCTTCCGGGTCATGTGCCCAGCATGACTGAGCCGCTTCTGGTGAACCAGAGCAGAGCACGGAAACGCCCTTTACCTTCCGGAGTGGTACCTATTTATCTACTTGCACTTTGACGTGCTTTTGAACTGCTAGGTTGGCAGGAGCTGGGACTGAGCAACGGGAGCTCACCCCGTCTCGGGGATTCGAACCGCCGACCTTCTGATCGGCAAGCCCTAGGCTCTGTGGTTTAACCCACAGCGCCACCCGCGTCCCTAGTGCATGGCAAAGGGCCAAGGCCTCCTGTTCTAGATCCCAATGTAGATCAAGCTATCGGGCCACCAATTTGCTTTTAAAATCTAGAAGAAAGACCCTCGTTTATTTCTTCTGGTGTGCAGAAGCTTGAGAAATCAGCATTTTCTGGCAAAGAATAGCAGCATAAGAATGTACATACATCACGGCATGAAATGCAATCAGAATCAATTAATCTATACTATATCATTCCAACATTTCTGACATAAATTATCAATGGGGGAAATAATCAGAGTCTTTCAGCAGCCTCAGATTTCCAACATATTCTGACCTAATTATAAGAGAATGAGAGGAATGAGTTGGCTACAAGGGACACCATTTCTGGAATAAATATGCAGCACATAGACATATGTGGCCATCTTGCTGGAGAATAGCTCATGGCAGCCTTTAAGCAAGTTTTATATGGGAAAAGGTTTTCACTTGCAGGGGAGGTATTTTCCTATAGTAATGCAATATGCAGGCACGAGGCATCTAAAACACTCAAGGCGAGCATGACTTCAGATAAACAAGATAGATGTTTGTAGCATACTAGGCTGGGGGGAAACAAAGATTCGATGGGTGAGAAGTGGGAGTTATTGTACAGCAAATGCCTGGGTGTTAAGCCGCAGAAAATACAGGTTGCTTACCTGCAACTGATGTTGTTCAAATGGTGCATTTGGGATCCATGCAAGCCTTGTGGAAAGTGCCAAAAACTAGCAACAGCATTGCCCCTCTGCTAAGGCAGAGAAACCCTCTGAAAACTTAGTGTGCCCCACCGAGGACACAGAAGGCACAGGGATGGTTGCCTGGGGCACAAAATTGTTAGGGAGTGCAAAATTTCAACACCCAGTGCTGTCTCAATACAGCTGTGTGCTTCCGTCACTGAGCTCTGCTGGGCATGTGAAGCAGGAAGTGACCTCTCCGGACAACAAAATGACCCCTCTTTTCTTATCTCTGTGGCTGCGATCTCCTGGGTGAGGCGGATGCTGTTAGGCAGTTAAATGCACATGCGTACTCCATCCCTTTCCCTCCCACCCACCCTCCTTGGCGCAGCCTTGGGCACTGGCAACCCACACTACACCACTGCCATCAGTGAAAGGATTTATGCACTTACAACAGAACTTCCCGTCCTCTCTTTCCCCCGTGCATGCAACATGCTCTCCCCAAATCTGTCCAGAACAGATTTAGGGTTGATGCAGCGGAGAGGTACATCTTGTGAGCTGTGGAATGGCCCTGAACCGTCTGACATACGTATCCCAATCCAGGAAGGGAAACCTGTACACTGAATTAGAACTCGCTCTGTTTTAAGCGAACTTTGAAACTTGTAGAATCATCTAATCCAGCCCCAGCAATGCAGAAATCACATCTAAGAGGCAAACAGAAATGGTCCCATGGACAGAGCAATCTCACAACTGGAACTTGCAAGGATTGTGGGATGGTGTGTGGTTTTTTAATAGATCTCAAGGACCCTCAGATTAAACTTCGTACCACAGTCATGGGCTCTTAAAAATAATAAATACAATAGATGAAATTATTTATAAAAGTTTGCCATGTTTATTTGTATATAAAATAGAGTAGTGATAGATCCACAATAAATTATTAGTGTGTTTCTAATAGGTATTTAATAGGAATGCTGTGGGAAGAAAATCCCACTTTATATAAATCTTCGAAGGAAATGATTAAAAATAAAATAAAATCAACCAACACAGTTGGCTTCAGAAGGGTTACTTTGCAAGTAAAGCACACAATCAAAATCCAGGCAGAGAAATTCAGAAAGCGAGAAATAGTGGAATGAGCTCCTTGACTTATTCAGATATAACAGCTGGTGATGGAGTGTTTTGAAATGTGCATCGAACCATTCTAATGCAATAACTACAAAGATCTACAGAAATGTCCCTTGGAGTTTCCATCTAACAATAAACCCCTACAAAGCTAATAACTTCTGGCATGCAATGTAATTAGCTATCCCCACCCCACCCCTCGTTCTGCCAAAGTGGTAATGTACAATATAATTTTTTCCCTTTAAGATATGAGCCTGTAAACAATTCCCACGACAACATTAGGCAACTGGACAGAGGCCTAAAAGATTCATGTATATAATGCACACAGAGAGAAAGAGAAATAGTTCGTTAAGAGGTTTTCTTAACCTTCCTCTTGAGCCTCAGAGAACTGGCGCTTCTTTTAGAGATTCTTCTTGAAAGGCGGCTTATTCCGGGGGATCTCAGTTCGAGAGCCCCCATTTCTTCCCGCACAGGTGTGAACTCTGGCTGAGCCAGGCGAGGTGCTGGGTAGGGGGACTGCGGGTGATGGTAGGATCCATGCACTAGATAAGGCTCTTGATCATCGTCATCGTAAAGGTCCTCCGAGTCATAGAGCTGGTAGGAGCTGTGCGGTAACGGCACGACAGGGATCTCTTGATCAGTTGGGTCCCCATAGCCACCTTAACTCGCCAAGAGGAGCCGCACAGTTAACGCAAGAGGGAAGCAAAATTGAAGCAATCGTTAGGAGCTTGGTTGAATATTGTTCTCTATAGAGCAACTTTCTTTCTCAACTTTGGGTCCCCAGATGTGGCTGGACTACAACTCCCATCATCCTTGACCGCTGGTCCTGCTAGCTAGGGATGATGGGAGTTGTAGTCCAATATCATCGAGTGGGGAGCCCAAGGTTGAGAAAGGCTGCTCTCGGCTGCTTCTTCTTACAAAGCAGTCGGCCTTGCAAGATTAAATCAGCACCAGTGAATGGGGGAAGATTTATGATTATCTTCCTGTTAGTTGGAAACCGACACCAGCAGTAACAGTGCGCTAATTGTATTAGATATGAGTTGTCTGTTACACAGCGTGGTTAGGGGCAGGGGAAACATGGAGCAGCTTAAGAACCAATAGACACAACCTAGCCCTGATTAAGTGTGTTTAGCCCTCATTTATTTCAGTGGGGAAATGATCCTGATTCAATGGAGAATCCTGCATATGGGATCTGGCTGGCTTGCTGGAGGCCTAAATAGGAACACTCCAACCTGCAATATTTTGTTGCCATTCCCACCTGTTTTGCTCTATCTCAAATAAGTGAAGCGCTCCCTTTCCAAAAGCTCTCCCAGGGCTTTGATACAATCCTGTTCTGGATAACAGCCTGTCCAGTGGTTGCTTGTGCCTAGCAATGTGCACCATGGAGAAATGTGCCGAGTGTTTTAATTCTAGCAGAAAGCATAAGAAAACTAGAGCAGGCATCCTTTGTTAGTGGTGATAATAATAATAATCAGTGTTGCTGGTGGGAAAGCATCAAGGCTGTTCAGTAGTTGCCATTCTGACCTTCATCCATATGAGAAAGAAAAACCAGACTCTACCCGATTTCACCTTCCGTATGGGTAGCCATTGTAAGGGAATGAGCCTTCGGAAATCGAAAACGAACCAAGATGAGGGGTGGGGGGAAGAGGGGGAGAGGGAAAAGAGCAGGTGAACAACAGAGAAATACATACAGGTCAGTGAAACAAACAAAGGTCTCCAAGGCCAGTTCAACTACAGGTTAATCTTGTGACTTAAGCTGTACCCAAGACTGAGTCTCAAACTAATTAAGTACAACCTAAGACTTTGCTTCATGCTTTGCAAACCGAAACAAGAAAGAATAAAAAACATTCACATGCAGTACATGAACTTGTGTCAAAGATCCTACACCTTCCTTCCGTGGCCCCTTGGATACCAAACAGTGTTTTTCAAGGAGTTTTTCCGTATCAGTTTGCTTACCATGGGAACGTTGCACGTTGCAGAGAATTCTGAGGCTTGGTTGACAATTCACCCAACAAACACACACACACATATGTTTGGCAGAAGATGATAATGCCAACAGTGGGTGTGGCCAAAGGCAAAAATGGGCGGAGCCCGTCAAAGATAATGCTCTCAAGGAACACCATTTGAAAACCACTGTTCAAGAAACATTGTCAAGACACAATCTCTCCATGCAATGGGGGAATTTTAGTCCGATTTCTTTTTTTAAAAAAAGACTGTTATTCATGAATTACAACTATATGCACTGCCGATTCAGATTATTACAAGAGGCTTAGTTAGTGACACTCAGGTCTCCCATGCTGTTTAGACAAACATGAACGAGGAGCTTCTCAGCTAGGGATCTCCCAACCAACCAACCACCCAAGGCAGATCAGGTTAAAACCAGGAGATGGATGACACAAACAAGACATTCAAGAAAGCTGGACTGGGTTATTTTAGACAATGTGACAATGGCACATGACAAGCACAAGAGACGGAGAAACAAAACGCCCTGCATTTCAAACACTCTTTGGTTTTTATATGGGGTTTTAATTGCTTCAACTGTTTTTCCTCTTTGAATGAGATAACCGGGCACGTTCCTGTTAGAATTCCTGCTCCATGATTGCAGTCATGGGATTGTTGTCTTTCACATGACGGTATATGTTTTGACTCCACAAAGTGGGAAGTGATGGAAACAGGATGTTTGTGTTACTGTGTTCCGTGAAGTGGGACTATTGTCCTTTGTTCTTTCTCTCTTTCCTGTCTGATGCTAGAGAGAGACGGAACCATGTTGCAGGACTCTGTGTGTGTTTATATGTAAATAAAGTAGATTAGCCAAAATGCTGAGTTGCTAAGGTCTGTCACGCAAGCTGTGAAGACTCTGCGGATCCCTAAATGTGCCGGTGTCTGTTGGCATTGGTCACTGTGATGTTTGGGCTGAAGAAAGCTTTTGAAGCTCCCGAACGATCGACCAGGAGGGAGAGAACATGCCAGTCGAGCATGTGTCTCTGCCAGGGTCCTACTCGAGTATAGGACAAGCTCCTGACAGTTCCCTGACCCAATGAAGTAGACCACAATGTTTATGATTCCCCTCCTCAGCACTGTGGCTGTGCATGATTAGCTGTAGTTAGATATAGTGTTTAGAACTTACTGGCTGCTTGACAGGGACTGAGTCCCGACCATTTTCCTTTCCCTGCCCAACAGGCAACCAGAGCTATTCAAATCTGCAATGCGGACACACAGGTGCAGTTATGTCTGCTTAGCCTGTGTATGTGGTTCACACAGGGAGCACTTCAGATTAATCAGTAATTTTTTAAAGGTAGGCCTGAGGCCATGTTAAATTTTTTAAAGGTAGGCCATGTTTGGCAAGGATGCCTCTTTGTCCCCACAGTTACAATATCATTTTATGATGGTTCCCCTACTGTCCCTCTCCAAAATAATTCCTGCATTTCTGGAAGAGTGCAAGGCAGAAGAATGACAAGGCCATTCTGACGTGCTTCTCTGCCAAAATATGGTGGCAGCATTTCTAAAACCAGGGGGACATGAACATTTGGACACACGTAATGCTGGGTGATGTGACATCAGGGCTGAGTTGCAGTTAAGTGACGCGGCAGAGTTTCAGAAAGTTTGCGGCTTTTTAGCTTAGAGAAAAGGCAAGGAAGAGGTGATATATCAGAAATGTATAAAGGCATGGAGAAAGTGGATAGAGACGAGTTTTTCTCCCTCTCCCACTAACACTAGGACTCAAGGATATCCAATGGAGCTCAATGTCAGAGGATTCGGGACACATAAAATAGGCAGAGGGCAACCGCCCTATGGAACGCCCTCCCACCAGATGTCAAAGAGAAAAATAACTACCAAACTTTTAGAAGACATCTGAAGGCAGCCCTGTTTAGGGAAGCTTTTAATGTTTAATAGGTTATTGTATTTTAGTGTTTTGTTGGAAGCTGCCCAGAGTGGCTGGGGAAACCCAGCCAGATGGGCGGGGTATAAATAATAAATTATTATTATTATTATTATTCAAACAATGCAGAGTTAAACTAAGCAGGTCGCTCCCATAGGAGACAGGGATGGCCACCAATTTAGATGGCTTTAACAGAGGATTAAGACAAATTCACAGAGGAGAAGTACCTTTGAGCCTCCTATGTGAACAGTATGACCAGTTGACATAATTTTCTCCCGCGTCACACTAACTCTGCAACCATTGTGAAGGAAACCAGCAAGGGATTTTTTAGCCCGGTGGCAACAGCTCTCTGGAATTCTCTTTCCTTGGAATGGAAGCCAGCCTCAGCATTATGTTCTCATCTATGGAACTCCCTGCTTTGGGACGGCCACCTTGGCTACTTCACTGACATTTTTTAATAATAATAATAATAATAATAATTTATTATTTATACCCCGCCCATCTAGCTGGGCTTCCCCAGCCACTCTGGGTGGCTTCCAAAAAAATATTAAAATACTGTAATACATCAAACCTTAAAAGCTTCCCTAAACAGGGCTGCCTTCAGATGTCTTCTAAAAGTCTGGTAGTTGTTGTTCTCTTTGACATCTGGTGGGAGGGCGTTCTACTGGGAGGGTGCCACTACCGAGAAGGCCCTTAAAGATGAAAAGAAACCCCAAACTTCTCTAGGATTCACCCTTCAACTAAAAGTCCCTACAGTAAGAAACATGCAAACATGCTCCACGGTTCTGTGATTTTAATATGGCTTTGTTGCTTTTGTGCGCATTGAGATTCTGTGCGCTTGGATTTCTTTTGAAATGTTTAAAATGGTATTGATGACCGATCAGGAAATGTTTTATTTTTATATGTGGACACAGAGGGGATGCTCAGACAGGTGTGCCTGTGGGGAAGAGGAAACCCACTAGCTTTGTATCTGTAGTGGCCCAGATGCACATTTGTGTCAGAATACAAGGGTGTGTACTTCAGTGCGCACACAGGTATGTGTCCAAATGCACTTTCAAGGGTCTTCAGAGAGAAGGCAGTGCAGTTCTGTTTGCTTTCGCTGCCGTGACCAAGTAACTAAGCTGGTTAGGTTGCATGCCCCTATGACGCCATCACATTTACAATGAGATCCCTGGTGGGCTGGGGCAATTACAGTGGTACCTCGGGTTACATACGCTTCAGGTTACATACGCTTCAGGTTGCAGACTCTGCAAACCCAGAAATAGTGCTTCAGGTTAAGAACTTTGCTTCAGGGTGAGAACAGAAATTGTGCTCCGGCGGCGCGGCGGCAGCAGGAGGCCCCATTAGCTAAAGTGGTGCTTCAGGTTAAGAACAGTTTCAGGTTAAGTACAGACCTCCAGAACGAATTAAGTACTTAACCCAAGGTACCACTGTAATTACAAGGTCCTTTCAGGTAAAAAGAATAGCTCCAAAATCACTTGGGAGAGGAACGGCTGCAAACAGGTGCAACTACGGTGTGTGTGTGTGTGTGTGTGTGTGTGTGTGTGTGTGTGTGTTGTTTCTGATTTTGCAGATCCTTTCCCTTGTTCCCGGAGCCACAACTTACTCACTGAAAATTGAGCATCACACAAATTCAGTATAGCGCTAGGATTGTAGAGTTGGAAGGGACCACGAGGGTCAAACCTCCTACAATGCGGGAATCTTTCACTCAACGTGGGTGTCAGGGAACTGCCATCAGCTCAGAGGCGAGAGGTGGAAGTTGTGTTACAGGGAGCCTCCGAAGATCTTGCAAAGCAGTTCTTCCTCTGGCAGAGGAGGGAAGTCCCGCCTCTGGAGAGGAGGGAAACCCTGCCTCCAGTGGGGAGGGGGTGCTGGGATCAGAAGATGCTAGGGAGAGCCTCAACCCCGAGCCTGAGCAAAGTGGAGGGGAGGCAAGTCCCCCTTTGCCAACGCCCACTTTGCGCAGCAGGTTTGCGCGCAGAGAGGGGAGGAGAAGGATGGGGGTCACACAACTGTTATGCTGGGGAAGGTATAAGGACTGCCCACTCCCAGATTCTGCTAGCGACTGAGCAGACATGGACTTGCGATGCTCTGCACTGCAAAATTATGCAGACAATAAAGCCTGGAAAAGTCAGGTTGGAGTCTTGCCTGTTTGCTCTCGAGCAACCACACCAGCACCTGACAGTGGGACTAGAACCCACGACCATGAGTTTAAGAGTCCCATGCTCTACTGACTGAGCTACCTCATTTTGAAGACATGTGTGTGGCGGGAGGAGGCTAACTGGGAAAAACATACTCACCACCTGTTCCATATCCAGCACAGGAAGAGGGATCACAGTATCCCGGTTGCCCTGAGGCGCCATGCGGCCCAGGAACACCTGTATGGCCAGGTGGTCCTCTTGGACCAGGTGAACCTGGTGGCCCCGGGGTGCCTGTACGGCTTTCACCTGGAGGCCCTGCACAGAACACAGAAACGGCTGTCAGAACATCACCTTGCCACTGCTGCAGAACGAGAGAGCAACATCAGGTATGGACTACCTGAGTAACCAAACGTGATTTCACACGTGTTCTTTATTATACAGCCACTCTGTGTAAAGGAGCCAGACTTTACTTGTCCCAACTATTGTTTATTATGTGTGGGAATGCACATTTAATTGTACTGACCCTTGCATATCATTTGGGCATATGGTCACTACGGCGAATTTACCTGCCGCTCCTGGTGGGCCCCGGGGGCCTTGGGTCCCGACACCTGGGCTCCCTCGCTCTCCCTTCTCTCCCGATAAACCTGTTAAGAGGAAAGGATAAAAATCAGAACAGATGGGGCGGGAGGGGGGGAGTTGATTAATGCTTCTCCATGAGCATCTTTTATTAATTAAGAAAAGGAAGGGAGGCCAAGGAAAAATGGCTCTGTTGCGTCTTCTGTTACAGCCTCGTTGGAAGGTGTTGCTATAGCTAGTTTCCTGTTATACAGTGGTACTTCGGGTTAAGAACTTAATTCGTTCTGGAGGTCCGTTCTTAACCTGAAATTCTACTTAACCTGAGGTACCACTTTAGCTAATGGGGCCTCCCGCTGCTGCCACACCGCCGCACAATTTCTGTTCTCATCCTGGAGCAAAGTTCTTAACCCAAGGTACTATTTCTGGGTTAGCGGAGTCTGTAACCTGAAGCGTCTGTAACCTGAAGTGTCTGCAACCCGAAGTACCACTGTAGTGGCTCTTTACAAAGTCCTCTTGGGCCACTTTAGAAGACACTGCTGACATACAGCAAAATAAAGACCCTTCCTGGATACAGTAGTCAGAAGTTGCTAACGTATTTATATTAAAGCTATGTCGATTCACACAACAGTTCTGGCTTGGCCTCCACTTTCCCATTGCATGATCTCCTCGATCTTCTGGTTAAAGCATAAATCCCAGTTTTGTACAGTGGTACCTCGGGTTATAGACGCTATAGGTTACAGACACTTCAGGTTACAGACTCTGCTAACCCAGAAATAGTGCTTCAGATTAAGAACTTTGCTTCAGGATGAGAACAGAAATTGCACAGCGGCGCGACAGCAGCGGGAGGCCCCATTAGCTAAAGTGGTACCTCAGGTTAAGAACAGTTTCAGGTTAAGAACGGACCTCCAGAACGAATTAATTTCTTAACCCGAGGTACCACTTTACGCTATTGTTGACATTTGTTTTAGCAGAGAGAAGAAATGCCATGGTGCATCTGCAGCGGCACAACCGGATGCTTTCATCTGCCCCAGCTGCAATAAAACATGTCTCTCCTGTATTGGTCTCTACAGCCATAGCAGGTGCTGTAACTCTCCAACAGTTTGACCTCACCCCGAATAGGACACACCTCTGCTGTCTCTCAAGACAGGCGGACCCCAACAATAAAACTAACACTTTCCAGAGAGTTTGCTGTGTTAGTCTTTAGCAACAAAAACTACAGAAGTGTCTTGTGGCACCTAAAAGACTGGTTGGCATCCCACGCCTACTTGAATCACACACACATACACACAATATGATCCACATTTAAGCTTAAATAAGAATAAATTTTACGTAAAGGGTCATTCTTCAACAGATATTGCATTTATTTGGAATGCTGTCAAACTGATATTTATTTTTATTTCAGTATTTGTTTTATTAGAACCACAGAAATATATTTCATGTAGATGTTTGTGGTTCCAATATTTACATATTTAAGATAAACAAACCAACAAATTTCAAATGGACAGCGTTCCAAATACCTGCATCTGTCAAAGAATCAGCCTTGTTGTTCTGATCATTGAACAAACCGCATTTTCTTAAGAATGTTGTTGTCTTTCTTTAACTCTTAAGTAGCTAGACAGTTTTGCTATAATGGCATGCTCAAGGATTTTATTTTCCTCCTCTAAAACGGTAGGAATATCAGAACACTTCCCATAATTTGATGTAACAGTCGCTATCGTATGTTCCTGTAAGCGCAACTCATTCCTTAAGCTGCATAGGGATGGTTTTAGAATATTGTTAACAAAAAATGAGAGCTCAAATAGAGCAGGTGGCGCAAGCTGTGCCTGTTAAACGTAAAAATGATGTCTTCCTCCATTCCCTTTCGCCGCTATAGCTTCGTGAACTCACTAATCAATGCCAGAAGGTGCAATGGCTCTCATTTATGGCTCAATTGTTTCAGATGCGCAACTCCTTTGCACCCACCTGTACACAGTTTCTGCAGCGTTTAACTGCACAGCGGGAATATTTCTTCCAATTCAGCACAGCGCTAGACCCGGGTCAAGAAGAATCACCTCACTCCCAGCCCACAAAAGATGCTGAGCAGAGAAGGTGTGAAATTCTAAACTTCCCCTCGAAGAATAAAAACGCTGCCGGCTGCCAAAATGACTTTGTTTAAAGAATGTGTTCCGATTCCTTACAGCTTTCAAAGCACAAACCTACACGTGTCTCACCAGATCACAAGCGCCAATGAGCACAACGGGTCTTGACCCCCAAGTACATGGGCAAAGGATTGCAACTTGAGGGGGGGGGATCTTCAAAAGACAACCAAGGGACCATGAAGTTTTCAGGGATAGATGCTGAAATTAGAGACTGCTCCTGTTGAAAAGTGACAACAGCCACGAAATTAAAAGATGCCTGCTTCTAAGGAGAAAAGCAATGACCAAACCTAGACAGCATCTTAAAAAGCAGAGACATCACCTTGCCAACAAAGGTCCGTATAGTTAAAGCTATGGTTTTCCCAGTAGTGATGTATGGAAGTGAGAGCTGGACCATAAAGAAGGCTGATCACTGAAGAATTGATGCTTTTGAATTATGGTGCTGGAGGAGACTCTGGAAAGTCCCATGGACTGCAAGAAGATCAAACCTATCCATTCTTAAAGAAATCAGCCCTGAGTGCTCACTGGAAGGACAGATCCTGAAGCTGAGGCTCCAATACTTTGGCCACCTCATGAGAAGAGAAGACTCCCTGGAAAAGACCCTGATGTTGGGAAAGATTGAGGGCACAAGGAGAAGGGGATGACAGAGGACGAGATGGTTGGACAGTGTTCTCGAAGATACAAACATGAGTTTGACCAAACTGCGGGAGGCAGTGGAAGACTGGAGTGCCGGGCGTGCTCTGGTCCATGGGGTCACGCAGAGTCGGACATGACTAAACGACTAAACAACAACAACCTGTTGAAAAAACACTTGCAGCATATCGCTTCCAACCACATTCTCTCTCCTATTATCTTTGCATACCTAAAATGAGTGGCCAAGATCATACAGCCTCTTTCTCTTTTAATTTTTCTTTTTTAAAAAATATATATAATAAGATCACACTCTCGTAGGCCTCTTACAAGGTATGGTTTGTAGCAACAGTTCCCAACTTAAGCAAAATATATTAAGACTGAATTCATGTTGACACGGATAGTTGCCTTAAAACCCAAACTAACTAGTGGACGATAAGCTCCCGGGCCTCATCTGGGCGGAGAATGAGGCTGAATATCTTACAGTGTCGTTTCAGAGGCAAGACACAGTCAGGTGATTTGGCACAAGCTGAGCAAAGCTATTAGCAGAAACCAGGCCAAGCTCCTAGGCTGGTATCCCAGTGTTTTTGGAGTTTTTTTCGTTTTCTTTTTTTTTTTTTTGGAGCGATGCTATCATATTCAGGCTTACAGGAAAGCTGAGGTCATGGCTTTCTGTTATAATTAAAGATTCAGATATGCATTCAGGAGGCCAGCTTTATGAAATGTGTGCTTTTAAACTCAGAAAGCAGGGAGTACAGGCAAGCGGCAAAAGCACCAGAGTGATTCTCCAGACCTCCACCTTGGACCCAGCGCTATTTGAAACATTTCTATTATTTATACGGTAAACTTTCAGCATTACGTGACCCCAGAGCAGGTGACAATTCCATTCAAAATATAAAACAATTCTAACAGAATAAAGAGCAAGGAAAACACAGCACACCCACAAAAATCAACCGCAAAATCTTCAGCTCCATCTTACTAAAAAAACAACCCGAAGATCCCACAAAAAAGAAACACCTACAGCAAAAAGGTAGGCATTTACATGATGCCAAAACCAGACCCCTGAAGCCAGGTGGGATAGGACAAAAGAACAACAACACACATTTGTGGTATGAAAAGTTGCAGGATTTCAGCAAGATACACATTGAATGGAAATGAAAAGATACATCTGCCCCAAAACTTTTGCAAGCAGAGGCCGGGGTCACATATAACTGCCCTGGAACCGTAAGGGACCCCTGACCATTAGGTCCAGTCGAGGACAACTCTTGTGGCGCTCATCTTGCTTTATTGGCCAAGGGAACCGGCGTACAGCTTCCGGGTCATGTGGCCAGCATGACTAAGCTGCTTCTGGCGAACCAGAGCAGCACATGGAAACGCCGTTTACCTTCCCGCCGGGGCGGTACTTATTTATCTACTTGCACTTTGACGTGCTTTTGAACTGCTAGGTTGGCAGGAGCTGGGACTGAGCAACGGGAGCTCACCCCGTTGCAGGGATTCGAATCGCCAACCTTCTGATCGGCAAGTCCTAGGCTCTGTGGTTTAAAACACAGGCCACCCATGTCCCTGGAACTGTAAGGAACCACAAATAAACTATCCTCCAACTGTCCCAATTTTCCAGAGACAGTCCAGGAATTACGAAAGCCATCCCAGCTTCTGATTTTATCCAGGAATGTCCTTGCTTCCGCCGCCAGTACTGCTGCCACCAAGCTCAGGGAGGAGAATGAGCTGGAGTTTATCCCGAGTGGTGGATTCGAGGTACTGTCCTGT